AACAGCGAAAGGGCAACGCGCCAAATCGACCACTTGTACAGCGACCAAGAAGAAAGGCAGCAGAAAGAGCCGCGAAGAACATTGAATCTTGGCTCGCATGAACCCACCTATTAAGTGAGAGAACACTCCATTAGCCTCACATTTTAACTCTGATAGTTTCATAGCAGCCTTAGCTCAAAACACGCATTACACTAGGCCCTTTCGTGAGAACCACCCCGCTGCGTTTGTTCATTAGATCCAAATTGCTTTCTATCCGTTATCACCCTTTCTTCTCTTTACCCAGTAGTGTAACATTTTGCTGGCCGGAGTGTCGTGATCTGCATCCCGATGTACCACTTGTAGTGTTATGACTGCTGTCATGACTCGGCCTGGTCTAGTCGTGCATAGCTGACTCTAGTTACTCTTGTCCCCTACTGACATTGTGTTTCACCATTAGTACACTTTGCCTCTACTCTAGTCGGTGCATGAATAGCCGTTCCTAGGTTTACATGTTCCATCGTGCAGTCCGTAGTGCACGCGACATTCTCGGCTTGACTTCCGCTGCTCTGGCAGCCAGCCAGTTATTATTCCTTTGTGATGGTAGAGAAAGGTTGTACATTGTCTTGGCTCGTATCCAGTAACTCTTTGGGAATGAGGGTACGGATTTGAGAAGTAAGTTGGAATCACTAACTGTAGTTACTTGTGTGACTGGATTGGTTGGGATTAGTAAAGTGAAACTCTCTCGAGACGTTTAGGTTGTGCGTCAATCGAGACAGTTGTAGTCTTCGGGGTGCTGAGTCGAATGGTCTTGGTCCGAGAAAGCTGAGACGCTCCCTTCCTACTTGAATCCCAATCGAACTCGCGCACTTCCACCGAAACTGGGTGACTGCGCCCTACAAGATGGGGATTTGTATGCAAAATGTCACTAAAAGCGCCATTTCGTTCTTACAAAAGAACGGATGACCGCGATTGGCCCATATGTTGTAGTCTTTGGGACGCTGAGTCGACTGGTTTTGGTCCGAAAAGGCTGCGATGCAGCGTTCCTCCTTTATTCCCAATCGAACATGGTTGAACAAGCGGTCACGTGCTCCTGGGTGCCCAAATCACCTGGTCATCACACCAGCAGGCGACAACTTTCACACCAAGGTTCAACTCGAGTGACAGGACTGCACCCAAAAAAGGTCAAACAGGCTAGTAAGTTGTACCCTGCAGGCACGGTGACCAGGTGACTGGCGTACGCAGGAGCACGTGACCGCTCAACCATGTTCGATTGGGAATAAAGGAGGAACGCTGCATCGCAGCCTTTTCGGACCAAAACCAATCGACTCAGCGTCCAAAAGACTACAACATATGGGCCAATCGCGGTCATCCATGCTTTTATAAGAACGAAATGGCGCTTTTAGTGACATTTTGCATACAAATCCCCATCTAGTAGGGCGCAGTCACCCAGTTTCGGTGGAAGTGCACGAGTTCGATTGGGATTCAAGTAGGAAGGGAGCGTCTCAGCTTCCTCGAACCACTGTGACGACCATTCGACTCAGCAGCCCGAAGTCTACAACTGGTGAAATTTTAATTTTTGCCTTAACTTCCCCTTTAAGTACATCAGTAGCTGTGGAGCTGACCAACCTTCTGCAGTGCGGGCATCACGCATCAGTATTAAAATTTCACCAGTTGTAGTCTTCGGGGTGCTGAGTCGAATGGTCTTGGTCCGAGAAAGCTGAGACGCTCCCTTCCTACTTGAATCCCAATCGAACTCGCGCACTTCCACCGAAACTGGGTGACCGCGCCCTACTAGATGGGGATTTGTATGCAAAATGTCACTAAAAGCGCCATTTCGTTCTTATAAAAGCACGGATGACCGCGATTGGCCCACATGTTGTAGTCTTTTGGACGCTGAGTCGATTGGTTTTGGTCCGAAAAGGCTGCGATGCAGCGTTCCTCCTTTATTCCCAATCGAACATGGTTGAACAAGCGGTCACGTGCTCCTGGGTGCCCAAATCACCTGGTCACCACGCCAGCAGGCGACAACTTTCACACCAAGGTTCAACTCGAGTGACAGGACTGCACCCAAAAAAGGTCAAACAGGCTAGTAAGTTGTACCCTGCAGGCACGGTGACCAGGTGACTGGCGTACGCAGGAGCACGTGACCGCTTTTTCAACCATGTTCGATTGGGAATAAAGGGGGAACGCTGCATCGCAGCCTTTTCGGACCAAAACCAATCGACTCAGCGTCCAAAAGACTACAACATATGGGCCAATCGCGGTCATCCATGCTTATATAAGAACGAAATGGCGCTTTTAGTGACATTTTGCATACAAATCCCCATCTCGTAGGGCACAGTCACCCAGTTTCGGTGGAAGTGCACGAGTTCGATTGGGATTCAAGTAGGAAGGGAGCGTCTCAGCTTCCTCGGACCACGACCATTCGACTCAGCACCCCGAAGACTACAACTGGTGAAATTTTAATTTTTGCCTTAACTTCCCCTTTAAGTACATCAAGTACGCTGTGAAGAAGGCAGACAGCAGACATAGCGGCGGCATGGAAGAGCAACACTAATATAAGACGTGGCAAGTGTGAGGATGATGGCTTTTGTAGTGGAATATGATGTGTCCATCAGTGTAATGCTGGCGCGGACTCCGTCGGGTGACGACAGCACATAATCATGCTAGTCGACGGGGCTGACGACAGACCTACATGTATAATGTAGCGTACTGCACATATTAATTATTATGTACATCAGGCACTACACTATCTCAGTGATAGTGACACCGCTCATGCCAGCTTCTACCAACCACTGATACTGAGATTATCAGTACATGAACACACACATCTTGCTGATCTGGGTGGTTTGGGCGCTGGACACTGCCCATAACTTTGAAATACCCGTAGCTCCGATCCACATACTTCAAAGTCCAATTCAATGAGGAAGGGCCAGATATCTGGCATATGACATCACAATTTCGATAAAAATTGGGGAAAGAGTAGTAATATTTCCACTTTATCTCACCCACAGGGTGCCCAGTGGGCCGAGATGTCCGTAACTTCGAGGTCCGGTTTTACGAGCGACAAGAGTGTACTTCGCCATAAGTGGTGGTTTAGCGTGTGCGCTAAGCCCTGTTAACGAACGTGGAACATCTACCACTCATACTTAGTCTGATGATCATGCATCTGATTATGATGTCATTGCTATACATGCGCATGCGCAGCGCGCGCCACTCTCCCACGCATGCATTCCAAATCTTGCTTTAGAGAGAGAGAAGGAGAAAAGAGAGACTCCTTTGTCACTTTTGCTTTCTGACGACTTGACTGTTCACTGGTTTGTCCGTCAGTGTCAATTTCCCCTTCCCTCCCAACCCCATTCGACTGGGGATCACTATCTCTCCGTCACTGTCACCATAATTTCCTCAATAACAGTGTCAGTACAACTCTTGTCAATATACTTATATCGGGTGAGGGCAGTCTATCTCCGCAGCTGGCTCATTTCAATCACTACCGGTCGCAGCTCCTGCCCACGGCAGGCCGACCGTCTCTCGTTCACACTCTGTGTGCTCCAGGTCACAGCTCCTGCGCAGAGCAGGCCGACCTGTCTGTCTCTCTCTCACACACACTATGTGTGCACCGGGTCACAGCTCCTGCGCAGAGCAGGCCGACCTGTCTTTCTCATGCACGCCAGCTGCTCCGCCCAATATCCCTGATATGCCAACCAGAAAACAATGTGTTCTGAGCCGGGTGCATGCCTGTATGTGGAGAGTGCGTTAACCCTGCTTATTTGTGCTGCTTGCTCTTGTGAAGGGACTGGTTGAGTGTTGAGTGCTCGAATGAGTGGTCGAACAGGTGGCCAGGGTCACAGTATCCGAGACCGCTCTATAGATGGCCGACCCGATACTAACATCAATTGGGTGTCCGATGCAAGCCGGATGTTAAAGTATTCTGCATGTCAAATTTTTGTAGGAAAATGTGAGAAGTCCAGACAAGACACTCGGCCAGGTAGCCATATGCACGTATAATTATACAATGTGTACTTGTTCGTAATTTGAACTCTCCACCTCTCCACATTGAGCCCTCGGCCCACGTTTACAACACTATTTTCAAACGGCCGAGTTCGTCGCTACTTCTGAGGCATGTGTACGTGTTGTAATTTGTACGGTAATATTGTGCTAGTTCTAATAAGGAGTTTGTTGTATGTATGTACTTGTATGTACTTGTATGTATATTTTTATTTGAATTCGCAAGTACACACGGGCTACAAGCCCAATTACATGGAAGCGAATGTGATAATGAGGTTAATTAAGAAAACGGGTGGAGGAAGGGTGTTTACTCGTTTAGTCACAAGTTGGTCTTTCATTCAAAAATAGATGTTAGTGGCAATGCATTGTATCCTATCTGATTTGCCGGTAGTGTGTACTGTGTAGTATCATGAGCTAGCCACAGTACAGATAGCCAAACCATTTTAAATGGTTTGGCGACCTGTACTGTGGCTAGCTCACGGTACAAATTTTGTATCTACCGTCAGTCAAATTAGCATGATCAGTTCACATACATACACTGTCACGGCATGGGTGCGGCGGTTGCATTGTAGTGCTTGATTGCAGGTGTCTGTATTGCTGGCATTCAAACCTATCGCCCTTACAGGGTTCACCCAATGCAGCGGGTACCCATCCCACTGTGCCTGCGTACCCATAGCACGGTACACGCTTTAGCTGCGCCTGCCTGGTTGCGTGCCTGCCTGGCTTTTCCATTATACCTTCTGTTGTTCTTTGGGTTCCCACTCAAGTCTCGTCTGTTGATGTAAACAAAATTGGACACGATAGTGGCCGGGCCCGCCTGATAGCCGCTGTGGTGGCGGTACCAGTTTAACCACCAGTTTGACCAGCAGTTTGACCAGCAGTTTGACCAGCAGTTTGACCAGCAGTTTGACCAGCAGTTTGACCAGCAATTTGACCAGCAGTTTGACCAGCAGTTTGACCAACAGTTTGACCAGCAGTTTGAATGTCTTTGAAATATTCCCTTCTGTGTTCAGTTACACCACAGTCAAGTGCATACTCACAGCAGACGCCTGTACCAGCCCATGAAAGGCAGGAGATGATCGAGGGCAAAGCTAATCATTTGAGCTTGACTGCTTCGCTAACGGCACAATCTGCTTTCTCGCCTCCTGATCTACTCGGCGCCGCCAGCGCAGCAAGAATTATAAAAAGTGTACGACTGCTGAATCAGCAGATGCAGGCAGCTAAGAGCCAGCAATCATCTCCTGCCACAAGTTGTGACTTTCCTTTGGGGTAAGGCAACACCAAGTTCTAGAATTTGTAGTTTGCATCTTCGTAACTTGTGTTTTACCTTCCTATTGTGGTGAGAAATCACATTCTTAGCGTTTTGACTTGGATGAAAGTTGAAAGTCCGACTCGAAACTCGCGCAGCACACAGACGCAGAATTTGCATAGGATACATGTGATGTATCTACAGCACTACAGTACTGGCCAGAAATTCTGCCGGGACAGCACCCATAGTCAAGTTGCACACTCTCTGTTGCTCCAGAGTGCAGCACTGATGGTTTGCCAGGCCTCCAGCCGCAGCCGCAGCCGGACCGGAAAGAAATCCAACCTCATGAATAAAATAGCGTTGCCGGGCGCTACGCAGCCCTAGCACTACACACACACTGGTCTGTGCACTCGAATGCGGCGCTAGTTTATACATGAGGTTGGATTTCTCTGGCCAGAACTGTAGCACCGTAATTTCCGGAGTGTAAGCCGCACCCAAATTGTTTTGTTACGAAATACGGACATCTTCCCTAGTGTAACATGGAAAAATGTGGGCACAAGTTATGCGATCGAGTCCACCAACTAAACCAGATTTCTGTCTGGTCTTGCCGTCCCGTTATCGTACCAAGCAAGCATTCCATGACGCCTTGGAATCATGTGTAGCTTGTGCTCGGCTTGATGGCGCTTGCCTTCCCCGCTTTGGAATTAGCACTAGTATCCATGAACCTGCCAAGTTGGAAGGCCGTTGGTTAGCGCTATCGAGCAGTGCTCAAGCTGACTTTCATGCCGTGGAATGTCTCAGTACTCCTTGCCAGTTTTATGCTAGGTTGTGCACGTCTGACTGTTCAAAAATCTGGCTTAGTTGGTGAATTCGATCGCATAACTTGTGCCCACATTTTTCCATGTTTCAATTATTTCCTTGGCTCAACATCTGAGTTCTTTATCTTCCCGATATATCGTAGTATATAAAGGCCACACCAACTTTTTTTGGTTGAATTATTGGTGTTTAAAGTGCGGCTTTTACTCCGGAAAATACAGCAATGTGAGTTGCAGCAGATCACCCTACCCCCCCCCCCCCTCTCTCTCTCTCTCTCACCCTCTCTCTGCCTCCCTCTGCCTCTCTCTCTCTCTCTCTCTCTCTCTCTCTCTCTCTCTCTCTCTCTCTCTCCCTCCCTCCCTCCCCCCCCCCTCTCTCTCTCTCCCTCCCTCCCTCCCTCCCCCCCCCCCTCTCTCTCCCTCTCACCATTTTCTGGCAGTGAGCAAGTGCAAGTGTGTGTATGTGAGTGTGTGAGTGTGTGTGAGCATGTGAGAGTGTCTCTCTCTCTCTCTCTCTCTCTCTCTCTCTCTCTCTCTCTCTCTGTGTGTGTGTTGACGGTGTGAACATACTCTGATTCGGGACAAAGGAGAGAGAGAGAGAGAGAGAGAGAGAGAGAGAGAGAGAGAGAGAGAGAGAGAGAGAGAGAGAGAGAGAGAGAGAGAGAGAGAGAGAGAGAGAGAGAGAGAGAGAGAGAGAGAGAGAGAGAGAGAGAGAGAGAGAGAGAGAGAGAGAGAGAGAGCGTGTTCATGCAACAAGGAGAGGAAGTTCTAAGCATAAACACACACATACACACAAGAAAAAGCATAGTCGCGCAGCAATATAGACATTTCTGTTGCAACTCCAAGTGCCATGTTGTTCACCAGGGGCGTATCACCCGCTACGACTGGTACGACCATGGCCGTACCACTTTTCGAAAAGTGTGGTCCGTCTGGAACGTGCAAAACCGGTACAAAAAATCGGAACCTTCAGATTTTTGACTTTTGTTTGAGTTTGACTCATACTTGACTCGACACGGCTATTAGGTACACTTGGTTCAAGGTAACTTAGTTTCCTGCATGTGAAACCTAAAATTCTATGACTAAAAATTAGTAAAAAATGTGCCAAAAGTACCCAGAACACAGGAATTTATGTCTTTTTTTACAAAAAATTCCCGGGGGAGCCCGCTCCATCCTTTGGTCGTGCCTGTTCCCAAGCCCCTCCTACGCCCGCGCCCCTGTTCACAATCATCGGGCAGTAGTTTGTTTGACTTGTGTGTGTGCGTGCGTACGTGTGTGCACGCGTGTGTGTTATGACTTCTCCTGACGTGGTGCTACAGAACCGGGCACTACTCTACATTACGATTCATGTGATTGTAGTCACTTAGTCTTTGCGCGGCAAAGCACAGCAGTGGTTTGAGTGAATTTTTAAAGTGTTGGCTCTGGCCACACAAGCTTTCCTTCTATGTTTGTGTTTTCTTTCAGGGATATCGATGTGTCCCCTAACCCCAGACCGCTGTTAGTAGGCATCTCCCGTCAGGAGAAGATAGAAGCAGAACAGGATGATTCAAAGGCGCGCCTGAGGAGAGAGCGGGCATCGTTTGTGCAAGAGCTTCTTCTCAGCTGTTTAGATGAAGAATTGAACGAGGAGAAATTTGAACAAATTGCATCCACTGACTGCTAAACTCAAGTCTGCTTGTGTTGTCCGGTGCTAATGTTTTCCTTTCGGTAGAGGCATAACAGAAATCATTTACGATTACATGGCACATAAGAAATGGAGATTGATAAAGAAGATTGATAAAAGTATTGTGAATTCGTCCACTTGAGCACGTCTTTTGTTGCCTCTCAGAACTAGAAATATATTAGATTGTAAACTCTGGATCCTATTATTGTATTCTAGTGTGCATGCACTCCCCTTGCCTTACCATGACTGAAACTGATCATGGTTGTCATCTGCTCAGCCTCTCAGCTCCGGGCCGTGATTTCCTGGAGTGACCATGCCCTCCAGTTGTCTCTCAGTTGTTCTAAATGCGTTATTGTGCTGTCACTATTGTCATGGCTGCGTGTCTGTATTGGCTGTTCATTCCTGCAGTGTGCATGGCATCATTCCCTGGTTTGTCACGGCGCACAAAACGTACACACCTACACGTATGTCATTTCTTGGCTTGCCACTCCACGTAACATGCACATACACACATAATGTCATTTGCCGCACAACCTTGCACAAAGCCCCGGAGCCCCCATGGTGCATGGTGCATGGTGCATTCCCGGTGACTTTTACAGCGTTCCTGTCACTCGAGTTGAACCTTTGAACCTTTGAGTTGAACCTTGGCGTGAAAGTTGTCGCCTGCAGGCACGGTGACCAGGCGACTGGTGTACGCATGAGCACGTGACGGCTTACTCAACCGTGTTCGATTGGGAATAAGGGCTGCATCGCAGCCTTTTCGGACCAAAACCAGTCGCAGCCTTTTCGGACCAAAACCAGTTGACGCAGTGTCCAAAAGACTACAACATATGGGCTAATTGCGGTTATCCGTGCTTTTATAAGAACGAAACAGCGTTTTCAGTGACTTTTGCGTACAAATCCCCGTCTAGTAGGGCGCAGTCACCCAGTTTCGGTGGAAGTGCGCTATAAAGGAGGAAGGGAGCATCTCAGCTTCCTCGGACCAAGACCATTCAACTCGGCACCCCGAAGACTACAACTGGTTGAAATTTGATTTTAGGTTATACTTCCCTTTAAGACCGAATGGACTAGTCGCTTGGCCACCGTCCACATAATAGAACTTGATTTCTGCATTACTGCAACATCAAAATAGGAAAACATGACTCAAAAATAATGTTGGGAAAGTCGGCTAGCAAGTACGCTGGAAGGCTTGAAATGAAGCTAAAGTTCTGCAATGAGAAAATAATCAAGCCATAATTATCATAATTATCTGATCACCTTCATTAACGAAAGAAATGAGTTGGCGAAGACACTACCAATCCGTGCAGTCATTGTGAAAAGTAGTAGTCATACAGAGAGTAGGCGCATGGCAAAGGACGTGTTCTAGTGAGTGAAAAAAACACGAGCGGAATATTTTTTTTAAAAAGAAGAAGAAATGGGCCCGTCTCTGTTAGAAACAACACTAGTGGACAAATCTCAACAGTAATCATAGTAGCTCAAGTAATCAACTTCTTCTCGATGCTTAGATGTAGTCTGTAACGTTACAGTGGATGACATGCAACGCGGACTGGCTAGCATGTCAGACAGTGCACCATACTGAACGGCACAAGATTGATAGGTATGGCTAGCATACAGACAGTGCAGCACACTGGACGGCACAGGATTGATAGGTAAGCTAAGCCAGGTTCCTGGTTCTTACCAGCAACATCCCAGAGTGGTGTTGCATACATGTCTTGTGATGTACGAACTTGAATCAGTGCAAGGTAGTGGTGCATAGAGCATACATATATGTAATGATGTAGGAATGTGTAAGGCAGTCGCACTTATTACTGGTAAGATGATATTCTTGCCAGCTACTCTGCCAAGCCATGAGTGCTTTATTGCAGTGTGAGTGACAGACAACCGCTGGTGTCCGTGTAGCTGCTGCGGCATGTCGGGTGGTTGCGTGTGCATGATCCCGCCGGCTATGTGACGTGTAGCTGACGAATAACACCGTAGAAATGCTGCCAGCGTTCCTCCGTCCATGCATCCCAGACGTGCAGAGGGGCAATCTGTCTGCTGAAGGAGAAACTCTCCGACGGCGCAGTGCTGAGAGCCTGTCGCTGCTTTGGTGTTGACGTCACAACGAGATTCGATGGAGTCAAGACCATGCAGCGTACTGGCCGGTCATGGAATGGGTCTTCCTCAGGTAGGCACATTCTTCCCAGCAGTGCATGGTTCTGTTGCTGCATTGCACGCACATCAAGAGAAACCAGTCCTGCAGCCGGGGGACGCACTTGAACAGTGGGAGTTGACAGTTCTGCAGCCTGATGCTGCTGCTTCGACTGCTCTTCATCTCCCTCCTCGCTTTCTTCTTCCACTCCTTGAAGACTTGGCTTATTGCGCAGGCTAGATGAGCGACTGCAACTGGAGGCTGAATCCTCACCAGTTGCAGGTGGTCTGTCCGGCTCAGTACTTTCCGCAGCCTTCCCGCTACCCAGGATCATAATGGAGCCGTCCTCGAGACCAACCCACAGCGTGTCGTGCACTGGTCGGATGATAGATATGCTGTCGGGCAATATGGGAACTTGCCGCTGGGCCTGCTGGAGCTGCTTACTACGCCAGGACGATTGTAATGGAGAACCGTCGCCGGCACTCTCCTCTGTGGGTAGCTCACGTGCGGAGACAATGGAACCGGCTTGAGTGGCCACAGCTCTGTCAAAAGACACACTACTACTCCTGGTGGCGCTGGCGGTGGTGGCGTGACCCTCGCTACTACCTGTCGAGGAGGCTCTGCGAATGAGGGACTGTGGGCGGTAGTTGCGCAGCAGAAGTTCACCCGGCAGTTCGGTGCTTAGCTGCTGACTTGGAAGTGTGCCCTCGCCTCCGTACTCACTCAGCTTGATACATCCGAGTAGACTGTGATGCTCGGTGCTGAACTTGAGCAGGACATTCTGATTGAGCAGAGTTGCCCAGACGTGCTCGTTGTGTGCTACGAGCGACGAGATCGCCAGGCCCGGTCTCAAGGTGTTCTGCTGCATGGCAATGTGACAGGAGAGCGTGCATGTGTGCGTGTCCGGGTTGACAGTCAGCACCGACATCTCATTTCCATGTGCACACCACACCTCCGTGTTGCTAATCACGGCCAGGCTATGCACAGGACACACATCATGCTCATCCGTCACCACCACACGCTTCTTGCTCCAGCTTAGATTGTCAATCTGGAAACCGTCCTTGGGCGGCGAGCCAAAGAAGACCAAAATGGAGCCATCGCCGAGGCCAGCCAGCACGACAGCCACCGCAGGTGATACGTTCTGCGGCTTGCTCAAGTCCTGATGGGCAACACAGAGGAGAAAGAATGGGAGAGGGACAGCAAGTGAGACACAAAATGATGACAGCCCAGGGAGCAGGAGCACATTGTGGGCAGCAGGGGGTGCGTGTGTGCAAGAGGACAGTGTGTGTGTATCGGGGGGGGGGGGGGGGGGGTACGGAGAAGGGGAGTGGTAAACAAAGGAAAGGTGCCATCTATAGACATTGCTAGTGTACACCAATTTGACAAGTCATACCCAAGAAGTGATGTTAACTGTGCTAGTTAGCACTGTTGGATGTGTCCTTTTCACGTAACCTTACCTCTGGATTGGTTTCACCACTCAGTGCCTGGTCAATCTTGCTGATGTACTGCTCGCGGTTGTAGGTATCAAAGTCAATGGCCACCAGGCATTGCACCGAGCTATTCTCGGAGAAGCGAAGTTGCTCGTGTAGCTGGCAGGGCTGACGCAGCGTGAACACTTCCACACGACTTCCGTCCTTGCCGTACGCCGATGTGCCTATCCAGAGCGTTGAGCGTATTGTGACGGCACACTTCACGGCCGGACCGGGGAATGTGCTGGGACCGCCCACGACCGCGTCACTGCTGGTGTCGACGAGAGAGAACGACCGATGGGAGCCTTCGCCGAATGCCACGAACAGCAGTTCGTACGACAGAGAGTCAATCTGATCACTGCGTAGGCTCTCGCTAGGCGTGCGACTCTCCCTCGTCCTGAGGTCTGATGACGTTTGCGAGCCGCCAGTACCTGCTGCAGGGCTTTTAACATTGAATCGGAGTGCTGGACCAGTATGAGGCATGACATCTGGCAGTGAGCCCTGTGAGTCATTGTACACAGTCGTGCTTTCGAAATCACGCGATGACTCCATCAGCGTTGCCCTTTCCTCCATGGAGTGCACCTGCCGAGTGCCAAAGTAGTGGACGAAGTCTGCCGAGCGCGACAGAGATGTCAGCTGCCGATTCTGGAGGCTGAACGCCGGTGTTTCCATGGCAGCAATGATGTCCGCTGGCGACGGCCGTTCTTCTGGTGATTGCTTCCAGCAACGGTGCATCAGGCTGTCCATTTGCACGAGCGACGGTTTGACAGTGAGGGCCGGCCGCATGCCGCAGATGACGAGTGAGTTCAGCTGCATGGGCGCTTTCATGTCGGTGCGCTCGCGATAGAACGGCACATTGCCCTCCATCATCTCGTAGAGAAACATGGCATAGGAGTAGACATCCACCTGCGAGGCATGGCAGGCATTGGAGGCAGAGAAACAAAGTGTTCAGCACAAAAACACAGCAGCTAAAGGTATGACAAAGAAGTGCACAAGTATTGGATAATCCTGCTCACCCACCAAGCATGGCTAGGCCATGAAAAGCACATACGAACATAAATTGTGTGTAGTGCACATCTACAAGGTTAAGAAACAATAATACATCCACCGACCAACCAACTGTGGCCAAAACGAACCATTTTGCACATTTCCCATGCCATAATAGCTTACAGGTGAAACAGTTCAAGAAAACCCTATTTGCAAATGGAGTGAATTCAATCTGAGTGCCCAAGCACATACCAGTATGCCCACTTGCAATTCAGGCTGGTATGGTCTTGCTATGGTCTTGCCATGGTCTTGCTCATACATGCAGCTCGTCCAATGCAATACAATGGACCGGGCATTACAAATCCAAACTCACCTTGCCCGACAGCGTACCGCGCAGCACCACTTCCGGTGCTTGATATCCCAGTGTGCCGGTTACTGATGACACCTCGATGCCAGGCAGCTCCTCAGCTGCTATGCCGTAATCGGTGAGCTTGACGTTGGGCGTGCGGTGAATGTCATCGCTGAACAGGAGCACGTTGTCGGCCTTCAGATCCTTGTAGATCATGCCGTGTTTGTGAATGTGCTCCAGGCCAAGGGCAACCTGGTGTGGCAATCAACATGCGCATGCACACACACAGTACAGGGCATCACACTCTGCTGCTCACCGCTGGATCACGGTGTACAGTAGGCCGACAGGCTTGCAATGAAGCGCGGCCGTTATCATGTTCAATGATGAACACGACTGTATTTGTCTAGTCTGAAGTTCACACAACTCATACTGGTAGTCATACTCGGATTTATTTCTTCGTTCTGATCTTGGACTCTGTGTATCAATACTGGGTGTGTACTGGATGTTTTCATGATCACTACAGCGCAGCAGTACCACCAGTGTCCACCTACACACATAGCGTTACATTGAACGTGAGTATGATGTCGCTAGTTGCTACCAGCTGATCAGTTATCAGCACCTACCCACCAGCTACGTCTCGTAATTACTTACTTGATAAGCAATCTGGTTGGTCAGTTGCCGACCGAGGACTCCATTGGGAAACTCCGGCACAACTAGCTGGGTGAGTTCTGTCCCCGCCGCCAGCACCTCGGACACTTTCTTGACCGTGTCCTTGACATACTTGCTGAGGCTGCCAAGCGGCGCATACTCCAGAACGATGCACGGCGGGTGCATGGAGGCACCCAGGAACTTGACGATGCACGGGTGCACGAGGCGGTTCAGACGACTCGCTTCGCTTTGCGCTTCCTCGAGACTGTGCAGCATGGGAACACCAACCTGAGGGAGATCAACACATACGATAGGAGTTAGGGATAGGAGTTAGTGATAGGAGTTAGTGATAGGAGTTAGGGATAGGAGTTAGGGATAGGAGTTAGGGATAGGAGTTGGTGATAGGAGTTGGTGGTAGTAGTTGGTGATAGGAGTTGGTGATAGGAGTTAGAGATAGGAGTTAGAGATAGGAGTTTGGGATAGGAGTTTGGGATAGGAGCTTGGGATAGGAGTTTGGGATAGGAGTTTGGGATAGGAGTTAAAGATAGGAGTTTGGGATAGGAGTTAGGGATAGGAGTTCGGGAAAAGGAGTTAGTGTGACTTGGTCAGTGTTAGTGGCAGCTAACCAGCATTAGTGGTAGCTAACCAGCGTAACCATGCAGTGTCACTTGGTCCAATAGTCTGTACTAGTACTGCAGTGGACACTGGATGGAAACATTCAGGCATTAAGTTGTCAACTGTATTCTTCTCTAGTCTACGGTCTCAATGCTGCTCTGTATAAACGTACAGTTAACAATGACTCTCATTCCAGTATGACAAAGTGTCGTTATTCGGGAGTTGTCGTTATTCGCGATGTTCAAAGTATGCAGTCAAGTGGTCGCTAGGTCTGAAGATTGTGTGAGTTATTCGCGAAGAAAGGCATTCAGCTGTACACACCCATTCCCGTATTGTTCGCGAGTTGCTGTTATATGCGAGGTTGTTGTTCGCACGGTTGACTGGATGTGTTTCGAGTATCTAGATGCATGGTCAGATGGCATGCAGGTCTGAGTGATGAAGGACTGTCTAGTGTAGGGCAATGAAACTGCACAAGGGACAGGTGGCAAGTGTACACACACACACACATTATACATTGTACTTCAAAAGTAGTACAATGTGTAAGCAACTGGCCACGCGAGGACGGTTTGCTGCTCTAGCAAAGGAATTCACCTACCTCTCCCAAGTCAGACTTGTACGCTTGGTTGGCCACTGTGTCTGATGGCATGGTGTTGCGCAAGCTGTGCCGGACAAGGTCCCCAGCCGATGTGCGCATCGTGGACATCTCCTGCTGCTGCTGCAGCATGCTGTCCGTCGTGTAGACCTTGACAGCTACGTCCTGGCCGTCGAGCGTACACCGATACACCGTGCCGAATGAACCGGAATCGAGCAGAGTACCCGACTGTACGTCCACTTTGTCAATGATCATCTCCGGTGGCAGATCACAGAACATCAGGTCTGGAACGAGCTCCTCCGGTGCTAGAGTTTGCCCCGTATTGCGACAGATGTCAGTGGTCCCCAGGGCCAGTAGGCCAGCACATTCGTTCAGGTTGAGGAAGTGCGGTGGCTGTGTCTGTAGCATTGATCCGCCGCGTTCCGTTGCCATGGCAGTGACGCTCTCGGCCGAGCACAGCACCACGTAGTTAAGAGAGCACGCTGGGCAAGGGACTATGCACATCCTGGCATCGTTGTCATCCACCAGGTGTGAGCCACGGATGTCTGCACGTCCACACATGTACGCAAACACACAGACACAGATACATAGATCGTGCACGCACGCACACACACACACACACACACACACACACACACACACACACACACACACACACACACAGACACACAGACACACAGACACACACACACACACGATACGTAGAGCTCGGCGTATAGAAGGCAGCACAACAACCCTGCATTTGCACTGCATTTGAGCCCTTCTCCCATGGACGATGCCTTGTGATAATACCAGGATGCACTGTTGCATTGTTCATAGCAAAAATCATACTCATCAGAACTTGAGTCTTCTTGTTTAACAAATCTTCCCTATCAACTTGTTCGGGATATTTTGTTTCAAGTTACCGGTACCTAGTAGGCTCTCACTTTTCAGGGCCCGCCAGTGTGCAAATGACGCGAGCTATGACGAAAAGGTGATGGAAAGGCCAGAGAACTGCCGCATGCTTACTTGTGAATGTCTCATCGAGTAGAGCATTGATGTGCTGCATGATCAAGGCTAGAACGTTGAAGCGGCCATTCATTGATGCCACTATAACGTTGATGCCAGGAAAGATGATGCTCGAGCCGCGTAGCATAATACCTTCAACACTCTCCACCTGTACCGGTACACACACATGCAGGGAAAGAGAGTCAGGGGAAAGAGAGACACGGAGAAAGGAAGACAGGGGGAAGAGAAAGAGTTAGGGAGAAGGAGAGACAGGGAGATGGAGAGGCACAGTGAAAGAGAGACAGTTGGGAGAACGAGAGACAGGGAGAAAGAGAGAGGTGTGAGAACAGGATTTTCCTGCCAGTAATGATCAATCTTTTCTCTTGTGGGCACGGTGCTACGTGCGCCTCTGCTCAAATTTGCACAGCGTGCCACCATAGTAGCAGAGATTGCAGGAACCTCGGAAACCATCTGCAGTCAGGCTAGGACTGTATTGGGGAAATAGCCCAATGTATGCATATGTGTCGAATGTCCTTGTTGTCCTCGGGTAATAGTAGTTTTTTCTTCAGATGTTTCCCGTTTCAACTCCACTCATAAAACCTGTGGGCATTGTCTTTATAGTATGCACCTGCACCTGCATGTCACCCTGTATGCACAGCCCACAAACACAACCGCACCGCACAGCATCCTATTGCAGCATGGGCTGAAGCAGCCCAAACATCAAGTACACCAAGCCGCGGGCTACAAACGTACCTTGAAACAGCTATCAGGCAGAAATCCAACGACTCCTTTAGCCCATATGACAGTATGGGCAAGGTGCATTCCCTTCTCCTTGTACTGGCCACGGCACCAGTTCTCCAATTTCACCTACGAAGTCAAGAAAGACAGGAAAAAGAAATATGTCCACGGTGACAGAGAATTAGGATGGGCATAAGAGAAGTCAATGGTAGGGCCAGGAAGCTTGAAATGTACTAGTCCGTGGCAAACTGAGAAGCTACTAGAAGTCTACAGTGATGCCTAGCAATGCATGCCAAGCCACCTGTATGCCATGCAGCTCTGTGAGAGTTGATAAAAATAAAATAAATTTCATGGCTCGTGTGAGATGCAATCAGACTCAGGGGTTTTCCAGCATCCACAGGAGCGCCACCATCCTCAAGGATCTAGGCCTCTTATAGTTGATTTCTGCACTTTAGAAGTAAAATTAGGGGTGTGCATTGGTGGTACACGGCAGCCTTCTAACCTACAGTTTGCAATGTCCCAAGGTTGTTCACAGCAAGCTGGTGAGATTTTACAAAAGAGGTTTGTAGCAAGGAAATGTTGTGACTGTACCTGGAGTTGTGAGACCAACACTCCCCATAGCTCCGGAGGCACTCGGTTGAAGGAGAACAGTCGCTTGACGCGCTTGACCGAGTAGATGTCTGCTTCGTGAATAGCGCTTGCCTAGGACACCAACAAGGCAGGTACATAGATGTGCTCTCATTCTGTTCTGGTGTTGTGAACACCACGGCAGTCATACAACTGCATTGCCATTGAAAACTCTGCCAAACAAACATGCAGCTTACCATGCATATTGCATAGCAAATTGGGTCGTGAACCGAAATCTCATGCAGGTCATCCGGGGGAATAGATATGAAGAAGAAACCAACGTGAAGATGTTCAGATATGAAGAAGAAACCAACGTGAAGATGTTCAGATATGAAGAAGAAACCAACGTGAAGATGTTCGCAGTTTGAGAGACATCGGAAAAGCGGACGGTACCTCGTGTGCCGGCTTGTCCTTGGGCAGTGCAAACGTCACCAGGTATCGACATCTGCGACCAGCTCCGATGGAGAAGATAACGCGCATCTTCTCCAGGAGTGCGATGAAAGCATTGAAGAAGACCTTGTTTGGTATCTGGTCGCCAAACAGGGCTTGGCTGCCAGTTGTTGTTAGGATGCCAGCGTCCACAAACAGATGGTGGTGGTTCATGAAGTAGATGATTGTTTTAACGAGCCATCCAACATTCGTAAAGTAGAACTGGGCCAAGTTCTTGAAGAGATCGTGGAAGTGGACAAACGTACCGACGTTGTGCAGGAAATTTCCAACTGTGTTCAGGTGCATTCACATACATACATACCGTCACAACACATACCGGCATACACACATGCACACACACAGAGGAAATCTCTTGGATTTTTGACAAAACCCTTGGCTCTCACACATGCATCTGGAATCTATACGAATCTGCATGCGGAGAGTGAAGTCAATGAAGTCGAGAAGACAGCACTGAATACATGCATATGGCACAAATTGCAAACAGTACCTCGAGTCCGGGTGGTGACAGTCAATTTTTTCTTCAGACTTTCCCGTTTGCATCTTTCCCTTAACCAATGAATAGCAATACACTTCTCAGTAATCGCTCACCTTTGAGAACTTCTTCCTCGTCCAGCAGATCACGCCGTACGTCCTCCGTGACATTGTACATCTCCATGATGTCGTCATGTGACACAATACCATGCTCGTTGATATTAGCCAGCAGCGCTGTGGCGGGGTTGTCACGACGCAGCGGCTGTGTGAAACGTCGGTGCAGCGTAACGTAGCTACGTGGTACCTGTACAGTGTACACCCATGCACACGCGCGCGCACACACACATACACACACACCTTGACCTTGACCTTTTGACACCCATCGCCGGAGGCGATGATAGCAATGCTAAGGCAGAAGCCATAGAAACTTGTGCTGGGATTCCACCATTCAACAGCTTGCAAGGCTGAAGAATTGACCGTCACCATTCAGCCTGGTCTACACCATACAGCTATTTGAAGTGACTTTTTCTGGCCAGTGAACCCCTATTTTTGGTCTTTTCATTTTTGTCCCGCACACACCATCACACCACATACTCCGGCATGCACTGGCTGTTGGTAACCACCCAGGAGAATGAAAGAAAAGTCAGGAAGAGTCTTAGAAAGGGAAGAAAGACGTGTGTGACCATAATCATCGGGAATCGAACCCGCAACCTATCACACCCACATCCACACACACACACACACACACACACACACACACACACACACACACACACACACACACACACACACACACACACACACACACACACACACACACACACACACAGCACAGCACAGCACAGCACAGCATGCCACTGTGCAGTTAGTAATGCGTGGACTGCAGAACAAGTTTTCCACCTCTGCCACTGGGAGAGAGCATGCAGGAAAGGTTGAAGTGACCGATCAAATCCGCAAAATGATGTGATCCTAAAGAGGCTGCATGCGTTGCAACCCGGTAATGGTAAGCACTTTACCAATCACAAGCCTCTCTCTCTCTCTCTCTCCATCCAGACTATCAAACAAATTACCTTGTTGTATTTCTCACACTGCAGTTTGGCTTCGTAGTAGATAGCCTTCCTTAGGTCTGCCATACCCGTACCGTGCGATGTGCACACAAAGCAAAGTGGCACTACGCCTTTGGTCAGGGAGCCAATGTGGTTCTTGTAGGATGCCCGTAGCTCCTGCGATACACTTCTGTCGACGTGTGTGCCCACAACAATAGCATGCGCTCCACTGGATAGAAGCTGTGGGTGAAAAACAAACAACATGACAATGATGCTCACTGGTTTGAGGGAAAGACGCAAACGGGAAAAGTCTGAAGAAAAAATTGATTGTCACCACCAGGACTCGAACCAGGGACCCTTGCTTGAGGCCAGCAATGCTCTAACCACTTAGCTATGGTGTAGTCGTCATCCCAGCAAAACACGTTCAACATCCTCCTCAGACTTCGTAACTCAATGATGATGTCATGTTTACATGATGGTATTTGTAAAGGACTTATCAAGAGCGCCGAGAGCATTGTTCACAAAATGAGTGGCCGATCCGTAAACTCTTTGCTAGAATTGCCATGGACAGAGTGGGCTGCAAGACGACAATATCATAGTATTATGTACGGCAGGATACAACGCACAATGTGGGTGTCATGCATGCAGCATCTGCTAGTAGTCTCTGTTCATCACACATACTGCCATGTTGTGCATGGAACTTGCCATTGGCTGGTTTCTACACTGCAGTTGCGCTCACAGGGTCATGGGGTCACGGGGTCACAGGGTCACAGGTAGGTCCAACTGGTTCATAGTATGCTTGAGAACTAGGCAATCAGTCAACTTTGTCACCATACATAGCCATGCTGCTACATGTGGTCACCAGGTGTGGAGAGTCCAGATAGTCCGGAACTACTTTGTCTGTTGCCCGCTGCTCTGGTATGGAGACTAACCTGAACATTGCGCAACCATTCACGGATCGCTTCCAGACCTTCCATGCCAGACTTTGCATTCCATGTTACGAGGAAGAGACAGCGGTGCTGAAATAGTGCACTCCGCAGCACCAGCAGCACATCCAGATCTAGAAGAGAGCATACACATATGTACACACATCATTGGACCATTGGATGCCCATCGCCGGAGGCGATGATAGCGATGCTAGAGCAGAAGCCATAGCAGCTTGTGCTGGGATTGGACCATTCAACAGCTTGCAAGGCTGAAGAATTGACCGCCACTATTCAGCCTGGTCTACACCACACAGCTATGAAGTGGCTTTTTCTGGCCAGTGAATCCCTACTTTTTGGTCTTTTTTATTTATTTTTCCTCGCACACACATCACACCACATACTCTGGCATGCACTGGCTGTTGGTAACCACCCAGGAGAATGAAAGAAAAGTCAGGAAGAGTCTGAGAAAGAGAAGAAAGACGTGTGTGACCATAATCGTCGGGAATCGAACCCGCAACCTATCGATTGGAAATCGCTGCACATACCACTGCACCATATGTGTACACACACACACACACACACACACACACGCACACGCACATGCACACACACACACACACACACACACACACACAAACACATGAAATCACACACACCCAAACATGCCGCGTGAAACACGCAAACACGCGCACGCATAAAGTGTACCATACATACACACGCCGGAACATGCACAAGAACTCGGCACAGGGCAGAGTGCACAAGTATCTGTAGTAGCGGAGAGAACACTGTCTGGCAATGACAAACATGACTATTGAGCAGACATGTTGTCTACCCACCTGATATATCCCATGCGTCCAGTGCAATTTGCCGGCCAGCATCCTGCAAGAACAGGTTTGACAGAACCGTGAGAATAGAATGTACGGCAATTTAACACACGCATTAGCTCATGATAATCGTATCTCAAAAAGATTTCTGACCGCTTATGGTGTTCTCCTCGCCCAGCAAACATGGTACACACGTACTTGCACATACACACACGCGCGTGCGCGCGCACACACACACACACCCGCGCGTGCACACACACCATCTACACACACATGCACACAGCACACACAATACACATTGTGACGGTGGCTGCGGCAGTGGTTGTGTAGGTTAATGAATGAGCGAAATCCGCCCTTCTGAAATGTCAACATTCAAGCATAGAATGTAGTGCTCAGAGCCAGGTCAGTATAACATTATGCATGGGTTTGCAGTGTGTCTTTCAAGAGAGTGCATCGTGCAGCTATAGAGAAGCTGGCTGATGACATCACTCCAAGTAGAAAAGTAGCGCTACCTTCTCCAATAATGTTGTATGTGCAGCTACGATACTGCATGCAGAAGTGAATCAGAAGTGCAGATGTTGCTAGTGTGGTACATGGCATGCATGCCTTACCAGAGTAGCATCGTCCGTAGCTGACTTGGGCACTGTCTGACCATCAGCATTCAGGTACAACTCGGTATGGTCGCAGGCGTACTCCTTCTTCCTTCTCACAGACTTCGACATGTTGGCCTTGCCGTTCGGTGCCTTCAGCGCGGCAACAAGCTGAGTCTTGCCCGATAGCTATCCAACACAAACACAGCATGCCGCAAATAGAAAATTTAATTAAGAACAGGATGCGTAAAATCCCGCAGATAACGTTACTCAGCCTTCGTTGTCCTACGACACCTGTGCTTACAGGGAAAGGATGACAAAATAAGATGTTCAAATTTTCGTATGATGTTGACTCCTCTCCAAACCTATACTATAGATATACACGTACGGTGAGACCTGTCTACGGCGACCGTTCAAGGGACCTTCAAACTGCGGTCGCTGAGTACAGGTGGTCTCCTTATCCAGGGCCGTTGGACTAGAAATAACACCCTTGGGTTCTAGCTGTAGTGGTCCTCTGGGACAGGTGGTCGCCTTATCAGAGTGGTCGCCGTGACAGGTTTTGCTGTATACTGTATGCAGCATGTACAGTGAAGGCTGCTCTTGCATATGCATGTATACATGCAAGTAGGTGTTCTTACCTCTGTGCATGTACATGTAGGTGAGCCGGCAACCTCCGTGCAAAGATATGTAGCCGTGTTCTAACTTCTAACCTCTGCGTATGTATACCGGTATGTACGCAGGTGTTCTAACCTCTGTGCATGAATATGTTACACATGTAACTAGGTGTACTAACCTCTGGTCCAAGGATAGGCAGCTTCAGGCCGTAGTAAGGACGCGCCTGCCGTAGCTTAGCCAGGAGGCTGTTGAGCAGCTCACGCACCTTCAGGTATGGCTTCCTGCCAAGCGTTGTGGGTTCTACAAGTAGCATATCAGTATCAGTGATGCGCACATAGAACATCACAATCACATCAGCCACAGTATTCACCTTGCCTGCCAGCTTGCCCAATTACTTCTCGAAGGGATTTAGAGAATTTCCACACGCTGACTGTAAACTGAATAAGTGAACGGTACGTGATGTGTTTATCAGGGCGTAAACCAGATGCAGCAAGCTGCAAACTACATAATCATCATGCTTTAGTCTTCCACCCATTTAGTCTGTGTTGACATGGTACTGCTATGGTTCCTGTGAATATCTGCACGGTCAGAATTGAACACTACAGCAGCTGTAGCAAGGCTAAGTCTGGGGCATTCACTCTCCACAGCTGCATTCACTTCACACAAACCACAAGCAAATGAGCACTCTATCATCCTGCGGCAACTCCTGCACAGCAAAGCAACGTCGCAGCAAGACAGCAAGGCAATGCGTACAGCATTCTACTATGCACAGAAAAGCCTTGAAGATCGCTATGCATGGTTTGCTACAGGTTCTGAAACCTACCTTCCACGAATGGCTCAACTTGTTTCTGCAGCTTGTCACAGTTCTCGATATGCAGCCAGAACAGGGAGGTCAGGAATCCCATTTCTTGCCGGAGTTCCTTCAAGTTGCAATTGCTGTACGTGCATGTACACCGTGACACGACATGGAGAAGCAATCATTCCACCCGCAACTAGACCATATCACAACTGACTCGTACAGAGCAGTATCTCATCACAGCGCCATATGAAGGTACAATGTGCACTTTTGAACATGATTATGCCAGGGCATGGATGCAAACTGGGAAGAAGGCCAGAAAAGATCAACGATATGTTGGAATTAGTGATATGCATGCTAATGCGCACTACTTACTCAGACAAGCTCAAGGTGACCAGACTGCGTATGTGGCAGACGGATATTGGCACCTGCACCAGCTGGTTCCCGCTCAGGTCCAATGTTACCAGTGAGAAGAGCTTGTCCGAAGGCAACTCAATGACCGTGTCGGAGGAGGCTTGAGAGTCCGGCATACCGGTGGACGAGTTACTGAGATTCTTCTTGTCCACTCTGTGCAGCGCTTGCCACTGTGTTTTGGGGCGGCGATTGGTGAACGGACTAACCTTGGTCTTACTCCCGGATATGACCTCATCGAAGAAAGTCTCAAAGCCGTCGTCTCCAAACTGATTGTGAGCAAGTTTGAGGCTGGTCAAACGAGCGCAGGACCATTGCAAGGATGCGGGAATGCGGCCAATGTCGTTGTAGCTCAGGTCTAGCTTGGTCAAGCTCTGCGCTAGGCACAGCTGCGAAGGCACAAGCAGCAAGCCGTTGTGTGATAGGTCTACTTCGCTCAGCGTGTAGTGCCAGCTCTTGGGGAACTTGGTGAACAGCATCTCCGCGTCACCTTCAAAATCAACACTGTTGTCCATGAACCGGTTGTAGGATGCCACCAGAGTCACCTGAGTAGAGGACATATTACAAAGACGAAAGAATGAGTTGAAAACTGGGCATATCACAGGATGGCAACACTGTGACGCAATATACCTGTGGGTAATATCAACCAGTACCTGCATGATGCTCCTCAGGACCTGTATAGTAATGACATTCAAGTTTGTACCATTGTTATTGTTGGAAAAGAAGGATCCACGGGTGAGATTCCAACCCAGCACTCCTGTCTTACTGGGACAGTGCCCTACCGATTAGACCTGCAGAGATCATACACTCCCGTGGCCCCGTCTTGCTACACTGCACTCTTCCCCAACAGGCTCTGTCCTTACGCCATACCTACTCCCGGGGGTACGATGGGCCGTGGGTTCGAGTCATTGCCGGGCGCCAATGTTGCCAAAAGGATCCACGGGTGGAACTCGAACCCAGCACCCTGTCTTACCGCGACAGTGCCTGTTAAGCTACTGGGGATCACACGCACACGCACACACACACACACACACACACACACACACACACACATACACACACACACACACACACTCTCTCTTCTTGCTACATAATCACACAAACTGACAACAGTTATCACCGGGTAACCATGGCATCGCGCCTGTTGTGACCACTCACCAATCTCACACAGCCGGTACACACAGCGCTCAGGCTTGTCAGCATGTTGTGGCTGATGTCCAGCACCTGCAGAAACGCCAGCGCCTTGACGAAGTGCGGTAGCTCGGTCAGCCTATTTCCGGCCAGCCTGAGCTCCTCCAGGTGCAGTGCTGCCCACTGCTGTGCCACAATGCGACGTGACGGAGGACGGAGGCTATGCTGCCCGGAGATCTGCACAATGTTGGACGAGTTCATACTGACGGTGGCCTCGGCGTCACCTTTCAGGCAGTAGGATAGATTCAGCTTGACCAGGCATGGTAGCTGGCTGAGCCAGATTGGGAAGTTGACCATCTGATTGTAGCTCAAGTCCAGGTTCTCTAGTCTGGACATTCAGTAGAGAAAACCAAATAAGTGAAGCATATCAATAAGTAGTAAGTGTGACTGGCAAATGGGCATGAACAGTGCAGAAACAACTCATGAACACGGGGTGCAAACTCACGAAAATAACCTAAGTGCCACAACATCAATAAGTATTCACTGGTTTTAGGGAAAGACACAAACGGGAAAAGTCTGAAGAAAAAACCTGACTGTCACCACCAGGACTCGAACCAGGGACGTTCGCTTGTAGCCAGCGGTGTCAATAAGTGTTACACTCCTTGTAGCCTGTTACATGGATGCTGAACATGCAGTGCTTGTCTGTATGATGTGTGTCTATCAAGAGGCATTCATGTGTGCATGGGAGTACATGGATGAATTGCAGGTACTTCAGATGTATCATGGTATTGCACGTGGTCTACGAAAAATGAAAGCTATAAGAAAGCACGCATGAACAAATGATCCGCGTGCCGTCTTCACGGCAATAACCTGGGTAACCTGGGTAACCTGAATGCTACATCAGCAGAACACATCAGGAGAAACCATCCCTGGCCCGGGTTCTACGTTCTGATTTCCCCGTGAATCTCACCGTGAGCCGGAGAAGTCTCCATCAGCCGACAGCAGGTTGTCCAAGTCAAGAAGGTTATTCTGGGAGGCATTGAGAGTGCGTAACGTCGTCATGCTCCCATCAAACAGTGCACTCGGTAGCGAGCTGAGAGAGTTGTTGCCCAGGTCCACCTGGACCAGCATCAGCGGAGTGGAATTGCGGAAGAAGAAGTCAGTGGAGCAGAACGACAGCGGCAATCCTCTCCAACTGGCCGTCAGTACGGAATCAGAAAACGTCACCAGGGTCTCCAGAAAGCAGCGCAGCAGTTCAAGGCGCCGCCGAGTCGTGGGCTTGCTGTCCGGTGGACTGGAGAGCTCCACGGGAAGAGGCACTTCGTGCAGGGATAGGAAAGACAGTAGCCGGGAAGCGGACTCGAGGTCGGCATGCGATTTGCTTCTCAGTGCACTCTCAATCAGCGCGCTCATCAGAGTCTTTCCGTACGGTTTGATGATGTCGACCATCTTGAGTTTGGACATCCTGCAGATATCTCTGCAGGCGGTGACCAGGTCCCAGCTCAAGGACGAGATTGCCGTGATGAGCATATCCTCGACGTCCACGGCAGTGAAGGCTTCGGGCAGCTCTGTTGAGGCGATGAACATTGCTATATCCCTGTGGCCGGACAACACCGCGTGCCGCATCATGTCATTGGTGAACCTGAGATGGCATCGGTCGTACAGAAGCTTGGCGCAGTTCGCTGCATTGTGATCGCACGCAAGCTCCAGAAGACGCATGTTACCCATCACATTGGAGTCCAAGAGGAAGGCCAGCACTGCCTCGTTGTCACACGTGCAACACTCTTCGGCTAGCCGCGTGGCTAAATCAGTGAGAACAACCTCTTGCATCCGATAATCGGTGTTGACACGGGTTTTCCCCGGAATGTCATCTTTGCCAGCACTCATCTCGTCAGGATCAGCTGACGCTGGCAAGTGCTGAGAAATTGGACGGAAGATCGGAGCGCCGCCTTGGTATGACCGGGGCCGGGTTAGAGAATCTCTCCGATTTTCAGGGACTGCAGTGGTGCCGCTAGTGGAAGCAGCTTCAGTGGAATTCCTGAAAGTGCCTGACATCATTGTTAGCATGGACTGGTTTCGATCATCGACTTCTAGACTACCTGTACCACTGCTACTCGTGTAGGAATGTCGATAGTGTGAACCGCCCATGTCTCTCTGATCCATACTTGTATCGTCGTGTTCAGCCATGGGACCGAGCGGTGGCGGGAATGACTGATACTCGCGCATGCCAGCTACCAGCTGCTGGACACTGGCGGAGCGTGTCCGTCCCCCCACTATGCTATCCCTGATGCTCTGTTGCTGCTGTTGTTGCTCAGCGTTGTCAATGGCCATGCCACCGCCACCGCCATTGCCACTAGCCGGGCTATGGTCAAGCTGCTGCTCGCTGCCATGGCTGCTTGCGGTGCTGATAGCGGACTCCTGGCTTTCCTGGATGACGGCACACTGCACGAGGAAGTGCTGGTTGGCAACACCCCGCTCAACGGCTGCTACTAGTCTCTCCCAGATGTCCTTCTCGCTTTTCCGACATCCTGCATGCAAGCAACATAAAGTCATACCAGGGCCATACAGTGGAGATTACAAGTAGATGCAAGGACAATGCATTTAACGGCAGATTGAGTTTTACAACTAAATGTACAGTTGTGCTCGGTGAAATCCGACCCGAAGTGCATACTAGTATTTGGCGCCCTCAACTTGCACGGCCCTTGACCTGGCCCTGGAAGTGGTACGAACGCGACTGGACTTACACATATACAAGTACAGTGATGTAATCGGAACTGGTCCAGGGCGCCAGTTTTGCTTTAGGTCGCATTTCAGTGAGCTCAACTGTACATTGCTGTTCTAGTACAGTGGAACAGTTCAGTACAAGCGGTATGGTGTTGTCCATGTCCCTCTGGAAACACGCTCACACCTACACAAGGCCAATGGTCTCAACATTGGCTGGCCTGGTCCAATGACAGAACACCGCTGATTAGCCTTTGCTTCATTTGCATTTTGTATTTAAGGATTCTCCACAGGCCTCAGCCTAAATCGAGGGAGTCTCCGTCATTGAAAACAAAGAATCTGGTGCCAAGCCTAGTGGTATAGGGTAATAGTCTGTTCCCGAGAAAGTCACCAGCTATTCGTCCTTGCATGTTGCAGCATATCAACTGCTGTGTACCACAACCTATTACGGTCTTCCCCATTCCTTTTTCGGGTACTACAATGTACATCTGCCTATTTATCACTATTCACCGAGCGTGATGCCCGCTTCATACATAACCGGTGTTTGCAACGCGGCAACACAGCAACAAGGTTACATTAGTGTAGCTAGCCTAACGGTGCTACGTGTCATCCGTCTCAGTTCCCAGTTCCTACCCGATCTTATTGTTTATTTGGCATGATCATCCCATCAGCACTCAGTCCGAGCCCACCTTCCCTCGAATTCCACCCTTCCGCACAGCTGGTATCATAATATCGAACAGCGGCCGCTATGTCGCGCTTTCCACGACGTTGTTCGCAGCCTGCAGGTGGTGGTTACGCCTGCACCCATTCTGGACTTCAATGTCAATATCTAAACACAAGCATTGCCCGCTCACCTGTTGTCGGTGCATAAGATTGCTGTTGGAAAGCAGCATCGTCTGAGTCTGAGTCATCCATTTGTTCAGTGTCCCGTTATGTTTACTTGCTCGCTTCCTCGTTGCCTATCCTCAGCCGCGGAATGGCTTTGTCCTCCACCCTTCACTCCATCGTGCTCAGCCAGCACGACGTAGTAGACCACCAGTGGTCAGCTCTCCCAAAACAAACACAACTCACCTCGTGTGGCGAGGACACCAGGCTCGCCTGAACTTCGGACTGGTCAGTAATCTGTCGGACACTGATCCTGGCCCGCTGTGCGGCAAGGGTAACCGGTAGATCTACCGAGTAGAAGCTACTGCTAGCACTGGCGGTGGGATGGACCAAAGCTCGGTCAATTTTTTAGAATCTGGTCACGCGTCAGATGCATAAATACATGGAATAATTATGTCCGCCACGCGCACGGCACACACACACACACACACACACTACACAGATTGGTAAAATCATGTTGTCTGCCACCTGCGCTGTACTAGACTGCGTGCTGATGATGGCTGACGACTTGTGCTCTGCGGAACTCCGCTGATCACAACTCGGCACGGGGTGGACCTAAAACTGTCTGTCGATGGGACGCCGGCAGAAGATTGTCATTCGACATTGCCACCGAACTTGATCTCTCGTGCCGTGGCTAAGCTGTGCCGTACTTGAGTGACATGTCCGGAGTGACCTTTCCCCTTCTTGTCAGCTAACGTTCCCATTTTTTTCTACCTTACATGCGTGCATGATCGAGGAGTAGTGACGGGAAGGCCTGTCCTTCATGTGCAAACGAGTGGATCTACGTGAAGATCTGCTTTGTGGAGTCTTCGCAGATCTACGTCTGCTGTCTGTGTGCGTCTGCGACACTGACACGGGCTAGCGCAGATGCGATCGACGCTAAGATAGCGCTACATGTAGCCAGCAGAAATCTACGTGTCATTTAGATTTGTGTAAACAGTGTGCAACGGTCCATCATTGTCGGAAGGACGTAGCCACGTCGTAGATCATCATGTAGATTGCTGGGCCAAATAGATCGCCCGTCGACGTCACGCAGTTGTCGACGGAAAGCGCAATCTCAGACCATTGCAGACTTCAGACTGTCCCGAGATGGAGAGTACTTTGACCTGGCGAGCCCAGACTGGCCAGAGGCCCATTGCCATTCACACACATGCGTCAATTCTTATTTCACAGACTAGACTGTTAGTGCAAAACACACATAATTCAAGCAACAAGAGCGAAGTCACAGTTATGCGGATGAAGGCCTCGGGGAGTTTACTTGTTGATGTTTACATACGAACAGACGTTTTGCTCGTTGCGTGATTCGCTAATGTCTTCCACCTTGAAATAACAATAAGTGTGAAAGCATTGGCTGCGTGCGCACGTTCGTGTGTGCCTTAAACCTCTCGCTCTCGCCTTCTCTGTTCGGGTTACCTGTCGACTGCCGTAACCCACCAATTGCCTGTGTGCGAAGAGTTGCAATGACCCTTTGCACGTCTTTACTGGATGTATGGAGACGTCGTTCTGTCTTACTACACTCTACAGTACTACTCTTCCGTCTTCGACTCTTCGCACAACATATCGCACGCCTGTGCCTGTGCCTGTGGACTCCGCATGTACAGAAACTAGCGGAAGATGTTTCGAAGTAACGAGTTACGTTAGCTGGAACAGATTCAGATATTGGTTTTGCTGAAGCCGGATGTGTATTTTCATCTTACATGTATCTGCTTCCCGAACTATCAGTGGCACTGTACAGTACAAGTGTACATACTTTCCAGAGGCCTCGTTCATGCGCATGTGTCCGTGGCTTCCATACCAGACCGCAGTGTTGCCTCTCAGTCTCAGGACTCTCGCAGGACAGAGTCAACCGCTGCGAAGAGTTTCGACGACTTTCATCTGCTCTGAGCCTCTTCTCGGAGACAGGAAATACAGGGGCCGGTGGAATTTTTATTCTGCTAGTGGAGAAATGTTCCAGCCACTGACTGTGCTTCGTATCCTGCTATGCCTAGACTAGAGTGGATATGACCGTGGCTAACGGGGTTCGCTCCCTGCATGCCACAACAGAGCAGAGGGCACGCGATAATATCCGTGATGCCGAGGCTCGCCTGGCCATCAGTTGCCAATCCAGGGCATCAGTAGATCTACTAGTACTAGACAGTAGATCTACATCACGGTCTCAACTAATTCGTGTGTGCTCACCTGTGTCCATGTGGAGTTGCCGCTCACTAGCACCAGCGACAGCATCGGTTGAGCCAGCCCAGTGTGGCCTTCTCGCTCTACTGAATCTGTACTCAGTCTCTACGCTCTGCGCCACACACTGCTGTCTGACTGCAGGTTGAGTGCTGTCGACGTCCAGGTCCAGAAACTGTATGTTCAAGCACTGAGTCATTGGATTGCTACAGATGAAGGGAGTACAAATTATAATGTATGTAAACCATGACGATGTCCTGCAATGCACAGCATCACATCAAGAGGGTTATGTACTCTTGATCACATGCGATCACAAGTACCATACCGTACCAATAATAATACCCTGCTGTATGAGTGGTGACACAGGTAACAGATGGCCATCATGGGCTACCAGGAAACATGCAGAAGATTTCTGGAAATCTTGTTTCCCACACGGACATCATGACGCTGTTCTTCCGCTCTTCTGCAGCACCTGTTGCGAATGCAAGCCATCACTTTGACACGCTATGACTCGCAGAACTGGATATCGGCAACAGTTTTGGATGGAAGAGCCGTGGATTGTCCTTGACCATGCCCTGGTCTATTGCAGGCATTGCTCTGGACTCTAAGTACATGGACGGTCATCGGCATCTCCGGATTCATTGCACCCTGCACAGTCAGCAATGTGCTGGTACTGCTCTGAGGTGATCGAACATGTATTGTAGTCATGTACATGTAGTGGCTGTCTGGACTGCTAGCCAAAGCTTAGTTATGATGTCTCTGTGGATAACAGTTATCAGTCTACCACCAACCGGGTAGCTTCTACGCAAGGCGATAGAGGACCCTGGCAGCTGAATGTACACGCACACTTCAAGAACCATGTCATGAAGAGCTGAGGAGAAATGAAAGAAAGGAGGCAGACTGATGACTCGGTCTGGATTATAATGCTGAGATGGAGCAATGGTGTGGAAACAGAGCAGTGTGAACACTGAACACCGGCACAAACTAGTGACTGCGTGTCAAACCGTAACTGCAGCAGTGTGAGATGCTCGGATGTGAAAGAGGTAGATAGCCTCAGTGTAGGCAGGAGGACTCTCGTACACGCAGTGTGAACTCTCAATACAGAATACTGGTACAATGTGACTGCGTGTCAAACCGTAATTCCAGCAGTGTGAGAGGTAGATAGTTCCACTGTAGACTGGAGGACATTCGTATATCAGTGAAATATTTTGCTGCAATAGGGACTGAGTTCCTAACGGATATCCTTAGCAGCACTCCTCGGTGACTACTAGTCCTGGTGTTATTGTATCAGAAATGCACTGCGTGAACATTGACACTACTTGTATGTACCAAATTGGCTGAGCACTTTAATTTAAAATGGGATTTTCGGTCTTTGACCACTTGCTGGTGAGCTGATCTACTCACCTCCCACCGCTTTAGGAGCTGCATCTGCGCCTTGATCCTTGAAGGGTGGTGGCGTTCCTACGGATGCGGAAAGCCCGGCTTCCAGCCGAGTCTCACGCGAACCGTGAAATTTTTTTTTTTTAAAATTTAAAAGCAGCTCAAGTTGACTGATGAACAAGTGCCATGCATGAGCCAATGGTCGGCGTGAGCTCACACTGTCACTGTTTAGTTGCTGTGTTTGTAACTTGCCATGGTACTCCTTCTGCTCTGTCGCCTTGCATGCCTGAGTTATATCCAGCACTAACTTGAATCATGCGGCATGTGATAACAGTGTATACATTACAATCATACTTACTACGGTGTCAGACATCAGGCCGGTGGTGTATAATTTAACAGTTTATCCAACCCAACGATCACTGATAATGATCTGCTGTTAATATGTAGGCTGATTACTAAGAATCATTCTGAAGAAGACCAATATGGCCCAAACATTTTTAACACTTTGTCAGTATCAAGTCTTGCTCCCACTGAGTGGCTCGGCTATCTACTGCTGTACGTGATCATCGGCTAGCTGGACCTCTGCTAGTGTGCTATTGTTCGGAGAATCAAGTAATTAGTTCTTGCTTGTTATCAATGCTCATCTCAGTCTTGACACGGTACCCAGGTATGGATCCCAAGGTACCATGAGCAGACTGCTAACATGGCATGGAAGTCGTCCAGCCCTGGAACTACTGTACATGTATCTAACCGTAGCCTACGTCAGTGCTCATGGACAGTCACCAGGTGATCATGGTGACTGTGAGGTTCAATGCCCGTGCATCATGACCATGCCACAGCAATTTGACAATGAGAGGGACAGTATGGTGGCTAGCTAGGATCTCTTCAAGAGTCAGCAGTCCAGGCTTATATGTTCTATGCAGAAAGGCATGTCCAGCTTGAACAAGTAAGTACCGTTGAAGAAGAAGGTGGTACATCATGTAGCTTATCTGATCGATCATCGGACAGTCCGAAATGCCGTGTGTCGCAATGAACTACATCTCAGTACAGAGGCACAATGGAGCTTTTGGCAGTCAGTTTGCTGTTTTTGCCCCACTCATCGCATTGTGCCAGTGGTTGTGAGACGTATCCCCTCACCCCACCGTTAGGCGCTGCATCTGCCACTAGGGTTTACCGGGCGTTAGCGGCCGTCGTGAGTTCCCTTTGGGAACGGACATGATTTACTTTTTACAATGATATACCGCGTACAGTATAGCATATCACACAAGGCGCAGGACACACTGCGTTGAAAGCACTGTCCCTGACTGCAACCAGAGACCAGTTGGTATCCCGGTCTTGCAACCATATCAGTGAACAGTGTACCTACAAACAATGTCAATGATTGTAGTCGGTCCCCGGGTCAGACCTTCTGAAGGGCTGGGTTGGGGGAACTTGGGGGCGGGGGAGGAGGGATCCCTATACCCCCCTAGGATCCAGGCGTCTTACCCGGCCCCTACAACTTTCAAGTACAAGCCCTATCAAGAGTTCATAACCCCATCCCAACTCTTGGCCCTATCCAGGGAGTCGGTATTTTACGACTCCCTGGCCCTAGGCCCTATCTATAAAGGCACTGTACTCGTACATGTACAATAAATGCGCCGTGTTTCATGCAGCGCAGGGAGTCGACTCCCTGGCCTGATGCAGCGCATGTGATGTGTACGTGTGCTCCCATGGTGATTTTGATTTGAACACGGGGAAATCCCTGTTGAGAGGTTGCATACGACTTGTTCAGACTCGCACACATGGAATCTTTTTGTTCCGAATGATAATCGGAACAAAGTTTGAAGCTATTTTTGATTTGTATTCCTCCTTTCATCGATGCATCAAGACTTCACAACTGCCTGACAGTGACATTATTTGTTTATTCTTTCTGGCCAATGTTTGCAGCGAGTAGTGTAAATTGAACTCTAAATCCCGCATTGGCTACAACAGAGTCGGGTGCTGAGGGGAATTTCAAGTTCACGATGTCCAACGCAAATTTCATGGATGACCTGAGTGTTTGATCTAGAATCGACATCTAAAGCAGCTCGACTTCTCATGGACATGACCATTCCTGAGTAGTGATGTAATTTCTAGTTTCCAAATAGTTGGAATCGTAGCAATACTCTCTGCAGATCTGGATAGCCGCCTGCGAGGAGGTTACCTTCTAAATCTCGAGAGAGTTTACTCTCGATCTCCACAGTCAATATGAAGTACGTCTCAATTTGTAAGGTTGAATGATGAAAACATACACCATGGTAACGAGTGTGTTGTGCGCGCGCGCGCGTGTGTGTGTGTATGTGTCTGTGTGTTTGTGTGTGTGTGTGTGTGTGTGTGTGTGTGTGTGTGTGTCTGTGTGTGTGCATGCATGTATGTGTTTGTGCATATGTGTATGCATGTGTGCACGTGCATACACATGCGCATGCTGGTTGTCCATGCACTACTGCCACCGTTGCCATGCGTGTGTGTTCTTGGGCAGGCTCAACATTGATGGCTTGCTGGTCTACTTCCCTTACGAGTACATCTACCCGGAACAGTATTCGTATATGCTGGAGCTGAAACGTTCTCTCGATGCAAAGGTACTCTACTGAAACAGGCAGTCGCTCACTGGTATACTAGTGGCAAGAGTTCATACCCCCCCCCCCCCCCCCCAGAGTGTGCAACGCCGATCCAACTCTGCATAGGGTCTTGGTCGAGCGTAATCGGATCTTCTGATGTCATGCGTACACTCCACACCAGCGCAAGGCCGGTCTCGAGGCAGGCCACCGTTGTTTTTGATCTGAGAGTACCCGCGACTCCCCTGGTTCCCCTCAGATGTGTACGGTATTATGACGCAAAGATCCGATTACGCTCGACCAAGACCCTATGCAGAGCTGGATCAGGCGTTGCACACTCTGGGGGTTATGTACTCTTGGTAGTAGATGTGACATACACGGCATTCTTGTGCAATGTACTGAGAAGAAAGAAGTGGACGCAGAATGTACTGAGAAGACAAAGATAACACGTTTCCAATACATGCACATATGCAATACAGTCGCGTATGTTTGCCGATAGTTCTCGTTGTTACAAGGGAGTGTTAACAACATGTGTACCGCAGAATCGCGGATAAGCCCAGGGTTAGTTCGAACATCACAAAGCTTCATCGTACAAGCCCATGGGCCTAGGTCATACCAAGAGTCCATAAATTATGGACTCTTGGTCATACCATGTACATGTACGTAGTACATGAAGGGTTTTTTTGTACATTTCAACACAATCATCGGTTGTTTTTGTTTGCACAGTGGTTTTGAGCAATGTACTTCTCACTTCCTTGATACTTTTCAATAGCACAATTTTGGTGTCGGCGTGTAAGCCCATGCCCGCGTATAAGCCCATGTTCTCGTATAAGCCCACCGAAATGTCCTTGTGAAACAGATAAGCCCATGGGCTTATCCGCGGGATTCTACCGTATTCCTTTGTAACAACATGTACGGTATTCCTGTTGCGAAAAAAGCTTTTCGTGAGACTTTCAAGTGGGCTTAGTCACGGGACAGCTTGAAGTTGCGGAATCCCAATCCCCCAAAGAAGCATAGGCTGGGTGTACATGCAAGCTGAGTGTTGTGTAGAAATACAGTAGTGACAACTGAAATCCGATGCCAGGAGCGGTTTACTCGCACTGCACCAACACAGCACGCGACCACACCAGGTTCAAAGAATGGACAGTGCATGCATGCGTATTTGAACTGCTGTGCTGTACTCACGCCGTATCTCGTACCTGCCAACCTTTGCAAACCTGACACCGGGACATTGAGCTACCTACTTATAGATAATATGTACAGTCCGTATCGCCTATAAGGTTGGCAGCTATAGTAATACGAAGTAGTGGCTATAGTAATATACCGGATATAGTGATCAATTTCTCAAATTCATTTTCATTTGCCATAACTAAGTATACACAGTTATCGCGTATAGTAACAATCGTCTATAGTAATATATCGCCTATAGTGATCAAATTCATATTTCAAAAGACCTTTATTACATTATTATTGCATCGGTTATAGTGATTGATGTTAAAATAAAGTGATGGCAGAGGAGAACAGGGTGTTACTTCTTCGTGAATAACTTGTCCAGTGAGTGTTGTTTGGTGAGTTTAGCTCGTACAAGTTGCCAAAATATGCCTCCATCATGAGGAAATGCTGATTTTTGTGTGCCAGGAGCTACAGCCAGCTACATGGCATTGTACATGTATGTAGTGCGTATGTGCACGGCGCGCTGAGTCGTTTGACACCCCACTCGCATACATTGCATGCAGTATCGGTCATAGTAATATATCGCTTATAGTGATAATGCTCAAAATCAAACACCAACGCTATAGGCGATACTGACTGTACATGACTGAAAAATGTAGCTCAGGGGTGCGATAAGTGCAGTTTTGGGTGTCTATTACTAGTACCACCGTGCGAAATGCAGCCTATCGCACACTGCCAGCTTTCGTCGTCGGGGGCGGGACAGTGTACTCCCACCTCAATATCGGGACGGTGTACTCCCACCTCAATATCGGGACGGTTCCTGCCAAATCGCGATTGTTGGCAGGTACGGTATCTTGCCGTAAAACAGCAACAATAAGGAGATTCACAGTACATGTACAGCGGTACACGCACACACAGTAGTACACAGCCATACGCACAACCAGAAAATGAATGCCGAAAAGTGATCTTCACGCTTTGCTGGCATGCCAGGCACATGTCTACCACTCGCTACGATTCGTTTCAACTCTGCACCACTCGTACGTAAAAATCCAGTAACTTGTTTGTTTACATCCATGATGCTGCAACCATGTGTTTTGAATTTGTTTTTATGACTGGTGTATGTAAAGATGCCGACAATCGAGCACAGTGACTGAGCTAATGTAGCTTGTATCTGATCTACTCTTTTGTGTGTATTTACCCACAGGGTCACTGTGTGCTGGAAATGCCTTCAGGCACCGGCAAGACCATCACTCTTCTCTCACTCATCATTGCCTACATGGAGGTAAGGCTTGTTTCCAATATCACAGCTGGTACACGCCGGTTCTGACGCCACTGTATATTTCAGCATCGTGCTGACCAACGGCTTGAAAACTTGTCCATGTGTCATTGTCCTGGCATAGCTCTGAGGGGAAACATGATGCTTGAAAAGCGGGAACTCATCATAATTATTACCCAGTTGTCTGTCAAATCGCCATAACCATTATAGTTTATGATAATTATGTCGCCTTTGCTCATAGTCGTTTGTGGCCAATGTGTGTGTGTGTGTGTGGTGTGTGTGTGTGTGTGTGCGTGTGTGCGCATGGGTGTGTGTGTGTGTGCGTGTGTGTGTGCGTGTGTGTGAACGTATGTACATGTTGATGTTTGTGCTTGTCTGTGTGCGTAGGCTAAGCCACATGTCATCAGCAAGTTGATCTATTGCTCCAGAACTGTACCCGAAATTGAAAAGGTATGTATTAACTTACTACATGTGCACTCCTACTTCACTACTATACAGTGTAGCTGCAGGAATGCCATCATGCGTGTAGCAGAGGTGGCCATCAGCCTGCACTCATTGGTGAAGTGCAGGTTGTTGCTTTTCATTGATCATAGCCATTAGATTTTGATCTCATCCAGGGAGTGGACGACTACCTGATATCAAGAGTGTGCAACTCCTGCATATGGTGCTGTACCGACGGAAGTTCAAGTTGACATCATTATTATGAACTATGATGCATTGCTCCCCGCACAAGTGATATACAGTGCCTGCACTGGGTGTCAACGCATCGCATGAGTTTCCTTGCACTGATTTGTACAGGATCAAATGGAGACTTTCCACAACAGCTTCAGGATACGTCTGATGATTCATGTACAATGCCCATTGCATCATAAAGATGATGTCCAGTTGAATTTCTGTCGGGACAGCACCCATAGTGGAGTTACACACTCTTGCTTGGGGGGCCTGGGGGCTGTGTACTCTTGCTGGTAGTTGATGACTTTCTGACCTCATAACTAACTTATTTTGTAGGTCCATGCGATTGAGTAGTGGCCTTTGCCTGCAATGCTACTCATCATGTACACATTCAGTGTAATCATGGCAACAGCTCCCTAACTCCTCATATATACATGTACACGTTGTAAAGTGCATGAACAGATTTGTATCATGCCTGCTTGCTATGGTGGTGGTGGCATTGTTTCAGGTTCTAGAAGAGTTGAAATACCTTCGGGAGTACATCGCCAAGGAGACGGGCACTGAGCCGCACCTCGTCGGCCTTGCTCTCAGCTCTCGTAAGAACCTCTGCATCCACCCAGAGGTAAGGTGAAAGCATGTGCATTGACCGACTCCCTGGCTCTCCTCACTTCGTGCCTTCTTGTGACGTGAATCTATTTGATTGCCTCTTTCTTCTCCATCAATTGCAGGCATGCTGTGTATGTATATGGATGTAGTCAATATTACACATTCTTTTTAATTCCAGTAGCAGAGCTAATGAAGATATCGGTGTGGGGGTGGTAAGTATCTGCCATGAACTTTTCCCCTCACACTCCGCACCACTCTACGATATACTCATGCTTCACTTGCAGTGCAATTGCTGGTTGCATGCACGCTGACTGAGTGTGATGGACACACACGAGTTCTGGCGCAGCACGTATTTAGGATCTTGGCAGTTTTCGTCAGTGTTTGCCTGTGCTCTAATTCAGCGACAACTCTCTGCGAGTGCCAAGTACATTGCCATCCTTTCCTTGCGTGCAGGTCAGTCAAGAGCGCGATGGTCGCATTGTGGACAGCAAATGTCACGGCATGACAGCGTCTTACGTGAGAGAGCGGAGGCAGCAGGATGAAAACGTGGAAACGTGCGGTTACTTTGAGGTTAGTGCATGCCACGCGCGCTGCTGATCTATAGTACACCACGGTACACTCTGTCCTGTTGTGAGCTTAGTGCATGCATGCCGAACTCCGAACTCAAACCCCAATGGCCTGGCTGCACAAGAAGACATCAAAACCAACCGACCTCAGTCCTCAAGCCTGTACATGTAGTGTACTGTTTGGGCATATACTCTCCTCTACTATTCTATGACAGCATCAGCTCCTGTTAAACTGAACATCCAGGGGTTCTTTGGCAAGCTGGAAACCCCAGGAAATATACACATGTGAGGAAAGTCACGGCCGGTTTCACTAGACTTACAATACTGGTCAGGCAAAAAATTTCGTCGGTCAATAATTTCGTCCAACTCCAAAGAAAGGGAGTTCGTCCGGTTGTAAATTTCGTCCATGGATCATAAGAGTGTATTGAAAAGCTGGACAAATTGACATTAGTCCGGCATTTTATTTAGTCCAAAAGCTCCTTGGACGAAAAAGACGAAATTAAATTCCAGACGAATATTTCTGCTTATACAGTACAGGATAGTGTCATTACTGGCCCGTCACACAACATTGCAGGAATGGAATAGTGAAAACAACTGTCTGTGCTATGTAGCTTAGTGGCTTGCTCAATCTGCTCTAGTGTGCAGCTACTCGGCCACAGAAGTCTGAAGAGGCCCATGTACAGTCGACCTACCCTTATAACGATATTTGCGTCAGACCAAGAAATATTGTTATAAGGGTAATATTGTTATAAGGGTAACTGGTTCATTTCATACACATACGTCATAATGCATGGATTTTGTTTGTTTTTACACTCTTCATAGCATAAAACACTTACGTACATGCACATTATGTACACAGCAAGGTGCCCACTGGTGCCCCCATTGCATTTCGTCATTTCCCAGCGACTTATCAAGTGAAGCTTGCCCTGCTTGGATAGTGGGCTGTCCATATTCCCTGCTAGATATTGTTATAAAATGGAAAAAAGTCGATTGGTCAGCCCATTTTATATCGTTATAGGGGTAATATCGTTATAGCAATATTGTTATAGAGGTAAGGCATTGTATACACAAGTCAATGGAGTGATTTGGTTTGGCAGAAAAATATCGTTATAAGGGTAGGTTGACTGTACTACTTACTACCTTGTAGTTGTACTACCTTATTGTTTGTTTTTTAATTCGTTTTGTTTTTTGATTGCCCAAAGGCTGTGGGAGCCTATCGAGGGGCTCTCCTGGGAAAGGAAAGATGAGGAAGAGAGGAAAGCAAAATGTTTACATGAAGATTGTTGACCCGGGTTGATTACTAGTACTCTAGTACCACGTAGATCTACCTTTTCTGCTGTAACAAGTGAGAAAATTACAAGAAAACTCAGAAAATTATGAGAACATCGTTCAACTAATACTTACACATACCTACTGTGTATAGTTGCCTGGAGATAGCTGTCCAGAGATGGAGTACCAACTTTGTATACCGTTAAGTCTTGTATAAAAGCCGCACTTGAATAGAAGCCGCAATTTTGGGCCCATCAAATCACACATAAGCCTGGTTTTAGTGTTGACATACATAGAAATACCTGTCTTGTATAGAAGCCTGCAAAATTTCACCAAGAAAGTCGTAGAAGCCGCGGCTTTTATACAAGACTTTACGGTATGCACATTAAGAAAAAGCACAATAACAATAATATTATTGTCGAAGTGAACAGAATTGGCTATAGTGCGTTTCAAAAGTCCAGACCTCTGGTTTCAAAAAACCGTTAGGCCAGCATCTATAACACATAAAATCTGTGATCACTTTGTGTATAATTTTTTCGAAATTGGGCGTCTGCTATCCAATCGCTTAGAAATTTTTATGAGAAAAATTGCATGAGCTGCCTGAGCAATATTCCGAAGAAATTTCTCAGAAAGCTCAAACCAAATTTGAATTATTCAAGAGAGTCTAGAGGTGTCTATACCAAGAGTTCATAACCCCCAAGAGTGTGCAACTTCTGATCAGTCCCTGTATGGAATCCCGCTCGGCGGAATCCCTTCATTGTGTCATTTTTGGTGCAGTGCGATGAGTCACACCGATGAATTCTTCTAAAATGTACAGTCAAACCAGGATGCTTCCTCAAGGTAAACTGCCTAAACTGCGATTCTGATCTGAGCCTCAAGAATTAAAACAAAGCACATGATCCTAAAGACAAAACTATTTTTCGATGCCAATGGTGCAGCCCGTGACTTTTCATCGCATTCTTCTTTCGCCAGAGCAGTCAGTCTTTTCAAGAACTATTTCTTCTCCGGGCCCTCAGCATGTTTCCGGTGCTTTCCTCGAAGATGATTTCAAATGATTGACGATTTTGAAATTGAGAATACGTCGAAGGAGCATTTCTCGGCTGAGTTGCACAGCTATCAGAATGATTGTCCTCGACGGTAATGCAATATTTTTTTAACAGCGTCCTCACTTCTTCTTGTCGTGATGTCCATGGATTCTATTCTTGGAGAAAGAGTTTGTTTTTGAGAAAGTACGACTTGTACTTTTACGTCCGAAATGTCTTCAAAAAAGGCTTTGAAATGTCGAGGCTACAGCCTTGAGTTAGGAGCGGTTACGGGTATAGTTTCCAGAAATCGCAAGGAACCGAAATTTATCTCGGATGACAAGTTGAGCATGACGTAATGTAGGAATTTCGCCGAGCGCTGGGTCTATGCCTGTTGCACACTCTTGGGGGTTATGAACTCTTGTCTATACTTTTGAAACGCACTATAGTGTCCAGGTGCAGCCTCCAGGGCAACCAATGACGCAGGATAGGAAACATCGCGAGGCACCTTGAGTGAACGCGATCCGCGAAGACACATCATCACTTGACTGATGACCTTCGGCGCAACTGCCAGACTGACACCCATACGCGTCATGACATACAGCTTCTCTCGCCACACCATAGCCTGATAGCGAAGTAGTGATGGATGCAGCCGGACTTGAAGATAGGCCTTGCGGATGTCCACGATCACCTGCTCCTGGCCCCGGAGGCGCCAATCTCGCAGCTTCTGATCACATGACGGCACATCTGGACCAGGGTTCGAGTCAATTGCCTTGTTGAGGTCACGGTAGTCCATAACGGGACGAACAGACGTGCTGGCTTTGTGCTCTTGGCAGACAGCTATTAAGGGTAACACTGCGCCAACTGGCCCGTGAACAGTCGCATCATGTGGAGTCGACCATCCATTCTCTATCCACGCGTCTAAGCAGAACTAAGCTAAGGCGGCAGCAAACCCATGCCAATACAACAGTGTAAGGCTCCTGGGTCTTCTCGGCCAACAAGGATGCCATCCTCTTGTAGAGAGTTGCGCAGTGAAGGCCCATGCCACCAGTGGTTGTGAAGACAGCTGGGACGAACGACACGTGCTCAACATCAAGGTCTCTCCGCTCGTATCGGCAACACTTTTCCTTCTCGCAGAGGCAAGTGAGACAGTACAATTTCAAAGATGCGAAGGGGTAAACCCGTACATCAATGAATGTGCGTTTTGAATTGACCACCCTATATGCCACGCGCAGCTTCATGCAGGCAGGCTTGGTCAGCCGTGATAGCGATTGTGTTTATGATGACCTTGTTCTGGCTATAGCACTTTTCTGGCTATAGCACTTTGCACTAACACAGAACCAAACCAAGCCAATGCAGATTTGCAATATCTCAAGGTGTATCATTGCCACATACTTGTAGCTCACATGTGAGTACATGTGAGCGGACAAGGTAGAAATGGAACGTTAACTGCAGTCTGGCAAAAACTGTTTTTTTGCATGAAGGTCACCTACAACTATCTGTTTTTCAGATCCCAAAGTTTCAGGCTGATACTATGGTGGGAAGTGCCTTACATTCACCATTTTCTAGATGCCGGTCAGTATTTTAACGTCTGTTTCGGGATGATTTAAACAGTCCACCCTTCAGTACAACCAAAACACTGAAAAAAAACCCATTATCTTGGCCTGTATTTCTCCACAAGTGTATATCAGTGTGAAAGATGAGCTGATCACACACATGGACTCGTTTGAGGTGGAACCAAGCAACAAAACCACATAACTAGAAACAGCCGGAGCCGAAAAATCAGCTCCAGAGTAACTCGTGATGCAAGGCAAAATAATAGGACTGTTGAAGCTGGAACTCAATCCACACATCAAATACCACTACACACATGTCAAAAATAGAAGAATTTGGCGGACAAATGGTAATTCCAGTGCGTTCTTGCTTCAGCCATGTGTGCACGCTCTCATTGTATACTGTTGGCGACCTCGGACTCTGCTCTGATGCATTGAGGCTCCCGACGACTGAGCAGCGCAACCTTGGTAATATAGTTTGTAACATTTTGGCAGGAGACAGACAGCTCTTGAACACACAGCATCGAAATAATATTCCGGAGACGCACCACCAATACGGTGCCCATTGGCGAAGCAGGACGAGTCCACAGACTTGAGAAACTGTACTTAACGTAACGTTACACATCAGTCCGCAATCCGAGGCCCGATTTGACTTCTTTCCACTCAGCTCATGTTCACCAGCCTTGACCATTCTGTGTATCTCAATTCTTAAAACACTCATTTCCAGACAGTGCACGATGCAGGTCTGCCACTTGCATCCAATGCATTGGGCAACAGCTAGCTAGTTGTTCTGGGCTATTAAGTCCCTGTATACGTTCCCCTGTGGTGCACAACGCTATTGTTTCTTCAGCTCCTGCCCTGTGTGCTTCAGAGCTCTGAAGTCGGTTCGGCGTATACATTCAGTACAACTCAGCATCCACAGGAACGTTCCCCTTCATTGGTGTTATCATCATCACTGCTGTCACCACGTTCGCCTGCATCCGAAAGATCCATCTCATTTGTTCCCTATGTCTTTTTGTACCGCGCTGAAGCCAGCAGCAAACAAAACGCTGATCGGCACGTCGTTTTCGGCGTAGTGGAAGACGCTCTCGACTACTACCTGACTCAGAAACGCTCTCAGAATCAGAGAAGCTCTCAGCACCTGACAGCAGGCTATCAGCTGATCGCCGTCACCTCCAAATTCGCCCGTCAATACGCCACCCGTCGCACAACTAGCTGCCATATCTTCCTTCAGCCATAACGGATTCACTTCAAATTTTGAGTGCTGGACCTTGAAGCCCTGTGCTGAGCGAGGCACAAGCGCTTGATGCAAATAGAGCCCTCTAACCCAGGTAAAAAATATGCCACAGTTTGCCAAACTTCAAACGCCTGTATCTCAAAATGATGTCATGCAGCTAACGTTCCATTTCTACCTTGTCCGCTCACACATGTAGCTTCGCAGCTAGTGCAATAAGTATCTCAAGGTGTCCCATCACCATATGCATGTAGCTTTGCAGCTGGTACAATACGTTATCTCAAGGTGTCCCATCACCGCATACATGTAACTTCACAGCGAGTGGCGTTTGCGTAGTGCAGTGCACACCCTCTTTTCCGGATGGCGGAACTGCTCACCTGTAGCAGGCTGCAGATGCAGCTTTACAGACACAGTGTGCGCCACGCGCTTCAAGAGCTAAGCTGTGACGTCGTCCCGTACCTCATTATGCCGAATGGATGGGAAGCTGCCAGTCGGGCACGACAGACATGGCATACTGAGAAAGAGGAGCCACAGGCATAGGTAGATGGCAAATGCAGAGGCAGTCAGTTGGTGGCACAGGTGCTATGCGTTCCTTAGAGCCACCTCTCTGTCAAGGCTATTGAACGCGTTTGTAGCATCGTCCAGCAGGACACACTCGGAAGAGGGGTCGTTGAGCGCATCATGCATCGCATGGATGGCTGCCTCGATTCCGCCGTCTTGGCCAGCACAGAGCTGTGAACTTCCGGCTGCGTCCAGAACATCTTGACGGATTAGCTGCAGGATGGACTTGCCCAGTATCCGCGACATGACTTCGCCAATGCCAATTGGCCTGACGCCAGGATTCTTGTCTAGCGGGATCAGGCGGCATGCTGTGTAGGCAGCTAATGAAGACGGATCCACACTGGTGCTGGCAAGACAGCGGGCACATGCAGCTAGAGCATCGCACAGGTGATCAGATGCATCGGAAAATGACGCACACTTGCGCCACCAAGAATCAGCATCAACATACACCGCTGTCGTTGACAGGAGCATCATCCACGGTAGGATAAGGGACCGAGGGTGCATGCGTTCAGGCTTTAGTCCTGATTCCAGCAGGGCCCACACAAGCTGTTGCGAGTTGGAAACGGCAGCTGAGAGAGAGGCATTGAGTGCCGCAGCGGCGATTTCCTCAGCCGCGTTTGCTCTCGGACTCCTGTCTGAAGTGCCCGTGGCTGCTTGATATTCATCCTTCGTTTCCCCACGTTGCTTGTTAGTGTGTACCGGTGGCATGATAACCTGACATCAAGATCTTGCTTCTATTATTCTCCAACTGTTTTCCAATGCAGGGATTTGATCTAACCGGCAAAGACACACCATTGGAACCCGGCATATATAGCTTGGTGAGTTACATGTACTTGACTAGTATGTGAAAAGGCGACGAGGAGACAATAACTTTATTAATGCGATTGATAGTATAAGTGAAGCGGACATTACAAAATGGCCCGCGATCTGTGTTTAGACGACGCGGTGCAGTTACTTCTCACCATGGAAGCATCGCACAATGGATGCAGCGCGGAGAAAGGTCCGGTCCACTAAGACTTATCGCTATGAAGTGGATGGTGACGAAGTGTGCCAGACTGTTATCATGTACGCACATAATCATTATGTAAAGGAGTGGAAGCTAAAACAAAATTAACGCTGCCTGCAACGATGGTGACATCAATGGACTTCCCTGGGGCCCAGGGCCAGAGGCCCGCTCCAACTTACCTGCCATGTGCTACTAGTACTACCACCTGTCTACCAAGAAGCATGCGCATACTGAATATATCAAGGCTGGAGGAACAGCAGCATACACAACGTTCCTGAAAATATGGAGCAGCGAGTGCAGTGATGTGATAATTATGAGGCCAAAAGAAGATGTGTGCGGTGTATGTTCCGATCTGCAGTCTCAGATCGTAAGGGCAAGAACGGCAGAAACTCGCTTTTAAAAGCACACTGACGCACTCAAAGCTCATATTGATGAAGCTAACGTGGCCCGTGACCTTTATCAAAAGTGTATTACTGCCTGGCATCTGATCATCTGCCAGTGACGCTCGAGACGGCTGGAATCTCACCGAGCGTGCAAAGTACTTGCACCAACAGATTCGTCAGCACTGCCACGCAGAGAGCAGAGATATCACCGGCCCAGCACCAGACCAAGCAGACGGCCAATGTCCTAATTATATGTTCGGAACATACATAGTAGAATACTGGATAACTGTGCAAAATAGTTTTTCTCTGTACATAGACAGGTGTATGACAGGTGTATGAAGCCTCAGATACGAATTATACTGTGAATATCAATTATTTTCGGCATTTTTATGCACCAAAAGCTTTCATAAGATGGGTCATATTTCAATGAATATATACAATTTGAGCCTAATACTTCACCATATGTTTGGGCAATGGCCAGGGACCAACTTCCCGCCAAAAACTCATTTTCGGCAAAATAGCACCAAAGGGTGGTTTTAGCAGATCCTTGGCCAAATGATGAATGAGAATACATGTATCTAAAATGGTTGTTCCTAATCGATTTTCTTGAGACTATCATCAGGGAAAATCGTCTCACAATAGAGGCTATACGGAGAAACAAACTACTTATAGGTTAATGGATAGTGGGAAGTATACAAGGTGAGGTGTGAAAAAAAACTAAAGTGGGAGAGAAGACGAAAGAAATTAGAAGAAAAGATGTGAGAGTGTTCTGACGGTGTGAGCTACTACAAAAGGTGAGTGAAATGAAGGCGTGGAAGCAGGTGAATGTGATAGAGTGAGGAACTGTGAGGTGTAGGTGTATGCGAATGAATACGTGTGTGAATGCTAGGTGAAGAGTCTCAGTTTTGTGACATTTTCTTTCTGAATGCATAGATTAGGATTGTGTTTACGGATGAAAACAGCTTCTAATACCTTAAGTTCACGAAACCTACGAGCACGACACAAAACAGTGAAGCATGAATCATCATACACTGAGCGGCATTGGCTACTAGACAAGAGGTGTTTCTTAATGGCTGACCCTTTCGTTGTGGTCTCACCTTCAGTCCGGTCATCGTCATCTTGGTTGTCCAACTCACTCTCTTCATCACTGCTCTCACCTTCCTCATCCTCCTCCGCTTCCATCCCGTCCTCTGCACCCAACGACAATCCCACGCTACTGCTCGCTGCCAGTCCATGTCCGGTTGTAGATGCTATTACCCGCGTACGAGTCATGCTCCTAGTTATTGGTCTCCGTACCTGTGTTTGGCCATTTCCTTCAGTCTCACGTACCTGTGTACTTGTAGTCCGTTCAACCGGTACTGTGTGGTTCTGTTGTAATTGTGCAACTGGCACCTGTTTGCGGGGACGGCCTCGTCCAGGTCGCTGGGCTTTGGCTCCATCTGACAATAGGTACAATGGTACATGTTGTTTGACGCGTGCGTTCAGGTGCTGAAGGGTTCTTCCTACATATCGGCTATCACAATGCCGACATTCAAAATGATAGATCACATGGCTAATCAGTTGGGTAGGAAGAACATCCTTCTTCACCGTGAACGCACGGGCCGTACCGGTTGAACGGACTACAAGTACACAGGTACGTGAGACTGAAGGAAATGGCCAAACACAGGTACGGAGACCAATAACTAGGAGCATGACTCGTACGCGGGTAATAGCATCTACAACCGGACATGGACTGGCAGCGAGCAGTAGCGTGGGATTGTCGTTGGGTGCAGAGGACGGGATGGAAGCGGAGGAGGATGAGGAAGGTGAGAGCAGTGATGAAGAGAGTGAGTTGGACAACCAAGATGACGATGACCGGACTGAAGGTGAGACCACAACGAAAGGGTCAGCCATTAAGAAACACCTCTTGTCTAGTAGCCAATGCCGCTCAGTGTATGATGATTCATGCTTCACTGTTTTGTGTCGTGCTCGTAGGTTTCGTGAACTTAAGGTATTAGAAGCTGTTTTCATCCGTAAACACAATCCTAATCTATGCATTCAGAAAGAAAATGTCACAAAACTGAGACTCTTCACCTAGCATTCACACACGTATTCATTCGCATACACCTACACCTCACAGTTCCTCACTCTATCACATTCACCTGCTTCCACGCCTTCATTTCACTCACCTTTTGTAGTAGCTCACACCGTCAGAACACTCTCACATCTTTTCTTCTAATTTCTTTCGTCTTCTCTCCCACTTTAGTTTTTTTTCACACCTCACCTTGTATACTTCCCACTATCCATTAACCTATAAGTAGTTTGTTTCTCCGTATAGCCTCTATTGTGAGACGATTTTCCCTGATGATAGTCTCAAGAAAATCGATTAGGAACAACCATTTTAGATACATGTATTCTCATTCATCATTTTGTAATGTCCGCTTCACTTATACTATTAATCGCATTGACTAGTATGTGTCTGCATTAATGGCAATGCGGTCAAGAGCACCAGTTGCTTTGGGACTGTTTCAAAATGAGTGATTGCACAAAACACATGCACTTATAAGTGAAGGTCCCTGGTTCAAGTCCAGGTGGTGACAGTCCATTTTTTCTTCAGACTTTTCCCATTTCAACTCCCTCAAACTTATGAATACCTTGTTATTTTTTGTCTCTTCTCTTGCCACGTGTGGTGTTGTTGTAGGAGGACCTGCGTGTGCTTGGCCGGAAGCGTCGCCACTGCCCGTACTTCATGGCGCGATATGCGGTGAGTGTGTTCATCCTTCGGGCGCTTTTGAATGCCACCATTCCTTTCCCCTTTCTACCAAACATGCATGCCTGTAGAGCATTGTAGCATTCTGTACATTGTGCCTGGTTTCAAAGTGTCTTTCAGCCTCTTGTATGGGAAGAATAACACAGGGGAGCCATGGCACAATGTTCACAAATGTAATGAAAAAAACTACTGTAAAACCTGTCCAAGAAGACCACTGAAACCAGGATCAAGGGATGCTACTTCCAGTCAAATGACCCTGGATAAGGAGACCACCTGGTAACAGAGACCACACTTTGAAGGTCCCTTGAGCGGTCGTTTTAGACGGATTTCACTGTACATGTGTGTAATAGCATATTTTCCCGAACAAAGGGGACGCGACTTACAATCAAGCATGGCTTACTACTGAAGTCAATATTATTGAAAGGATATGAAATGGAACAGAAAATGGGGATGCGACTTACAATCGGGAAATGCGGTACACAATACAACCTGAACTGAAGTGATCATGCTGAACCTCGCTAATCATGTAGAACACAAGCGTTACACAATAGACGCAACTGGTTTCAACTCGTACTCTTGGCTGAGGTCACTCACTGCCTACGAGAACACCGTACGTGTAGTATGTGTACTGCACCACCGGCTAGCTGTTCCTGACTTTGCGCATGTATGTACCTGTGTGTTGCTGTAGATCACTCATGCAAACATCATCGTGTACAGCTACCACTATCTCCTGGATCCCAAAATTGCAGATATGGTGTCGAAGGAGCTGCAGCGGCAGTCGGTTGTTGTGTTTGACGAGGCCCACAACATTGGTATGTTATGTTAGATGAGAGGTCTTGTAATAAACTGGCTGAATCCTGCATACTCGTAAGCCTTGCGTGTTCGGTGGCAGGGTACTGAAATATTGACGTACTGCGGTACATGTTACCCATGGTCACTGACCCCAGTGTGTGCGTGTGTGTGTGTGTGTATGCGTGTGTGTGTGTGGGGGGGGGGGGGGGGGGGGTGTATGTGTGTACGTGTGTGGACACATTAGTACAAGACTACAAGTACATGTATGTCACTTTCAATTTGTACATTTGTCAATGCAATTTTGCATTCTGATGGTGCAGACTCATACTAATAAATTTTATGTTTGCGGCCAGATTTCCCAGGGCACATCGATATGACATTGTATCTGCTTCTCTCATCCTTGCAGATAATGTCTGTATCGAGTCAATGAGTGTCAACATAAGTCGGCGGACTCTGGACCGAACTCATACCAGCATTGACAACTTGCAAGCATCCCTGACAAAGTGAGAGTCAGGAGGAGTTTATGTGCATATGCTTGCTTGTGGTTAAGTGTCTATCTGCACATAGGTTGTGTTTTAGGGGGGGACTCTTCTCTTCCTCTTCTGCATACGTAATGTTACATGACTCGTGCACATGCATTGTAAATACCGGTAACACACCATTGCACTGGGCACAACGCATTCTTATCATGATTTGCACAACCTAGGAATACAATTGTGTGTCTTGCTTCAACTTGTGTGTGCATGCACGTGTTGCTACAGGATCAAGGAGACCGACGCGGCTCGGTTACGTGGTGAATATCAGCGGCTTGTCGAAGGCAAGTTAGACATTGCGACTCTTGTTCAATGGTGTTCATCATTTGTAGTGCATGTAGTACACAATGTATCTAGTACTCATTATCAATGCAGTACGACGCCATGGTGTGAGCCAACACAATTATATCATGCAGCGTCTTTTCCACTGTTGTTTTGATAGGTTTACGAGATGCAAGTGTCGCCAGGGCAACTGATATCCATCTGTCCAATCCAGGTATGTAGTGCTATGCTTGTAGTTTTGATATTCACTTTCCATGTGTACATGTGTATGCTATAGTGTGTCATGTTGTGCGTGCTTGTATGTATATACTATTCTGTGTGTGTGTGTGTGTGTGTGTGTGTGTGTGCGTGTGCGCGTGTGTGTGCGTGTGTGTGTGTGTGTGGTTTGTGTGTGTGTGTATGTATGTGTGTGTTTGCTCGTTTGCTTCAAGTTTGATGCCTCATGCTGCTGCCTTCTTGATTTAACTTTTTTATAAATTTTAAATCAAGAAGGCAGCAGAATTTTTTCAGGTGTCAGTACAATGCTAAACTGTGTTTTTCTTCTTTGTGTGCACGGGTTTGTGTTTCTACAGTGCTTCCAGATGAAATTCTCGAAGGTGGGCATCCCTCATGACTCATGAGGTTTTTCAATGTTACAGTATGTAATGTTCTGGATAGGCAATAGCAGAAAGAAGTCAAGGTGTGCCCTGCCCTGTTGTAACTGTTAGTGCAGTACAAATACGTTTTTGATAATACTTCAGTAGCGTTCTGCAGGCTGCGCAGAGTGTGTAGATTTACATGTATGTATACACATAGATTGTCATGTGAGCTGTGTCGTTAATACTCTGTGTGAGTGTGCCATCTGAATGTATTCAGCTGCTACGCGGCGTGTGTCTGATTGAAAGAACGGCCAACTGATGCTGTGTGCGGTGGTCGCATCTGCAGCACTGTGTGCTATTGAGGCACCGTCGCCATCACTACTGTCTTCATTTCAGACTCACTGTTCTGTTTACCTACTTGAAGTACAGTAGAGTCGCGCACCCAAGAACGTTTTTCCCACGGGGTTAGCCTGGGACGTTCTTATTTTTCAGAAATCTGGCTGCGTTCTTATAGCACGTTCTTAGGGTGCGTTCTTAAATCCTCTCGGAAAAGTTGGAGGCTCTCCGAAAAGTTCGAGAGCTGTTCTTATATTCTCTCCGACTTTTAGGAGGCTCTCCAAAGCTCTCCAAGCTTCAGAGGTGGTTGAAACTTGGAGATTCCCGCGGTTTGGTATCAGCGCATGCGAACTACGGCTAAAAGCCACGTGTTGATCATGAGTGTAGTAACTAGGGGTGAAACTGTTCGGGTAAGGAACCGGTTTTGGAACCGCCAGCTGAAAAGAATCGGGTACCCGTTCCGTCAAATTTCGAACCGAAATTCGAAAAATCTCGTTCTTGTACAATACATGTACACGTCGTCTACTCAAGATTTTAAATGTCTTACCTTACGATCCCCACTCTTCCAAAGAGTTCTTTGGTCATTATCTTCTTCACACTTGGACTCTCCGATGTCTCATTCTTGCTCGTAAAAATGGTTTTTTCTAAAAAAATAATTGTCGCGAATACATTTTGTCGGTCTGGAGAAAAGAGTGCATGGAACCGATACCCGAACCGTGGGAAACAATGCTGGCATTCGAGTACCCGAACATGAAAAACATGGAACCGTTTCACCCCTAGTAGTAACTGTACGCATCTCCCTTTTCTAATACGCACATGTGCATACTACGTTCATAACTCAAGATCGCGGCCCCTTTGGCGCTTCATATAGCTTGACATGTGCAAAATATCTCCGAATTCTTCGAGGCCCGTTCTTGAATAATCCCAGTTTCTTCGACTTCTCTTTTCTTCTTTTTCTAGAAGCTAGAGAATATAAGAACGCACCCTTAGAAACAATGGGACGTATGCATCAATTTCCCGCCATTAGTTTTTGCGGGGCAAGTCTACTGCAACCGTATACACCTTGATACCAACTCTGCATAAAAAGGGCATGAACTTTGTGAGGTCATACTCATAAGTGTACTACATGTATAACGATTTGTACCTGCCAAGTATGGGGTAACTTGCCCCGCAAAAAGGTGGCGGCCATCTTAGATGCATACCTCCCATTCGTGCTGAATCCTATGTATTCCAACTACTACCAGAAAATCAGCACCGCCGTTCTTAACTGGAGACTGTGGTGTTCTTAGCATTTCCAGCTGGGCGTTTTTAGCATTTCCAGCTGGGCGTTCTTGGGCTCCATGTTCTTCAGCGCGCACCTCTACTGTATATTTCTACTCAGACTCACTGCTCTGTGTACTGTGTTGCTGCTCAGACTCACTGTTCTGTGTAACTATATTGCTACTCTATTGTTTATGCAGAGGCTGTGCCAGGTAATATTCGCAATGCCGAGCACTTCGTTGCGTTCATGCGCCGATTTGTCGAGTACTTGAAGGTGAGTGAAGCATGCAGGCAACTATGTAGACGAAAATGCTGCTCAATGAAATCCGATCATGCGAGTCAATGCCACACCGCCACCGGGCGCTGTGCAGCTCCAGACCTGGCAACATTGAGCTGTACACTGGTGCAGGGCGCACACTGGACTCACACGATTGGATTTCATTGAGCATGACTGTAGTGGATATTAATTATATGCTCTTTGAAGTAGAAACTGTATAGCGTACTCGCGCGATTAGTGCCCCTGGGACAACATTCAAGAGAGGGCACTAATTTTCAAATGGTGGTACATTTGCGTCATCCAGCGTAAAAACAAAGAAGGCAAAGAAAAACAGAGCCTGGAGTTTACTGTAAACTATCACTACTCAAGAGAAACGGCGACAAGAACTGCGATTTTGATCCTGAACCCGCCAGTGCAATGACATGGACAAGAACATTAGCAAAAGAACACCAAACTTGCGCATGATTACAAGCCGGGGGGGTGGGGGGGGGGCACTATTCAAGAGAGGGCTCTAATCTCGCGTGTACGGTATGAGCCGTGATCAGCTAAAACCGACGTATAGCTTTTGCCGGAAAAAATGGAGAAAATCATTGTTTATGTAAGCCAAGTACGTACAAACACTTTCCAGTATAACCAAATTTGAAACTTTTGACCTATAGGTTTTTTTTTGCTGATCACGGCTCGTATTTTGAAGCATGCCGCCTTGTGTGGTGGTTGTACTTCAAACGTATCTTCACTGCGGCTTGTATGCCGGTATTGTCTTGTTTCTTTGTTGCAGACTCGGTTACGAGTTCAGAACGTTGTGTCAGAGACTCCACAATCGTTCTTGCTGGACTGTTACAAGCAGGTGATGATCGACAAGAAGCCACTCAGGTACAGTACAACTACTAAGTTGGTGCATAGCCATATTACTTGAAGACTATAACCTTCACGATGAGAGCAACATATTATGTTGCTCTCATCGTGAAGGTCTACTAGTACATTGTATAATTATTCTCCTACCTACATGTAGTTTCATACTTGTCCACGGCAAGACTTTGTTGTGCCCTGTTTTACCCTAACCATTTGCCTGAAGTTTGTTAAAAACATTATGCGCTTGCTTTAAAGATACGCCTTTTTTCTTTTTTTCTGCAACCAATGGCTGGAAAGGCCACTTCATTGATTGTCACCGGTGAGAAACATCACTTTGTGGTGTGATGTTTCACTGCATGCAGATTCTGCTCTGAGCGTTTGCGCTCGCTGATGCAGACGCTGCGTCTGGAGGACATCACCAACTACTCGTCGCTGACCCTGATCGCAAACTTTGCAACGCTGGTCAGTACGTACAGTAAAGGTGAGTGTGAGTGACTGCTTGTTACACTCCTTTCTCTCTGCGCTCTCCTGTGGCCTTTGCTAAATGTACCCTTTGGCCTTGTAACTGGCAGAACTAGCTTTTGATTATGGCAGTGCTTTTGAAGCTCAGTTCATTGTTGGCTTGAAGATTCCTATCTTTGATGTATCTTTGCACTCACTTTTTCCCATGCTAACTGCTCATGCCTGCAGGATTTAACATTCTTATTGAGCCGTATGATGACTACTCGCCCACCATCTACAATCCAGTGCTGCATTTCAGGTATGGCTGTTGCGAGGTTCACCGTTCACTGTTTATTGTTTTCTGGATGTACATGTACATGACAGTGTATGTTTTAAAATTGTGTGTGTGTGGGGGGGGGGGGGGGGGGTCACTGTGGGAACATACTATGGAAAAGTGCAGTTCTGCTTGAACAATGCCTCTTAATTTAAGCGTTTTGCTCCTGTTTTTTTTTTCTGGCTCATATTAGTAGAACTTGAAAGTAACTATCACAGTCACAGTGAGTGCACCTGTCCAAGCATACATAACATTGCGTGACCTTGTGTGGACACTTGCTGTGGCCATAGAGCTTATACTGTAAGACATGTATATATAACGAGGAAGCAATCTAACGTTTTAACGGATGACATTTCTTCGTTATAATAAGATCCGTTGAGGCCGTACTGCTTCATATAATGCTGTGTGTGGATATGGCAGAATACTGCAAGATCGTTAACATATCTTCTCGTTAACCTATGAATTTTGGACAATCGTTAAATTTGCGACTCGTTATAATAACATGTCTTACAGTAGTACATTGTCTGTGGTGTCACACAAGTGTTGCTGACTAGGGTCCATTGCGGTGTACAAGTAAGGTGTTTCTACCCAGGAAGGGTATACAGCGCTGCGTTGGATGGTTAGTTGGATACATATACATGTACATGTACTCAATCTGCAGACAGAACTGTTTCGTCCTCTCTGGACTCATCAGCGCAGCACAGAGGAAATGAGGCCGAACCTGATAGCACTGAAATATAAAATTTCCAAAGCCATAAATTTTCCGAAGCCATACATGTACATGTATGTAGGTACCGTCAATGTAGAGTATGCGTGGCGTTATGTGGTCTTGTGTTTGTGTGCATTTGCAGCTGCATGGATGCATCCATTGCCATCAAACCGGTGTTTGATCGTTTCCAGTCGGTGGTCATCACATCTGGTGTAAGTGTCTGTGTCAACACTGTGTTCATTGTTGCTATGCTCTGATGGCCATTCTGCTCCCCATCTCTGTCTGTTTGGGTTAGGAGAGGGTAGGGTGTTGCCGCGCCACCTGACATTAAGTCACAATACTGTATAAGCAGAAATATTCGTCTGGAATTTCATTTCGGTTTTTTTCGTCCAAGGAGCTTTTGGACTAAATAAAATGCCGGACTAATGTCGATTTGTCCAGCTGTAAAATATACTCTCATGATCCATGGACAAAATTCACAACCGGACGAACTCCCTTTCTTTGGAGTTGGACGAAATTATTGACCGACGAAATTTTCTGCCTGTACAGTATTGAATATACGCACATGAAAATTCGCATTTAAAATTGCTCTATTGACAGAGGTAAGAGGCGTATTTTCGTCAGGTGGCGGCAGTTCTTTCTCCTTTCTTCATCATTTCTTTCCCTGTGTCTAGACTCTGTCTCCTCTGGACATGTATCCAAAGATCTTAGGTTTCCAACCTGTAACAATGGCATCGTTCACCATGACGTTGACAAGGCCGTCCATTTGTCCTCTGGTAAGCATGTGCATGCTGCCTCTGCTCTGCTTTATGCAGTGGATATATTTCCAGCTCTCCTACTATTCCGCTTTTGTGTGTGCACAAAAAGTCCGGTATATCGAACTTGATTATGTATGATGTGCGGTGATCGTTGGATGTTTGTTTTGACAAGAGGTATTGGGATGTTGATTCTATGTGCAGATTGTGACACGCGGGAACGATCAAGCTGCAATGTCCTCCAAGTACGAGTCCAGGGATGATACATGTAAGCGGAGCTGTCTCTCTTGTGCTCAGGCATTGGATGTACTCCCTGTTCCAGTTTTTTCTTCAGGCAATGTGTGCCTCCTGCAGCTGCACACGTTTAGAGATTTGAGCGCCTCATCCTTGCTCTGCTGACGAACGGCTTTGGTTTGTTTCCTTTTTTGGTTTCTTCAGCGGTGGTGCGTAACTATGGCAACCTGCTAATGGACCTGGCTGCAGTCGTTCCGGACGGCTTGGCGTGTTTCTTCCCCAGTTACTCCTACATGGTGAGTTGTACTACGTGTAGTCATTGTGGACACATTACGTCATCACGCCGCTGAACACAAAGCTACCCTGTGCCGTGCATGATGCTGTTGGTTTGCTGTTGTGCAGCAGGAGATTGCTACAGTTGTTGTTGTGTACTTTATTTATAGTGGAAATCAAGACAGGCATATGCCTAATAACAATGGATCTGCGTGGTACAGAGACTTTGATTTTGTGCAGCGGGAGATTGCTGCATGGTACAGGGACAAACAGCAGAGACTGAAATATACACTACAAAAAGTTACAAGCAGGACCGGCCGAGGCAGCTCGTAAATGCCGCTGTCTGGTGATCGCTGAAATGTGTGAAACTTGTGTTACAGCTCCGCAGCTCTTCGCCTCCAATTATGTAGTATGCTGTAATTTGTGTTTGTGTTGGTGCTCTACTTGCTTGTTATTGGAACACCCTGTTGATATGGTTAGTACATAGTGTCCCTGCGTCTGTTGTACAGTGACTGTGTACATGTACTGGGCTCATAGTCACAGTGCAGCAGTTGCATCAGCAGATACTGTTGACTGTTGTATTTGCTTCCCTCTGCTGACCTGATCTCTGTTGGACCTCTTTGTCTGTGCAGGAATGTGTGATAGCAACTTGGGCTGACCAGGGCATCATTGCCAAGATCCAACGCTATAAGTTGATCTTTGTTGAGACGCAAGATGCTGCGGAGACTACGGTTGCTCTCGAACACTATCAGAAGGTAGGACACTGGGATACTGTCACAGTCTGTGGATACTGTGCATACAGTGCATACTGTGCATACTGTGGACATGGAGGTACATGTACAGGTATATATGAGCCGCGACACGACAAAAGGGTGCTTATGGCATGCGACATCCAACTGAGAAAAACTCGTTTGAAAGCTGAGTATGCAATATTGAGAGTGCACATTTTGTTTTTGAATTTGATTAGTTTTCGTTGCGATTTATCAAGCTTTTTGAATGCGGTTTTTTGCAGCAGAAGCAGTGAGAATTCAGCCATTGCGCTGTATCCATAACTCAATTTGTGAAATTTTTGCTATACTGTAAGACATGTATATATAACGAGGAAGCAAATCTAACGTTTTAACGAATGACATTTCTTCGTTATAATAAGATCCGTTGAGGCCGTACTGCTTCATATATGCTGTGTGTGGATATGGCAGAATACTGCAAGATCGTTAACATATCTTCTCGTTAACCTATGAATTTTGGACAATCGTTAAATTTGCGACTCGTTATAATAACATGTCTTACAGTAAGCACCCTTTTTTCATGGTGCGGCTCATATGTACCTCCATGCACTTCACGACGTGAAATGTTGTGGACGCCGGATAGCAGATGTATTGCGGAGGGACCTCTGGGCTCCTTCCTCTGGTACAGCAGGTGTACCATTCCCAAGGTGGAGCACAAGTGGTACAAACTCTGCATCCGGCTGCTTGGCTGCTGCAGGTTGCAACTGATCATCCTCCGGCGCCGGCTCCAACGGAGGCTCACGATTCAACAGGATGTCACGCTTCATCAGCTCCACGCTCACCAATTTCTCAGCTCCGTTTTCACTCTGGATAACGACCGTAGATGGACACAACTCGCACAACATGCCATCCAGTCTGGAAGGGTGGCAGATTCTTCCGGCTCCTGGGTGGTCGGCGAAGCAGCACTGCATCACCGACAGCGTACATTGCGGCCTGAGGCTCTGGAATGACGTTGTTTGATGTGAACTCTTCAGTGATCAGATCTGGAATCCGTGCCGCCGACTTGGAGAAGTCCTCCACTCAACATGATGGCATCTGATGATCCGCATCAACTATGTGACTGTGCGGCTCCCATCCCATCAGAGCTGCAGCTGGGGATACACCACTTACGCTGTGAGGATGCACGCAGTAGTAGTACAACAGCATGTCCAACTCGGTTTGCCAGTCACTGCTACTGTCGACAATCTTGCAAATCAGCGTTAACAGCGTGCGATTGAATCTGTCTCGTAAATTCTCCAGCAGCTGCTCCCTCTCCCTAAACTCAAACTCCAGGCCACTTTGCTTCCGCTGCCTGTTGTCTTCTTTGATGTAGGACTCCATAAGGTTGAACGCCCTTTCCCTCAGAGTCCGGGCCGTCACCTTTGCAAATCTGGCAGGCACGTTTCCTTGCAGGTTTCCAGCGATCCTCTCCCAGCAGGTAGCACCACGCACAAAGGGATGGTCTTCTGCTACCACATCCCGCAGGAACAACACGTCCATGGCCTGGAAATGCGTACTTCCCGGTTTCGGCGTGGGCTGAGAGGGAGAAGAGGAGTTTGATTTTGTTGAACACGCACCAGAGGGAGAGCAGGAGTTTGAGACCGGTGGCGGGTTAGAACAAAGGGTGGAGGAATACAGCAGTGCTGCACCTTGACCTGCTGCCAAAGACACACCGGTACCTCTGGGCTGCACCATGATCACTCCGAAAGCCCTGTCCTAAAAAATCGAATGCAAGAAAGGATGGTCAAAACTGCAACTCTGTGTAGATGCGTAAGGTATCAGCCTTGTTACGTTCGAAACGTTACATCCTGCGTTGCGATTTTGGCCTGAAACGTAGTAAGCCAGATACGTAGCGTATTTACGTAGTGCTAAACCTCCCTAGTGCCTCCCAATTCCCGTGGCCGGAGGTACCAAGGGTACAGGTGCAACCAGGGAAGAAAAGATACGGCCGTGGCCAAAGAATCCCGACCCACTAGTCCAAAGGAGCGCCGCGTTTCCATTTCAATGGCATCATGCGTGGTCTAAAAACCCGCCCGAGGTCGGCGGGGGCCGTATGAGCCTTGGCTTGGTGCTGCTTTCGGCTCACGGCTCGGATTTCTTTGGCCACAACTGTACATGACTGTACAAGCTCATGAATCGTTGAGCAATCCTTGAATTGTACTGTCTCACTACGTTTATGACTGTATACTCTTATGCTTGTTTTGGGTTCAGTGTAGCTGTTAGGTTGCTGTGCTTACAGCTTTCACTCTAATGGTGTTCTGATGTTTCCTTGCAGGCATGCTGCAATGGCCGCGGTGCCATTCTTCTCTCGGTGGCAAGAGGCAAAGTGTCGGAAGGTATCGATTTCGGTAAGTCCTTCAAACAGTCCGCTCCTGAATGAATGGAGAGACATGACATGACATTCACTATGTTGCTAGCCACACTGCAGGTGGGCCTATCTTTCACGAAAGCTTGTTTTAATTTAGTCATTAGTTTGAGGGAATAAAAAATTCTTAGTTTCATTATGGGCAGCCCAGTGACGCTCCAATAAACGCCATCCTGACAATTCTTATGTTGGACTTACTGGCAGCACAAAGTAAATCTCGTTTAGTCAGCAACACTTAAAAGTCTGTTGCTTTCATCACCTTGAGATCTACCTGGCATTGCCACTGCTCATTCAAACAGTACAGGGTGCTGTACGAGGTGAATAGCAATTTCTGGACATGAAAATAAAATAGAGCCCCACTGGCTGTGTGTTTTACATTTTTCTTATATCTTTGTATTTATTGTATGGCCTAATCCTTCATCTTTCCAAATATGTGACAATTACTCCTGCTGTGATCCCAGAGACTTTATAGCAGGATGTTTTCGACAGTCCAATTTTTTTAGGCATCCTATACTGCATCATTTTTGTTATTTTTTCTATTGGTGGACTGCAGTTGGCCTCTTCACACTTCCAGCCAACAGGTCCAAGACTATACAGCGTCTGAAGTGGAGTGCACATGGGGAAGCCAACGATTCGTCCATTACTTCTTATTTTACTCAAAATTCAAAATTCTCATGCGACATAGTACCACAAAACTCGTTGAAATGCCTCCCAAGAAAAGGCTATCAACAAGGCACCGACACGAGGAGAAACTACAACAGCCCAGCTGTCAACTACAACAAGAAAAAAACTTCATCAACCTGACTGACTGGACTCTACACGCGACGAAAAATTATTTTACTCGAAATGTCCAGAAATGTACTATGTCCAGAAATAGCAATTCACCTCATAGGAGCTTGGATTCTTGGTTGTGACACGTACACGTGATTGTACTGCCCAATTCTCATTCCTTTTTTTGTCCTGTGTTGGCTGACAGATCACCAGTATGGAAGAGCTGTCATCATGTTTGGTATCCCGTACGTCTACACCCAGTCAAGAATACTCAAGGTACTTGCTGCTGGTGGTGGTGGTGGTGGTGGTGGTGGTGGTGGTGGTGGTGGTGGTGGTGGTGGTGGTGGTGGTGGTGGTGGTGGTGGTGGTGGTGGTGGTGGTGGTGTTGTTGTTGTTGTTGTTGTTGTTGTTGTTGTTGTTGTTGTTGTTGTTGTTGTTGTTGTTGTTGTTGTTGTTTCAAATCTTTATTCTCACGATAGCCAGTGGCCAATAAGAGATGATAGTGTAAGAAAGGAAAAAGAGTGAGGAAGAATTGGGTTGTTGTTGTTGTTGTTGTTGCGGTTGTTGTTATTGTTGTTGTTGTTGTTGTTGTTGTTGTTGTTGTTGTTGTTGTTGTTGTTGTTGTTGTTGTTGTTGTTGTTGTTGTTGTTGTTGTTGTTGTCGGTGTCGTTGTTGTCGGTGTCGTTCGAAATCTTTCATTCTCACGATGGCCTATGGTCGATTAGCCGTCGTTGTTGTTGTTGCTGCTGCTGTTGGGGTCTTCTTAACACCTATTGCATCTGGAAGTCATGACTGTACTGGTATTTATTGACCGCCCTAATTGACACTTATAGCTTGCTCTGGCCTGGAGACTGTAGCAGTCACTTTGCAGTACATGTACGAGACTGAGTGTTGGCAATGCTCTGCATTGTATTGTAACTTTTAAACTCAACCCCATAATTGTTTTCTTTTTTCTTCATAGGCGACATGACAGCATATGTGTGTTGCACTGTACTAGTATTCTGAGTGTTTCATTCTCAATTGCATTGTATCCAGGCACGACTGGACTATTTGCGACAGAACTACCTGATTCGCGAGAATGACTTCTTGACGTTTGATGCAATGCGCCATGCTGCTCAGGTACGTCTTGTCAAGTGCTGTTGGCTGTGGCATTATTAACAGAAAATCTATGGGTGCGCTACTAGTGCACTTGTCTTGCAGACTTGCGTGCTTCTCTGGCGGCAGGCATATGTTACACATCGTAAATGGTGTGTTGTTGTTTCAAATCTTTATTCTCACGATAGCCAGTGGCCAATAAGAGATTGTTGTTGTTGTTGTTGTTGTTGTTGTTGTTGTTGTTGTTGTTGTTGTTGTTGTTGTTGTTGTTGTTGTTGTTGTTGTTGTTGTTGTTGTTGTTGTTGTTGTTGTTGTTGTTGTTGTTGTTGTTGTTGTGCAGTGTGTTGGTCGTGCACTACGAGGCAAGACAGACTACGGTATCATGGTATTTGCAGACAAGGTGAGAATCTTGCCAGTTCCTTCCCATCCACTTCCTGCCCTAGCCTGTGTACTTGTAGTGTTTTCCTTGGTAATACAGTGCAGAGGGACTTTTGATTGTATCCTGACATTGCTGGCCTTTTACAGTGCAGAGGGACTTTTGATTGTATCCTGACATTGCTGGCGTGGTTGTGCAGCTTTAGCCTTATGCGTGCAATGTAGTCAGGGACCACGTCATCTGAGCTCAGAGCGTCCAGTGTGGATTGATGCTGTGTTTGTGTTCACCCGGTGATTTCAGAGGTTTTCTCGAATGGACAAGCGTGGCAAACTACCTAAGTGGATCCAGGTGAGTAAAAATTGACAACATGCTTTTGGTACACCTCTCTTCAACTTCAAGACCGATGCCGTGTCCCACCTCATCTGCATGTACTGTCGTGGACATTGAACTCTGATGGGATGACTGGGGCCGGCGCCCTTACTGCTTTTATCGTGTACATGCACTGTAGTTAATGTACACACTGTAAAAATGGACCAACAGTGCTCACGGCTGCAAGGCCAGCGCCCGTTTGACTTCTCACGGGATTTCAATATCCGCTACAGCACTTGCACCATTACCTAGCTTGTGATTTGTGTGGTCTTTGTAGTTTTTGGTTATTGCTGAGGTTGTCTTGTCACATAAATGAGCAGTGGCTGCAATGCACTGTCTACTGTCACATTTGTATTGATGGATGCGAGTGATGGCTGGAAGATTGTGTTCCTCATGTTGATTTCTGTGCATAGGATCATCTCAAAGATTCAGTGTCCAATTTATCAGTGGAGGAGTCTGTGCAGGTGAGGTTATTTTGTCTTCCTATAAACTGCTATGTGCTTATGATGTGTTGAAGAAGAAAAACACATCACTTGGCACGACATAACTGCATCAATAATAGCTTCCTGCATGACTTATGTCATACAGAATAGCCACAGAATTGGTGGCATCAGTCTGAAAGATCAATAGTCCAAAGTACCTGTTTGCATTGAATTTCGAGGAGCTTGAGCGTCTAGTTCGTATGATACTACCAAAGAGAATGAGAAATGATGAAAACACGAGTGAATGTGCATGTTTTAGATGAGAAGTGACCACTCCCTTATCTGAACATACTCCTCGTTTGAATCTCCTGGAGGCAATCCTGTGCCCCGAGGGGTGCGGATAATCCGTACTCCACTCTGCTGCATATAGTATGAATTGAATTATTTATTTCTATTTTCTCCTGTGTCCAGTGCTGCAAGCGCTTCTTGAAGCAGATGGCACAGCCATTCCGCCAGGAGGATCAGCTTGGCCTGTCACTACTCACCAAGGAGCAGGTGGCTCAGCAGGAGAAGAAGCGAGTGCAGACCGACAGTGTGGCCGGTGGTCGCGTGGAGAGCATGGACATTTCCTGAGATGGTCTTGTGGGCGTGATGGGAACAAAGAACTGACCTCATCAGACTGCTTACTACCTACCAGGGATTACTACTCCCTGCTGCCTCTCGACATGTGTTGATAAGTCGGTCCTTGACCTGGCAGTGACGAACTGCAGTAGCTGTGAATTGGAACATGTACCGTGCAATAGACTGCAAGCCCGACAAGTATGTTGGTGTGTGTATGTGAGCAACACTGTGTTGTGTCCTACCCAACTGACGCCGGTGCCCATTTCAATACATGATTGCACAGCTGTTGTTGTTTTTTTATCCTGTTTTTAACCTAGTATACAGCTGGGGACATTACCATGTACCTGGTATCACCATCCAATTTGTACAAAAGTTTTATTTTCTAAGAACATGAAAACAGAAAATGGGTTAGCGATAACTGTGATTTTCCTAGAATATTCTGAATTTTGCAGAATGAGCATAATCTTTCATGAAATATCTCTCTGCAAGCTTCCAAAGCTCTGAGTCATTGAATAAATATTAATGCTGGGAAAAAAAGAACAGAAAATCTTGAATTCAATCGTGACACGTCGTCTTGAGGTATCGTGGTGCGAGCGCATGCCACTGATGTGTGTATCAGGGTCTCGAACTTCGTTTCAATCGGTCTGCGCTACCATGCCATCCACGCACAGGGCCTGGTCAGCACATGCAGACGGCCAGTTAGGACATCTCAATGCAACTTGCCCAGGATTCTAGGGGTAGGGGTTCGATTGGTTGGTTGATTGGTCCGCTTGGAGGATGATCCCGGGGAATAGAGGCCCTGTGCACCGCTAGAGCTTGTGAAGTTGGTAAACTCCACAGCAGAGTCTGCTCCAGTACTGTGTGGTGATATCACGGTGGCCCATAGATCGAGAAGTAGATGACGGCAATGACAGCGAAAATCAATACACTAGCCAGCATGCTAACTCGGTTCTCTCCGCGCAAACGCTTCAACTCCAACTCTGCAACACAGAGAAAGCAAATATGTACTTGATTTTTTTAATTTTTATCAACAAATATGTAGGAAAATAGAAGGCATATGTAGGCAGGCAGGCAGGCATGCAGGCAGGCGGGCACTAGTAGATGAAGTTCAAAGTACCCACGTAACCCACCAGTAAATTCTTGCGACACTTCCATGCAATAAGATGCTTCAGCAAGCTGACATTTGCCTTGGTTTGACACCACAACTAACTACTTGGCAGGAGGGAGAACTCACCATCATTCTGTATGACCTCGTCTAGATCTGCATACTCATTCTGCACAGATATCCTACACAGATGGACAGAGAAAAGCCATGATGCAACACAAACATTGAAAAAGCCATAAGAATGCTATAACATGGGACTGTACCGTCAAGGATAGCACAAACTGACCGGTATATACCATTCCTACTTGCTTCACACAAACCAATGCCTCGGCCTCATCTCAGGGGATATGTACCAAAAGTAGTCATTGCCAAAGCTTTACACAACACCGTTCCTACAAGTGCACCTTTCTTTCTCTGACATGTGGAGATCTAACTTAAGGCGTTTCTCCAGGCTGTCCAGCAGTTCTTTGTTCTGGTCGACGACACTTTGCAGTGCATCAATCTGCACAAACACAAACACAAACAGCACTGATAATAGAACACAGCGAGCAGTACCTGATGCTGGGATCGGTAAGGGAATTAACTGGTGATAAGAAGCCACACACTAGTAAAGCGAGTGTACATGTACATGCGGCCTAGTTATTGCACCTGACGTCTGTGACCCAAGTGCATGAATTCATGATTTTCGTTCCCACTTTGGGTGTACCGCGCTTTTTTTTTTTAGCACGTGGAGAGACCTAATAGAAGATCATTTTTGATTGTTGTCATTTTGGGAAGCTTGCAGGGAAGACAAAATAAGCAATTATCTAAACATACCCCGTTTCCATAGCAACTACATAGCAACTGACATAGCAACATGCTATTTTGAAGGTGTTTCTTACTTTTTTCAGCAGGCAACGGCACTGGACGAAGAAATGTATAGATCAAGCGTCATTGCAGCTGGGTTAAAATAACTATTATGTGTGCATCAACACATCCACCACCTACATGACTGTATCAGTTATTGCAAAGGAAACTGACAGGTCGCACAATGAAGGAAAAGTAGGGTTTTGTATGTGCGTGCATAGGGGCATATCTACTTTGGAATACATACACTATGGATGCCTGCGTGTATATAATCAATACAGTACAATCATGTCAGTGTACCACAAAGGCCACTTAGAAGGACAACACCCAGAATGCTTGCTATTGTATATTCGGATAACAATCGATCCATTACAGGTACCTTGCCAGAGATAGTCGACATGTTTTCCTCGACAGGTTTTCCGAGCAAGATCTAGCAAAATACTCTTCTCCCGGCTCTCCCAAGGACTAAACAATAGCACATCAACCTCCCTGAAAGTCTGATACATGTACAATGCAGTAAATATTCAAAGCATCAAAGTAATAATTTCACTGACGTGGATCATTATCCTTTTTCAAAATCCTCAACACACGACATCATGATCGTTTCACCCTGACGTCATCGCATTATGACAATCAGCTCATGCTGAGAGCAAAGCGTGCTGCTTGAACCACCTATTTTGCATGTAACTTGTAAGAGGGTCACGAAAACATGCGCCAAAAATTCGGAAGAAGAAAATTGTCAATTCAATCCTGAAGAAACGAACTTACTTACTTCAATCCTGAGCTGAGTCTGAGCACTGACCTCGTAGCGTTTCTCCAGGCACGGTTTATTTTGGGAAAGGAGCGGAAGGCAGCAGTAGGAAATAATCTTGTCATCACCGCTCTGCAATCATGGCAAGTTGATTATGTGTTGTCCATATTTTTACCGTCCTGAAGGATTTTATAATTATTGTATTTGCAGGAAGCACGGATATTTGTATAGGTCCGCGATCATGCATGTAGCTGACTTGAGAATCACCAACAATAGTCAATGTATTGATAACCAAAGTAGCGTATGCGTAGCTCGTGTGCTGTGCAAATGCCTTTCTCAAGTGTACTGACAAAGTCAGAATAGGTTGAACATACTCAAAAGTGGTAAAGTGCATGAACTACTGAACAACAACCCCTTTCTGGTCCACAGGCAGTGTGCAAACTGGCAATAACCAATACAAGCACTGCCAGTATTCCATCACAATAATGCTGCGAATAGAGTTCAATTCGAAAAAAAACATTTGTTGCTCCTAACGAATCTTCAGTAAAACTACATTGATACTAAACAGAAGAACCCAGCAGTATTCCTCATCTGCATTTGAAGGCTAAATTAACTGGTGCGAATATAACAACGATGCACGTTAGATCACCTCCCTGCTGCATCCAGAACTGAAACAAGCAAGTGTCGCAGTATGAACCGTCCATGTTGAGTGTTGATGAGTATGTACAACCAGTGTAGGTTTGGGTCGGTGTGCAGCGGAATCCAAGACTTTGCTGTGCGTGTGCATACATATGCATGTGCATAGGTCATGTTACGTTGCCTGATGCCTGATATGTTGTCTGATAATCGCCCGGTGTAAAGGCGTGCAACGAACCGTTCTGGCTGCTGTGTTAGAGAGCTCTACACCCCCCCCCCCCCCCCACACACACACACGCGCTATTGAGCACTGTTTGAGCGGTGGAAGTCGGCTACTGTGTAGATCATGTTATACGACCAGTCCTACAGCATATGCAGTCTCCACCTGTATAGATGTACTTGCCAGCAATGTTGGCTGAGGATCGCTTTCGCATAAGAGTTTCAGCTGAAAGCTCGTTCTACATGCTATGTTCCTTGTTAGAAGGCTCCGCGCACTGGGTGTCGAGACTGGGTATGCACTGGGTATAGAGCACTGGGTATAGAGCACTGGGTATAGAGCACTGGGTATAGAGCACTGGGTATAGAGCACTGGGTATAGAGCACTGGGTATAGAGCACTGGGTATAGAGCACTGGGTATAGAGCACTGGGTATAGAGCACTGTTTGAGCGGTGGAAGCTTCCTACTAGTACTATGTACATGAACTTTTACGAAACACACACACACACACACACACAAGAACTTCATCTGGAAGGGAGGCATTTTCGCTTAGAGTACCAGTCAGACAAGTCGGATTGTGCACAATGGCAGTATGCTGCTCAGTGCAGGGCATAGATTAACGGCCGGACATCGGACATTTTCCGGCCATTTTCGGCCACTGACTGGACGTTTTCAATTTCACCGAACATAGTGTCAGGTCAAAAAAGTAAAAAAAAAGAGCAGCGACCTTTCGACCTTTTTATGCAGAGTTGGGCTTTCTTCGGAGCTTCGTGCCAAATGCCACTTGCATATCGTACAACTAACACGTATACCGTCGTCTCAGGCGTAGACTTCACTATATTATTTACTTGATCCGCCTGTAGCAACGCTTTGTTGCTACAGTCAATTCAGATACGTCCACATAATGAGTCATTGTGAATATACTTCAGTACTACTACTAAAAAAAAGAAGAAACACCCTGAAAATGTGTTGTGGAAAATGTCCGGGCATGTCCGGACAGATTTCAAAACGGAAGGACATTTGTCCGAGCTAAATGAAATCCTTAAGCTATGCCCTGCAGTGGCTGTTTGTTTTGGACAACGCTCCGGATTGGAGACAGCCCCTAACTTGGTCAATGTCTGACCATCTTTGAAAACGGCTTAGTCTTTACTGTGTATGCGTAGTATATTGGAATGAGCTGTTGTATGCCTCTTTCGTTGTGAACTCTTGTATGGTGTCATTGCAACAATTATTACATGACAAATTGACAATGCATTGTGAAAGATGGGGTGGTTGTGATTTGTGTTGTGATGAGAAGATCTGCTATGGTTCTTTGACTTCTTTTTTCGTGTGCCTGATTTTCTGTCACAGGCTCGAAACTCAGAGAAGGCCATGTAAGTATTACTAAGTATGCATGTACAATAATTGTACATGTAGCTCACATATTGTGTGTCAATTTGCGCTGAGATCTGCAATGTGTACTGTACACATCTGGGAAGTTAATCGCTGCTGTCAGGAGTACAATTCCGTCGAGCAGTATTTCATTGATTTATGCCATCCGGCTGTGCTGGTCTAGCTGAGCTATTGCATCTGAGTGTTGCATGTGTAGAAATACTGGGGTAGTGTCTTGTTGATTGAGGAGAATTGTCCTGTCTTCTGACGTAATAAAAATGTCTCTTGTCTCCTGCAGGCAGGCGTTCTGGTTTGAACTTGTATTGCTGCATGTCTCTGAAAGCTGAGTGTGCGTGCGTGCGTGTGTGTTCATGTGTATGCATGTGTGTGTGTGTGTGTGTGTGTGTGTGTGTGTGTGTGTGTGTGTGTGTGTGTGTGTGTGTGTGTGTGTGTGTGTGTGTGTGTGTGTGTGTGTGTGTGTGTGTGTGTGTGTGTGTGGCTGTGTGTGGCTGTGTGTGGCTGTGTGTGGCTGTGTGTGGCTGTGTGTGGCTGTGTGTGGCTGTGTGTGGCTATGTGTGCTGTGTCTTGATGTCTGTTGATTAGGGCCATGCTGAATCGTTATGTGGCGATGAAGCAATCCGAAGGCAAGGAAGCAGTAAGTTCCTCTCTGTTTGTTTTGTGCTGGTTCTGAATGGCTGGTATTTTGTGATATGTTGTGTATCCGTACGCGTTCACTTTCTATCATATGTATAAAGATTGAACTAACTGCAACTACAATCCATACATCCTGTACACACACCTTGTACACACTCTCTCTTACGGTCTCTAGGCTACACTGCAATTGATATACATAAGATCAAATTTTCGGGCAAGGCCCATCATCAATTGCAGTGTAGCCTAGAGACCGTAAGAGAGAGTGTGTACAAGGTGTGTGTACAGGATGTATGGATTCAAGTATTGGCTACAGTGGAGTCTCCAAACCTTGAGAAAGGTGTTTCCGAATGCAACTACAATGTATACGATAATGCCTAGCTCCGCAGAATGCGCTGCGATAGAGACGAAAGAAGATCTTGTTTGGAGGAGCTTCAGCCTGTTCCAGTGTGGCCGTTCTTCAAGCTTACTGCATTGATGCCGGTCATGACATGTGAAGATGATGTACGAGCTGCATGTATTTCTCAATCTGATCCCAGTACAGGTCTACCCTCGTTACTAGACGACCTCGGGGTTTCAAATTGTTTGTCTTATAATGAGTATTATCTACTATCCGGACTTGCATGTACGACTGTTAAATGCATTTCAGGCGTCAGGGATTTGGGATTGTTTTCTAGGGTAGTGATGAGGTTTGTCTTGTAGCCAATGTCCTACTAACAAGGGTGGACTTGTACCAGTAAGAACATGGGTATGTGTGTTTTCAACTGTTTTGTGTTGTGTGTCATGTGTTTTGTGTTATGTGTCATATGTTATGATATGTCCAGCCTCAGCGTCGTCCCTACCTGGCAACAGAATGCGATGATTTAGCAGCGGCGGAGCGTTGGCGCCATCAGGTACAGGCAGGGATTTTGAGTCGGGTATTTGAAACTGATTTCTGTGCAGCGTGTTTCAAGGTACCGGGGTCTAGTATAGGCTCACCACTGCTAAGATCTTGGCTCGGGTGCTTGTCAGTACTTTGGTGATACTAGCGCGAATCTGGCTAACTGTACTCTACTTGTGTTGTTTCTGTGTTGTGAGCATTTGCGACTATTAGTGGTGCTAGTGGTGCCGCTTCTGATGTACTTTGCAGAGATGGCCGGTCTGCATCAGTTTGCTGTGTTCTTCTTTCCATTGCATTGCCCACCTGCTGGTAACTACCGTAAAGTACCGCCAGAGCGCCCCACCATCTCGTCCTTTCCTGGTCGCACTGTGGAGATGGTGTCCTCCCTGTCCGTCATACAACACGAACCTTGTACACACATTGCACGTTGTGCAGTCAATCCGTACTCAATTTATCTTCGAGCGGACACGAACTCCACACAAAAACCTACCAAGTGTGACCTTAGTGCACTAGGGTTCTCACATCGTACACTTTTCGTTGCACTCTGCCATACGATTTCCATTCCTCTGACTGTAAAATCAAGGTGGGGCACTCTCGCGAGACGGGGCGCTCTCGCCGTACTTTACGGTACAGTCCGTATCGCCTATAAGGTTGGCGGCTATAGTAATATACCGGATATAGTGATCAATTTCTCAAATTCATTTTCATTTGCCATAACTAAGTATACACAGTTATCGCGTATAGTAATAATTGTCTATAGTAATATATCGCCTATAGTGATCAAATTCATATTTCAAAAGACCTTTATTACATTATTTTTGCATCGGTTATAGTGATTGATGTAAAATCAAGTGATGTCCGAGGAGAACAGGGTGTTACTTCTTCGTGAAGAACTTTTCCAGTGAGTGTTGTTTGGTGAGTTTTGCTCGTACAAGTTGCCAAAATACGCCTCCATCATGAGGAAATGCTGATTTTGTGTGTCAGGAGCTACAGCCAGCTACATGACATCGTACATGTATGTAGTGCGTATGTGCACGGCGCGCTGAGTCGTTTGACACCCCACTCGCATACATTGCATGCAGTGTCGGTCATAGTAATATATCGCTTATAGTGATAAAATGCTCAAAATCAAACACCAACGCTATAGGCGATACTGACTGTACTAGTATAGTGTGTGTTGCGTAGTCACATGATTAGTCACATGATTTGTCACATGATTTGTCACATGATTTGTCACATGATCTTCAATCATGCATTGGTTTTCTGCATTTCTGGTCTTTACTGACTTGTAGATTATCCGTGAAATTGCCAAGAAGGTCTCGCAGATTCAAAATGGTGAGTTGTATTGTGCGGTTTGATGGGGTCAGGGTTGGAAAGGCTATTGCTCCCTCCCACAAAGGTTTGGACTGATGCCTGCTGGGAGGTGGGGAACTGCTTTCGTAAGATTCGTGCTCCTCCGTGGAAGAATACCGACACTGCGATCAATTTCCTTCTTTTTTCTCACTCGGAACCGTTGCGTTGTCAGTATCTCTTTTCTGTCTTTGGACTATAATTCTGATGGTTTGGGCTGCTATTGGTATCTGTGTGAGCAGTTGCCACCTGTGTTCTACTGTAGTGGACATTGAAATCGGATGGGATGACCGGGGCCGGCGCCCTTCCTGCCTTAGCGCCGCATACATGCACTGTAGTTCATGTACACACTGTAAAAATGGACCAGGGGTGCTGCTCGCGGCTGCAAGGCCAGCGCCCCAGGGCGCTTGACTGCTCAACGGATTTCACCATGTCCACGACAGTAGTAGACTGTACACTGTGGTGCTGCCTGCCCTGCCCTGCCTGCCAGGCTGTGATAGTGTTGATAGTGTTGATAGTGGTCCTGCTGGACTAGGCAGTCACGCTGTGCGTTTGTCCGTATCTGAGTGTGCATGCGTTCTTTTTCTCTCTTTCAGCCGGTCTTGGCGAATTCCGCATTCGAGATCTCAACGATGAAATCAACAAGCTGCTGCGTGAAAAGCGTCACTGGGAAGACAGAATCATCGAGCTCGGCGGGCCAAACTACTTTGTATGTGCTTTTGCTTTGACGAGGATTATGTACATGTGATACACTGGTGTACTACACTGTACTGGCTGTAGTAGATTGCCTTTGTCATGTGACTCATGTCTTTTCTATACCTTGAGTATGTGTGCAGCAGCATTGACTGTCCAAGGTCTAAGGTGTGTGGTGTGCATGTGTCCCACCCTTGCAGAAAGTCGGGCCGAAGATGTTGGATCATGAAGGCAAGGAGATAGCTGGCAATCGTGGTTACAAGTGAGTACACATCATTACACCACAGACAACTGTACTCATTTCACCGTCCCCTGCTAGCTTATCTAAGTTATCTTGTTTTGCATAGACAGTTGTTTGCATGTAGAACCATAGAAGATACTGCAGGTATCAATGAAGATACTGCAGGTATCAATGAAGATACTGCAGGTATCAATGAAGATACTGCAGGTATCAATGAAGATACTGCAGGTATCAATGAAGATACTGCAGGTATCAATGAAGATACTGCAGGTATCAATGAAGATACTGCAGGTATCAATGAAGTGCTGGGCTGTGTGCAACTACACTACAGCCCTGCAACCCCTACACTGTGCACCGTCCCAGGCTGCTAACTTATTCATGAGCCCAGGCTGAGCTCCACTGTACATGTCCTCAGTCTGTGAGCAGGGTGTCACGCCAGTGTGTGTGGGCTAGTGCCTTCTGCTACTGCTGCTCTTTCACAACTTGCCAGTGTGAGCAGTGCTAACTCTTGGCCCCATGCAATCGCACAGATAGGTGTGAAGTGCCCATCCAAGTGCTGGCTAGCACCTTCAAGAGGCAGGACGTGCCAGGGTGTGTTGTGTCACACCATGCATGACGTGCAGGCAGCCTGTCAATGAACCTCTGACTGTGTGTTTGTCTTTGGTACATGTACCTACATTGTAGTTTTGGTGGGAAATGTGGTGCAGGGGGTGTTAGGTGTTGGTGTCAGCCTAGCAGAGTGTGGGGCACTTTCTCTCCCTCCAATAACACCAAAACTAGCTCTATAAAGTGCTCTGGTGTGCTTGCAACCATCCTCATTCGTCTGGTTGCTGCTTGTTACTACTGATAGCTATGCCTGCTCTTCACTGTGTAAGTTCTCTACTGATAGCTATGCCTGCTCTTCACTGTGTAAGTTCTCTACTGATAGCTATGCCTGCTCTTCACTGTGTAAGTTCTCTACTGCTACAGCTAGCTTTGAGTTGTGCTTTCTGCTTTTTAATCTCGACTACAAACTGTAGAGTTGTTTCCATTTCGAATGTTCTACTTCTTTGAAGGTCTTCTGAGTGTCCACCTTGGCAACTTGCTGTTTGAAGACTGTTTGAAGAGAAGCACATCTCGAAGTGGAAATATAAATAATTTCTCCTGTGCAGTGTACCTTGGGTTTCTGTTGCCATTATGTAACTATTGTTTCGTGTGTGGTGTTGGGTGTGTTCTGATTATAGGTACTTTGGTGCCTCGCGCGATCTACCCGGTGTACGGGAACTCTTTGAACAAGAAGGTGAGGAACGGTCGAACAGTAGCCCTTGACCTAGGCGCCCGTGTTGCTTAGACATTGGCGTTTCTTGTTGTCGTGTCGACTCGTACCATCAGGATATGAACTGCACATCGGATCCAGGAACACTATTAACCTTTTCTTTCTTTCCTTTTATTTGGTGTGGGTTCAGTACGAGTAGGTCCATGTATCTGTCTTAGGCTTATATACATCACATACATTTACAGTAGAAATTCCCTTAACACCTCTACAGACACCTCGACAGCCACCTCTCATTCAGCATTCGGGATGCATTTGTTCCATACTGTACTCAATCAAGTTGTAATACAGCCTCTGTAACTGGGTCACCTCCCAATATGTCTGGCCCCTGGCGTACCTGTAATCAAGGAATGCCTATGTACCTCTGGGTCACTAATTTTAGGTAGCGTATCGTATTCTGTACCTCTGGGTCACTAATTTTATGTAGCGTATCGTATTCTGTACCTCTGGGTCCCTAATTTTCGGTGGTGACTAATTAGTGTTGACGACTGTACGAGCAGTGCATATACGAGTCGTATTCCTGTGTTTCTCTCATTCCTGTTCGACTTGCTCGCAGCACCTGCTGCACCTCGCAAGACCCGTGGCCAGCTCAATCGCCTAATTGACACCGACTACTATGGCTATCGGGATGATGAGGATGGCACACTTGAACCGCACGAGCGGGAAGTGGAAGAAATCGGTGAGTGGGTACTAGTACCAGACTATGTTTTAGTGGGTACCAGACCATGTATTCCTTGTGCTCGGAGTTCTATGGCCCAGTGTCCACTCTCAGTGGAGCTGGTGTTTTGCATGCCCTTTTGCCACGGTATATTGTGTAAAAAATCCATTATAATGTAATGGCTGGGTGTGCGTGGTTGAGTGGATATCCCTCTCTTGCTAACCCCTGTATTGTGTCTGTGTGTGTGTGTGTGGGTGCTTGCCTGCGTGACCACCATCCTCAGCTGTTGCCGCGGCCTGCAATGACTGGAAAGCTAGACACTCGGTCGCGAGTGAGACTGGAGAAGAACAGGATGTTGTGGAGGAGGAGGACATCTATGCAGTGAAAGAGGATGTAAGTACCGTGTGTGATTGCTCTGCTGGAAGATCTGATATACAAGCACGTAATTACACCAAGTTAAGCACACCGCACTTGTAACCGTTAGCCTGTATGCTGGTGAGAATGTACTAGTACTCTACACCATCAAACAAAATTTTACTGAAGTATACTGAACTATGTAAGTCATCAGTGGCTTGAACTTTGACTCTGTGCTTTTGGGCTATAAATAGTGAGGTTCGGTGACTATGGATCGGGTCTGGGTTAGTCGCGCAAATATCTCGTAGATTGTATTTGTTTTAGGGGTGAAACGAGTATCTATTTTGACCAATCGATCACTCGTTCAAAATATTCGATCGAGTATCCGATTATTTCGAGTATTTTATCAAAATTCAAAAGCACTAGATTTGCGAGTTTTCGACCAATTCGGAAGAAATTATCTGTGAACATAGAACAAAAGTCGCCAACGTCTTGTACAGAGTGTAAAGTAACGATTTTCATCACTACTTTCATATCTCAGAACGTTACTTGCCGTGGTGATCGCATCGTCCAAGGTTAAAATACTGACTCTAACCATGCATAACGCATGCATACCAGTGGACCAGCAGTATAACAAAAGTTTTTGAAATACAATGCCAATACTAAAAAAAAAAAAAAAAAAAAAAAACGATCGAGTGCAAAATTTCGAATACTCGCTCGTTTGAAATTTTCGAACGAATACTCGAAATTCGAACTAATCGTTTCACCCCTAATTTGTTTACATTATCCAGGGCTGGTTGGTTGGTAAGACTAAGAGTTGAGATCGCTCTGCCCCACGTAAGGATACAACGTTGCAAAACAGGACGTATGGTCTAGTACTTGTACAGCGGTATCCATATTTCTGTTCCCGTCGCTCGGCTGCTGTTTCAGTTGCCATTATGTCCCTATGGCATCAAAGCACACCATGTTCACGAGTCACTGAACCTTTTTTACGCGAAACACAATCAATTTTGTTTTGTGCACGAGAGTTCACAATGAGTCACTGAAACTCCCTACTAGTGAATGTCTTCATTCATTGCTCACTTGCAGTCGCAAGCACACGGGTCCCTTTTTTTCAGTGTGTACAAGTACATGGACTACAGTGCATGCACGCACTAACTGCAGTACGGCCGCTGAACCCGCTCATCCCATCTGATTTCAACCAGTTCACGACAGTACTATGCATAATTGTGGTGCAATCTATCTAGAATGATGATCTTGAAGACACAAGCAAATCGGCAGCTGACGGTGAAGACGGTGACGAAAAGTCGTTTGTCGCCCACGTTCCGGTACCATCGCAGAAAGATGTAAGAGCTTTGATACCCTTATACATGGGGTTGCACTTGAAAGTACTCGCTGGATTCTGATTGGCTGAGGGCGGTTGACCAATCATTTCAGGTGTGAAGTTCTGAGCCAGGATAGGCCATACAAGTAATCATTACGGGAGGGGACGGTGGTTAGTCTTATAATTATAGAATGGTGCCGTGGGGTTTGAATTCAGATTTCTAGTGTGGTTGACTTGGAAATTCTACGTGATCCGTGGTCTATGCAACTCCCCAAGTACGGCCCAAGCAGGCCATGTGCAAGCGTGTATAAATCGGCTCTGCCCCACAGGCGGCTATAACGGCCAGTTGCAACTTTGGGCGCACATGTACAGCATGCAGCTCTTCGTAGCAACCTCGTTTTCATTCTGGCCTTGGGAAAGAGTTATACTAAGGGACAAGTCGCGCACTCATGTTGTGGGGGACAAAATTGCTGGACTTCTGGATCCCATATATTACATTCCATCCCAAAAGTGTTCGGCTGTCACTAGTAGACTGCACACATGTATTCATATCAATTTTTTGATCTGGATATGTGATAATGACATACGTGTGCATTGTGAAGTGGTTACACTCACTGAAATCCAGCCTTGTCGGGTACAGTGACAGTAACGTTAGTTTTAGCCGAAAACTGTAACTTCATGTTTCCCCGACTTTAATACTTTCTTTTTGTTTCAGATGGAGGCATTACTTGTCAAGCGGAAGAAAATGGTGAGTGCCCACGCATACTTTACTTCAAACTCTTAATGACAACATCTTTCCAAGAGTACAGTGATAGACCAAGTGTTTGTGCATAGTGATGATACCGCATACCGGCTACGGATTGACGAATGACGATTCCTATGATTCGCTGTGGGTACGGCTGTGGATCATTATATAATTTGTTCAACGAGGATTCCTAGGATTTCGTTATCTCTCCAGTTCACTGACAGTTCTTTTTATCTTTCTTATTTTAGGAACTACTGGAGAAGTATGCGTCGGAGTCGCTTCAAGCACAGAACCAAGAAGCAAAGGCATTGCTAGGACTGAGCTAGTGCTTCGTCACCACAACACGACCGGAACCCCAGTAGCATTTGAATTCATGCTTGATCTACGCACATCATTCTCAACAACCATAAAACGCCTGTTTCTTTTTTCATCCTTTTTGGTCTTATATATAAACATAGCTTTACCTGTCATAAAAACATGGAAATATACAATGTACATAGTATACACAGTTCAAAATTTAGAGAAAAAACAACAACACTTTGCAAGGACATCAACCAGAACATGATTACACTATCCTCTCTAATATTCTACTAAGACACTGCACAACAGGGGCGCTACTTAATTATATAAATTGGGGGAAGGAACCATGGGAAAGCGAGAAACAGCCAGAGAGAAGACCAAAAAGCAATCGAAAAGAAATTCACAACTGGCTGATGGGCACAGTCACAAGAAGTTTGATGGCATTAATTTTCCATGGACTTCACACCTCCTGCAAGGTAACAAACAGAACACAAGGAAGAAAAGTTTCATTAAATTCACAGATTAATTCGGTTGATGCCTGACAAAATAAGGAAGTCAACGTGGGACGCCCCAGTCTCTCTAGGTCTCATTTGTTTGTAGAACTCATTCTAGCTTCTGCAAGCCACGTGCAACCGGATAGCTTTTTGTACATATTTCGACCAGAAATCATGCACCGGTATGCGGATCGCGAGGTCCGGTTATGTTGTATGCGTAACGTATGATGCACATCAGTAACCAGCGATTTTCTTCCGTATGGCGAGGGATCCGGATAAACGAGGACTGAATAAGTGAGGTCTGAGCATGAACAGTGAATAAGTATCTCAAGGGGTGTAAATTCGCTGACAGCAGAAATCAACTTTGTGATAATTATGGCAGCATGGCCAAGCAAGATTGCGTATGGTGCAGGAAAAGTGAGTTGCGGTGACTTGAAATTCGGCCGTGGGCTTTCTCTGCAAGAGGTACACACTCTGGTCTATGTAAATGTAGTTGTACAGTGCTGCTCAATGAAATCCGATCACGAGAATCAAGTACGTGTTGGGTGCTGTGCAGCCCTAGACCTACGGACACAGGGCTGCTGTGAACTGGTCCAGGGAGCATACTAACTCAATGAGCACCACTGTACATAGCTCACAATGAACAGGCATGGCTGGCAAGTATGCATGTTGCGCAAATACACTACTTGGGTAATAAGAGTATAAATCCACTGTTGCACATGTACCAATAGTACAAAAGCCGAGATTGTGGATCCCATGCTTGAACGTGTCGCCCACCCAGGCCTAATAAGTAACATCACCCTACTGGGTCGTAGCAGCAGTGCACAGTAACGTGTGCCATCACACTTACAGAGTCACCCTTCATGGCATTCTCCGCTTCCAGAGACGTCACCTTACTCTGCAAGGCATCATGCTGCACAGCCAAACGACAATGTACACACACCCAAAGGGTAATAAAAATAACAGCATGCTTCCAAGTACAACTACAGTGAGGATACCCATGTGTGTAGTGTGTGCTAATTGATTCAGAGTTTGCGAAAAGGCTGCTGGACCAGGAAATATAATGGCACATCACAATCGACCACATGCAATGCACCTCTGTCATAGTTCTGCTTCACAATCTCCATAAACGGAGAGTGCATACAAGTTGGGTCGTAAACAAATAGCGAAGTTCATGCAAAGACGGCAAAAATTGTTCTCGTTGAGTTGAATGTTTCTTCCAACTTCTTCCAAGCGATCCAGGTACCTGGAATGACACCAGATTAATACTAGTGGCAGAGGACCAGGCAGACCATCTCCTTGATTTCTGAAACAAATCCTTAAGCCACACTAACCTTGCCCTGCAACGCAGCAAGCTCTTCCTTCATGGATTCGGAGCTGGAGTTAGCTGCGCTCACTTTCGCCTCTAGGTCTGCCACTTTTTGACCGTCACTTGAAGCTTTAGCCTGAGGACACATGATATAAGAAAGAGCAACTATTGAACGTCACAAAGCAAAGGAGTATACACTACTTGAGTCATCCAACAAACGCCACTAGAAGAAAAACACGCGGCACCAACAACGGAGTTTCGAACTCGAGTAAAGTTAGTTACTGACAAGTCTTAGTACTTGGAGTAAACTGATGTACTAGTATTCTGGGAATACACAGGATGTATTCCACAAAAAAACTTTCACACAACGCATAACTCTTGACGACAAGGACGTAACAGCCGGGTACAAGTTCATGCAGCCCAAACACTCACCTTCAAGCCGTCAAGTTCAGAGCGCAGTGAAGAGGCGTCTTTGAGTGCTTGCTGACATTCGGCAGACTTCTTATCAAGAGCAGCCTGATGAGATTGCTCTTCTGTGGCTATCTTCTCCTCCAGACCACCAAGAATCTCATTCTGCAAAGACAAGACACAAAGCACAGGAGATACTTACTCGTGTTATTGACCTGCACTGCACTGCACACTGTCAACACCAAGGCCAGGAAAGTAAGAGAGGAGTGTTAACATCGATAACGCCAGAGACGGGTCACCGAGTACTTTCGAGAAAAATTATGACAACAAGACTTCGTTCACTCATGAACCTTGGTAGGGCCGGATGACTTGTCCCTATACATGTAGGACACCTGATAGTTGCCAAGGCTATGGCCAATAGCTGGTTTTGTGAACTTCGTTTAGTTTGGGAGGTGGATGGGCACCGCCGGAAGGCCAATCTGACCAATTGAACCAGCAGCAATGTGTGCACTGACTGCTGCACCAGCTAGGATCATGAGAAGTGAGTGCTGCGTTCCAGTAGGCGCACGTGTCACTAGCTTAGCTCTACACTAACCGTGTCATGGAGCACCGTGGACAGGTTATCAGCCTTGGATTGCCACTCATCACGTGACTTCCTCAGCTCAGCCTCCTCAGTGCTTTCAACTTGGGTCGCTTCAGCTTGGGACTTCTCCAGCTCTGTGATGCGCTTCTGCAGGAGAGCTTGTTCGCCCTGAGCTGACTTCAGCTGCACAGAACACACACAGCAGAAACAAGACCATACACTTTTGCAAGACATCGACCGCTGCAAGGGTCTGTGCTGAGCTATCTACGGGGCTGCTCTGGCAAACTGATGACACCACCAAACAACAAACAACTGATATTGCTCGCTAGTGACACAAGCAGTTTGAGGTATTGTAAGGTGTGGAATGAGTGCAAAACAGAGAGTGAATTACATCACACCAGGCAGGTGATAATACACCAGTTGCTTTAGTGAGAGAATGACAGGCAGAGTGCAGATAAGCTACACAAGGACAAGTGAATGGAGAGTGTGAAATACCAACTCTTAATTGGTCATAGGGGCATGTAGCAACAACCACTCATACAATGCATGCCACTACACAGCCAATCAGATAATATCACCTGTATGTCCCCCTTTCTTAAGCCCCTTCCTCACAAAATCATTTTCCTACAACGACTGGTTATTATCACTATCCCTCTAAGATAATAGATGAATATCTCAATGCCATAAGGTGAAGTCAACTGAATAAAACACCACCAGACATACCTTAGTGTCAGCTGATGAAGCATTGCTCTGCACCAAGGTCTTTTCCGCCTTGAGGCTGGCCTCGAGCTCAGCGATCTGCTTCTCAAGGTCGGGCACACGACTATCAGCAGTCGAGGCTGCGGTGGCTTCGCTGCTGCTTGCAGCCTTCGCCTGTGCGCGGGCTGACTCGGCCTCCTTCTGGGAAGCGTCGGCTGCACTCTTGGCAGCCTCGGCCTCCTTCTGGGAAGCGTCGGCTGCACTCTTGGCAGCTTCGGCCTCCTTGTTGGCCTTCTCGACCTGGGCCTGCAGCTGGCAGATCTCTTTCTGGAGAGAAGCACACTCTTCACTAGCTGAAGCATCAGCATTGGCTGCTGCCTCAGTAGCTGGAGCAGCCGTGGAGCTGGCCTTTGCCAGATCTTCCTCGAGGTTATTCACGCGCGTGACGTACTGCTTCACATCAGCTTCCTAGCCAAGACACAGGTACAAAAGCGAGCAAAAACAAACCAAACACTGAGAACAGGTCCAAAACGACAGGCAGTTCAGCAGAATAGTTTACACGCTTGCTGAACAGAATCCAGCGCAAAGCCAGCACTGTTTATCATGCAACACTAGTACACAGTGCAACTGTATGTGTTTACTGTTTCACTACTGTAAAGGCAGAAATTTTCGGTGGCGTAATATTTTCGGTATTCTCCAAAATCGGCGGTTCGGTAGAGGGAAATACTAGTACTACATGTATAAATATCGGTTGTACCGAAATTTTCGGTGCGTTTTATTTTCGGTAAAAATTGTCGGCACCGAAGTTACCGAAAATAAAACACCACCGAAAAGTTCTGCTTTTACAGTATGGTGACCATGGGCCATGGCCAGAAATTTGGTCAACCTGGTGTGACCGTTGCAGCAGCAGGGAAACCATGATCGTGAGAGTGTTGAGAAAGGGAAAGTGCGAAATCATGTAATAATAATAAAGTAAAGTAGGGTTCGCAGATTCGCGTTACCACCGGCTATACTGTATTGTGTTGAGAACACACAACCAGTGCAATCATGTACATGTACTCGGTTTGAAAACCACCGCAACAAGTTCCCGCTTACCCTCTTAGCGAGAAGAGCCTGGATCTCGGTGCTCTGGAGACGCAGGCGCTTGTTCTCGTCAATCAGCTCAACACTGAGGAGCAAGAAATCAAACAGTGAATGGGGAAAAAATTGGTGTGGTCCAGGACAAAGGGAGATAGACAGCCAATATGGCACACATGAATACGAGACAGATTTCCAGCTGAAAATAGTTCATGTACAGAACAATGAACGGATAGCTACAACGATGTCACATAGTCCAGTGGGACTATCTAGAAGCATGCCGACAGATTCAGCCCACTTTCATCTAATCATCCAAGCACTAGTAGCAGCATAGCATATGACTGGAGGTCAACTGATGACACGCACAGTGCCAGCTCAGAATACAGGCACATCACACGTTCGGACAATGCCAGCTCACAATACATGTACAGGCAAATCAGTGTCACATTTTGTGAGTGTCATCGTGACAAGCAAAACCCACTGTCGGCGACCTTGTCACCAAACATGACAACTCTCTGTGCCGCACAATGGCACGTGATAAGCCATGCTACAGTCGCATGCAGCACGAGGCTGGGTGAGCTGAGCAGCAGCGGGCCACAGCTCAGTTCAGCTAGCTGAGTAGGCGCTATCACCACCACCACCACCACCACCACCACCACGCAGCAGGTGCACAGCACCAGCTCAGCCATCAGGCGATCACCCAAACTGTCCTCTTTTTGTCACCTACACGCTCTAAACTATCAACCGACTGGCACCACAGAGAACGTACACACGCTATGCTCCCAATGGAACAACAACAGGTACCGCCCCAACACAAAAATTAATTTGCATACTCGACCAAATTGCTGCACCCCCCCCCCCCCCCCGAACAAAATTCCACCCTTCTCAGGTAGATGACGTAACCCTTACCGCTTAGCGGAGAGCTGGTGGAGGTGCTGAGTGTTAGCCTGGCGAGCTGAGCACATACACACATATAAATTATAAATAAAATAAGAAATGATGCACAGTGGAGAGGGGCCTTGTACTGCAGTTGCTTTACATGAGTATCCATTCCATTCATATCTGGGAAATTTGTGAGAATAAATACCCTTTGGCATCATGTTTCCATCAACCACCACACTGCGCTCTCCAGGCGACCTCGACACATTGCCGAATGCGGCTGCTTACCCCTTCAACTGGCATCATGTGTCAGTGGAAAGATTTTCAACTCAGATCTAACATTATAATTATGGCATTCACAAAGGACGAAACAATTCTGTCCGCAGGTTGAGTAATTATGGCATTCACAATTAAATGTTTACCGTGGACTTTGCATGAAGAGCAGTTCTTCAGCCAATTTCCGAAGGGGGCCCCAGCCATCAACCAAATAAATAACGAGTTTCAAAAGTGATAAAGAGCAATTTGCCCCTTGCACGATCTCATCTCAGTCATAGGTGCCAGCTCCTATGAGCTGTCCGTATAGTACTCAAATCTATAGTTCCTCATGTCGGACTAGGGTTAGAGTCCCCCGAATCCAGTCGCTTTTAGCTGGACTGCTGTGCAAGAAGCGCTGCAGCAGTAGCAGGCACATACATACACATACACACACACACACCGTGACAATGATCTGTACTTACTGCTCTCTAGCTCCTCGCTAAGTTGATCACAGCGTGTCTTCAGCGTGCTAATGGAGTCATTGGTACTTTTGGCACCTTTCTGCACACAACCAAAAAGCACAAACCAAGGTGCAGTGTACATATAATCATGTTCAGCCATTCACAACTGCCACGCTTCAATTTAAAAATTGAAGAAAACCAGTCGCAATACGCAACAAAGTGCTAGTACACGAAAAACCTATTGTGTGCAGGCATGCATGCTGCACACACACGTACACACACACACACACACACACACACACACACACACACACATGCACACACACACACATACACACAAAACACGATGAGAAGCGCATCATGACACCTACATGTGTTTCTAAGACACAGACTAGGAGCATCGTCGAAACAGCGAGGCTAGTGCAGCACTGCCCATGTACAGCTGGAGCCACGCCACACCACACCACATCACCATCAACACCAACTCACCGTGACCCAGCTACCCTGCTGCTCAGCACGCTCCTTCAGGAACTCCACAAGGTCCAGACACTCAGTCTGACTCAGGTCAAGTTCGTTCATCTGCTCACGCAAGTTGTCCAAAGCACCTGAAGATAAGGCGTAGGAAAGGCAAACACACACGTTGTTCAACAACACTACTAGTACTAGCACATTGGGATAGTCAGCAGGGATACTAACTTTCAATGAAGAACCATCACGCATACCTATACTGTAGTCCAATCTATGATGTCATTTTACCATCACCCACACCTATCCATGATGTCATTTTACCATCACCGATACCTACATAATAATGTCATTATCAAACAGATGCACTGAGTCCATGTGTACTTCCATTCCTCCCAGACATTGCACACCACTGCAAAAGACAGAGCCCCCACCTACACCTGCCATAGCAAGATGCACTGCATGTTCTACAAACTAACTTCATGTACATGTACAGGGTTGCAAAGACTAGAGAATCTGGTGATGTACACACACACACACACACACACACACACACGCACACACACACACCACCACCACCATCACCACACACCACCACCCCCACCACCATCACACGCACACACACACCACCACCATCACCACACACACACCACCACCACACACCACCACCATTACCACACACACACACACACCACCATCACACGCACACACAGTACTTCAAAGCAAATTAGTTTAGCTGGGAGAAACCACAGTCACAACTACATGTGGCACTAGCAGCTGCCACAAACCCCAGCATGACCACCACCGTGGGACTACTCTACTTCATTACGTGTCCTCATGATCCTTTTGAAGCAGCCAGTGTGACCTGCAGTTCCCTCAGGTACACTTGCGAGGCCACTTCCTTCCAAACATCCGGCACATGGCAAAGATGACAACTAGAAACAGGCCACTCAGGAACCGCACTTGCCCATGGTCATGCTCATCGGCACACAGTATTTCTGTGACTCTTTCTCTGTTTCCTATCACTATAGGTACATTACAATTAGTAACAAATGATACCGCCAGTAATAGTAGATTTCCTACCCCTTGGTAAGTTTACATGTCCTATTACCGTACTATTACCAGCAGCAGTAGCAGCACCCAGTCTGCGCCCGCCACAGCTTACAAGGGTGGTCTCAGTGCCATTGGGTAGTATGGTGTACTGGACTGTGTTTTCTTTCCAGCCTGACAAGCAGTAAACTTATCAAGATGCTGCTGGCACAAATTATTAGTGAATAGACTTCGAATTGAAGCGGATAGCAGCATTTTTGTTTGCAAATGGCTATATGCATACCCACACACTCAAATGTGAACAAAGTTGCCCATGTTCCATGCTCTTTACATGCACACACAGACACATAGTACAGACACAAAGACACAGACACACGCACACACACACAGACACACACACACACACACACTGGAACTGACACATGCTGACGATGTGCCAAGTGGTGCTTTCAAAAAAGTCATGCCCAAACAACCACCATCTGCACCAAAACAATACATCAGTCTACTCCTCACCTTTCTTCTTTGGCTTGGACTTTTGCGTTGGGGGTGAAGATTGCACAGGTTTCGGTTTGCTTTGAGCCTGTGCAGCCTTTTTGGGCTTCTCAGTTTTCGGGCTGGCATTCTGAGTTTTGCCAGGAGCAGCAGTAGCAGCAGCAGTATCTGTGCCAGAGGCAGGAGGTGATGGATTTTTGCTCTTTCCAGAGCCATCTCCAGATTTCGCACCTCGTGGCGATAAGCGAGAAGCGCTAGCTCCATCAACTGTGATCTTGTTAGCACTGGCAGCCTTGCTCTTGGGTGACTTCTCTACAGCGACGGAGACCTTCTCCTGCTTTTCCGCAGCACTATTTGCCTTGCCAAGCGATTTCCCTGCAGCCTTGGCCTGCGCCTCGGGTTGAGAGGCTTTCTTTGAAGGCCCGGCAGGCTGTGGGCTTGGCGGTGATTTCTTCACCTCCTTCTGCTGAGCAGGAGATGGCTGTGGAGTCTCTTCTGTTTTGATTGCCGGCGGAGGCACTGGCGAGGCTGTGCTATCCGAATCCGCCGTGTTCGAAGTACCCTTTTTCCTGCGATCATTCTTGCGTCGCTTTACCTTACGGGCACTTCCATCGACTTCCTCCACATCATCATCATCAAGCCTCCCTTCATAAGGCCTTTCATTAGCACTGAGTACATAGCCCAAGACAGCTACCACAAGAAGAACTACGGCCGCCACAATAAGTATCGCGATGGCATCCATCATTGAACAGTAAATTTTAGCAAATAATTATTGAGTTCTAATGGAAAGAAATAAAGTCTGACAACTCCACAATCGTGGAGGAAAGACCCTCTCACACCGTCAAACTGTGGCAAGTCTACTACATGCCTACAGCAAAAATTGCGAACACCTTTGTCTCCGTCGTTCAGTTTGATAACACAACAGTTGGAGAGACAGCAGCAGATTTATGTTGAACAAACTGCCAGAAGAATGGACAGGCTCGGTCGAGTCTCCCCTCCGCTGACAGCTCTCTTGTACAACAGTCAACAGCAATGCAGCCTAGCCTGTGCACATGTGCGGGGGCAGTCAGTTGGTTCGCCTCTGCGCGATCATGTGATGTGTCGGTGTAGAATCTGTACTCAGTCTCTGATCGCTAGCGCAGAGTCTGTACGGAGTTTGTATCCTGAGGTGCACATGCGTGCAGGGAGTCGTAGATCAGTAGATCGATCTACAAGTACGTGTAGATCTACGTGACTTGTGTGCGTCAGGTTTTTTTCTCCAATCCCGACTCCCGAGTCCCGATCGGCCGAGACTACAACTGCTCGTAGTACCGTAATATCAAAGAGTACATCGGGTTATGTACTCTAGTCTTGGTGTGATCTGCTTCAAACAAACAAAAATCAAACAAAAAGTGAAGTGTCCATGGATCCTAGCGCCTCCGGGACCCTGCGTCCCCGGACCGACCGCTATTACCATCATTACTAGTGATTGCATTATTATAATAGCCGCTAGCTAGCTCAGCCGCAATAATCATTACATTGTACAATTATTAGAACCAGGGAGTCGTATAGTACTATACGACTCCCTGATTAGAACTGAGTTTCGTTGTTTCCTCACGGATGCAGTGGCAGTGGATCCCCTGAGTAAGCACATCACTAAGTTTTTCTTATCATCACGACATTAGAATGTCTGTCATCAGCCTCCAGATAGGACAGTGCGGCAATCAACTGGGCGCCAGCCTGCTCAATCAGCTATTCCTGGAGTGCAGAGGAACAGAGCGAATGGGATGTTTCTTTGAGCCAGCAGCAGGAGCTACAGCAGAGAAGCCACACAGTCATGCCTCCTCTGCCTCAGGTCTACAGCTTGAGCCATCACCAGGAGAAGGTCTTGCAAAGCATCAGCCAGGGTGGTATGCTCGATGCTGCATGATAGATACTGAGCCAAAGGCTATTGAGAAAGCCAGGGAGTTGGCGGTGAAGACGCCACGAGCGTTGCCGGGATGGCGATACAACCCCGCTTACCAGGTGGTCGGGCAGCGGGGCGCAGGCAACAACTGGGCAATTGGCTTCCACGAGCACGCGCATAACATGTCGGAGAAGATCCAGATGTGCGTGCGGCGCGCGTGCGATGCGTGCGACCGCCTCGCCGGCTTTCTGGTGTTGATGAGTCTGGCCGGCGGCACTGGATCCGGTGTGGGAACGTACACGTGCGCTCTGCTACGTGACCTGTACCCGAGCGTGTTCATTCTGTGCGTGTCAGTTAGCCCGTACAGTACAGGCGAGGTCATAGTACAGAATTACAACGCCGTGCTGGCGCTAAGTCGACTGCACGCTAGCAGTGACGGCGTGCTGATGCTCGCTAACGACGGCGTGCACAAGATCTGCCGGCAGCGCATGGCTCTGGACAAGATATCCCTGCACAACCTGAATGAAGTGCTGGCTCAGCAGCTGAGTGCCGTACTAACACCGTGCCGCGTCGATCAGCCTGTGTTTCGCATGGCCGATATGTGCCAGCATCTGTGCTCGCACCCGGACTACAAGCTGCTGCGCCTGTACTCACTGCCGCAGCTGGCGTCGGGCCGTCGCGAGTACAGCTCCTACTTGTGGAGCGGCCTGATGCATCCGCTCTGTCAGATGCTCCGGACCAGCTGTGCATCAGAGGATGGCATTGATTGGTCGCCACACACAGTGGGTAGCAGTGGGGTTAACACACGGACCAGGAGCAGTACCTACACCGCTGTCGCCAGTTTACTGATATCTAGGGGTAAGGGAAGCAGCCTCGTTGATACGTCCGAGTTCCAGACTGACGCGAGCCTGCACTGCACATGGGCACAGCGCCCGTTTCAGGCGTGGACGTGCGAGCGAGCCATGAGCTTCTCGGACAAAGTGTGCGCTGTGCTATCCAACACCAGTGCGTGTGTGCCAGCGCTGAAGACATTCAGCAGCATGGCGTGGCGTATGTACACGTCGCGGGCTTTCCTACATCAGTACACCAGCCATGGTATGGAAGAATCAGACTTCTTGCAGGCGTTCAGCAATGTTGAGCAGACCATCTCCAACTATGAGAGCCTGCAGGGCAGTACTACTAGTATACAGGACATGGGTTTAACATGAACACGCTGTGTGATGCATGTACAGGGTATATTGAACATGAATATGCTGTGTGATGCGTGTGCGGTATCTGAGGCATTTTTTGTTGATTTCACTGGAAAGGATCATATGACTAGGACGGGTGGGAGAATTGCCAATACCAAAACACTAGTATTGTCTGGCAGTGGTGCTAGATCTAGGCGCGATTAATCACGATTCACGATCAGTACTCGCACTGTTTTCTGCTATGTGACATGCGAAACTCAACAAGCTCGGGCGACACTCGATTCGCAATCTTTTTGGTTTCTGCGAGATTTTCCAAATGCAGTGCATAGCTGCATACCGGTAGTAAAATGTATGTGCACTACTTGTATACCCAGGCTGGTAAACTGTACTTGTGTATGTTGCGCGTCACGTTATGGAATAAGTTGAATTTCGGTCAACTGGTTACTTCTGCAACAGTGGCCTTGCGATTGCTTGCGACGGGCATTTCCTTGTCGCAAGTGTTGTATATTGCGTCACAGGAAGTAATGTGAATCGTGCTTTGGTCATGGAGCAACCGTCTTGAAGTTTACCCCAGGGGGAGTCGTGAAACAAGGGTTCCCGCGGCTCCTTGGTTTATGTCGGTGGCATGTTGCAGTTCTGTGTGCTTGCAGTTAATCCGCAAGAAAATGTAAAAATCCTCAACTCGTACAACTCAGGACATGCAGGACTGACTGGTAATTACACACATCAGAACATTCTTTCTAGTAGTTATGCCAACCATGCACGGTGCAAAAAATGTGTTGGCTTCACAATCGGATCACGAGTGAATGGGCCACTCGAACGACAATGAACAACTACGATCCCAGTCTTTGCCACAATAAAATCAGGGTACATGACACATGATGACGGCATAACACTGTCAACGCCATGATCACATGATTACGCATACATGTATAGAATTCGACGCAGTACGAGTATGGTACATGGTGTTTATTCCCGTAGCTATGCAGAAGACGTTACTTCAGAAACGTCTGGCGCTAGCCAGGGTCCACACAGCTTTAATTTGGTGTTTGTTTGTTTGTGTCACGCCTGGCGCTATCCCATATCTGTCCCGTACCGTACCATCAAGAGAATGAGTCTGACAGTAGCATTATATATAGGATCAAGAGTACATAACCTGGTTATGGACTCTTGATAGCATTAAAGCGGTCAGCACCAAGAAATGAGAGACTGTAGAGGCCTGGCATATATGTATGCGAAGTGTATCGGGGGAATGCATGCAGGGCGATAGTGCAGTTACTTCTGGCGCTAGCCAGGGTCCACAAAAACTTCGTGATGGATTTTGATGGATATAAAAACGCTTAGAACAACTTTCTTTAGCCACGAGACTCACGTCGAACTGCAGACTTCTGAAAGAATGCATGGTCAATCAGCATTCGAATCTGGGCTTTGAGCAGGTTGAATAAGAACCTGAATTCAGAATTATTAATTTTGATTGCGCCGTGCTATCGGAGCAGCTGCTTGTTTCTTTCGCTCAGGGCCCTACGATATGCTTTGTTGCCTAGCTCATCATGCATGTTATTCGAACAGATGGGAACTTTTTGCAATACAATGATGTAGCCAATCAGTTCGTTGTGGTATGGTTGGGCATTGTAGCCGTCATGGTCGACGTAAAACACTATAAGACCGCAACGAAGTTGGAGCCGAAGAGAAAGTTCCATCAGTTCTAATAACATGCATGATGAGCTAGGCAAAAAAGCATAGCGTAGGACCCTGAGCTTCCAAGCTCTCTCATTTGACAACATTGGAGGAATCTACGACAGTGGCTGTACTGCAACAGTGAAACCTACTTGTCAAGACCAGAAAACGAAGCAAAGAAAAAGGAAATTAAATCGGGCATGTTCGTAATTCGACTTTCGCCTGCTTGCTTGAAGAACCTACGACAACCCTACCACCCGTGATAATACTTCCTTGAAATAGCAAATGAAAAAAAATTAAGGTTATTTGAACTTATTTCATAATACGGGACTGATCAGTCGAGTCAAGACTATAGAAGAAGGCTCAAGTACTGCATAACTCAAGAAAGCCTTGAAGCACCGATATACACAGGTTGTGAATTTTCAAGCTGGATAGGAAAGCGGCGGTGGAAAAAACAGCTCTACAGAAAACAGTGCATGCAGTAGTAGCTCAAGTTTCACAGTGGACATGCAACACAAGAAGGATATTGATCTAGGAAGACAGCTCCTACTGTGCGGTGGCCTTGAAGGTGAGCTCAACAAGCAATGGATAGTGGAGGTCCTCAGTATAGCCAGAGTCACTGCACTTAACGGCCTGGACATAGAGGAAAGCAAGCATTCAGAAGACAAATACCTTTCTCAATAGATCAAACTGGTGACAGAGAAACGGAGTACATGTACATGTAGTCGAAGGCTCTTCCGTGGTACAGTTGTAGCCAATGAAATCCGGTCTCTGTAACTACGACAGTTGGATCCCGGGAAGGATACCTTGATGCTGTCAATCCCTTTCATGGTACCTTGCCATCGCCCATTTACTGTGATGTGGTGGGTCCCTAAAGTGAGATCATTTCCAAGTCCATCCAGAGTTTGATGATTTCAGGTGGTGTCAGCCGTCGGTGTTGGGCAATTCAATAGCCAATTGAGTCACTTTTCCACGATTCCTTTCAAATCACACAAGGATACCCACGTGATCAATTTCTGGCAAGAAGCGGGAGTGTTTGTGTGTGTGTGTGTGTGTGTGTGTGTGTGTGTGTGTGTGTGTGTGTGTATGTGTGTGTATATGTGTGTGTGTGTGTATGTGTGTGTGTGCGATCCGGGCTCAAGCGAGCTGCAGTGACATTCGATGAAGTCGCCTCCGAGTTTGGTCTGACAGTTAGTCTCTCCAAGACCAAGTTCATGGTGATCGGCAGAGACATTTCTGATGCGGACCTCGCCCCTGTATGTGTTGGTTCGAACCTGATCGAGTGCGTAACGGAGTTTCGCTACCTTGGGTCGATCATCGATACGTCTGGCCGGTGTTCGATTGACATTTCCTCCAGAATTGCGGCTGCCTCCCGTGCGTTTGGCTCCCTGCGGAAGCCAGTTTTCAGCAACCACCATCTGTCCGTCCGCACCAAGAAGAATATCTTCAATGCGTGCGTTGTCAACATCCTGCTGTACGGAGCTGAGTGCTGGGTACCCCTCCAAGCCGACATCCGGAGGCTCTCCACGTTCTACATGCAGTGTCTGCATACCGTTCTTGGCATAACAAGGTTAGACGCCTGGCAAGAGCGGATCAGCAATGATCAGTTGCTGGAAATGTGGGGCGACAAGCGCCCACTTGCTGTCCGGATTCGCCAGCGACGACTTGAGTGGCTGGGTCATGTTGCTCGCATGCCACCAGAGCGCACCCCGAAGATTCTGTTGTTCGGTCTGCTCCCATCCCGCCGTCCACCTGGTGGTCCACGCAAACGCTGGAAAGACTGCATTAGTACAGACCTGAAGGCCCTGAATGCTGTGGAGGGATGGTACGAACTGGCAGATTCTCGCCCCGACTGGCGTCGCATGTACCGCTGTTTCGAGCCCGAGCCGCCCACACGCAATGTCCATTGCCAAGTATGTGATCGGTACTTCTCTCGCCCATCAGATGAAAAGCGTCACAAATGATTGGCAGAACGGCAGAAACCGGTGCGTAATCAGGCTGGCGCTTGCCAGTGTCGTCTCTGCCAATGTTGGTTCCGCGGCCCCGGTGGATTGGCTACCCATCGGTGCGATCACGGACCTGCTCCCGACATCGAGCACCCCGGCAACCCGGTCACTCCGCAGTGCAGCACCTGTCACCGGAGTTTCAAGTCCAGCAGCGGCTTGGCCAGACACAAGTGCGTCCGCACGAAACGAAGGACAGTGTCGGAAAGGGCCGATTTCCCGTTTGAGTGCCCTTGCCAAAGGAAGTTCCGACTACGTCACCATCTAGTACGCCATCAGGAGTGCTGCTCCCCAGCCTCTTCCACCCCTCTCCCCTGACGGGGACTGTGTAACCTATCAAGGCAACGTGTATCAAGGTCAAGGTGCGTGTGTGTGTGTGTGTGTATATGTGTGTGTGTGTGTGTGTGTGTGTGTGTGTGTATGTGTGTGTGTATGTGTGTGTGTGTGTGTGTGTGTGTGTGTGTGTGTGTGTGTGTGTGTGTGTGTGTGTGTGTGTGTGTGTGTGTGTGTGTGTGTGTGTGTGTGTGTGTGTGTGTGTGTGTGTGTGTGTGTGTGTGTGTGTGTGTGTGTGTGTGTGTGTGTGTGTGTGTGTGTGTGTGTGTGTGTGTGTGTGTGTGCAAGCATGCAAGCATGCATGCGCCAAGTGCTAACCTGCTGACGCTGTGCCTGCACAATGTCATTGTATTCAGAGGCGACGCTGACATTGAACTCTTCTTTCGCTAGCTCTGTGAATCTGCTGAGGGTTCCACTGCGCTGAGGAGCAAAGAAGATTGCCTTGCCCTGTTATGTGCGTGAATTAACAAATGAACAGCAGCAATCACGATAGATGAGATGGAATCACAGACAATCACGTACTGTGTATGTGCCCGTTTCTATTCTATAGCAATCCCAGCCAAATTTAGAGGGTATGACTTGGTGAGAGTCATCCCTGTTAGCGCAGTTTAACCTACAAAAGGAGGTTTCAAGCAGACCTGGAGTCTGCTCTGAGTAGCAACCTCATTAGTCAAAGTTCTAAATTACTTAGACCCGTCACTGACTTACATCTGGCTTCAAGAGCGTCTTGACTACATGGATCAGATCGATGTGAAACTCCGTGAAGAAGAAGCTATGCGCACGGAAGAAAAACACAGCGTCAAAAGGAGACAAACATTGATGCAAGAGCACAATGGGGCTAGGAGCTGACAGCTAGAGAGCTAGTTATGCCAAGATCACGGCTGGGTGCAGGCACAGAGTTGAGTGGTCCGTCGAAAAGAAGACTGAAGCTCATTTAAAATTGCAGACAGATGCATTTAACAATTTGCAGACAACTCATTCCTGCCAATGGTCACACGAAGACCGACATCAATTTCACAACGAGAAACAGTACTGATATGTAGCAACCAAACTCCAGAGCCTACTCAAAATAGAGGGATTCACATAGCTGTAGACAGTAGTGTACTATAACTATATCACTCACCAGTCTGCACAAACCAGGAAATCAAATTGCTGGCACAGGTTCTCGTAGGCACATGATCGACTCCAGAGCAGACACCTGCATACACAAGCGCGCACGCACCCACGCACGCACACACACACACGCACACACACCACCACCACCAATGGGAACATACTACTGTTGTGGACATTGAAATCGGTTGTTGAAGCCAAGCAGCCACGGGGTGCTGGCCTTGCAGCCACGGGGTGCTGGCCTTGCAGCCACGGGCACTACTGGCCTTGCAGCCACGGGCACTACTGGCCTTGCAGCCACGGGGTGCTGGCCTTGCAGCCACGGGGTGCTGGCCTTGCAGCCACGGGGTGCTGGCCTTGCAGCCACGGGGTGCTGGCCTTGCAGCCACGGGGTGCTGGCCTTGCAGCCACGGGGTGCTGGCCTTGCAGCCATGGGCACTGCTGGCCTTGCAGCCATGGGCACTGCTGGCCTTGCAGCCACGGGGTGCTGGCCTTGCAGCCACGGGGTGCTGGCCTTGCAGCCACGGGGTGCTGGCCTTGCAGCCACGGGGTGCTGGCCTTGCAGCCACGGGGTGCTGGCCTTGCAGCCACGGGGTGCTGGCCTTGCAGCCACGGGGTGCTGGCCTTGCAGCCACGGGGTGCAGGCCTTGCAGCCACGGGGTGCAGGCCTTGCAGCCACGGGGTGCAGGCCTTGCAGCCACGGGGTGCAGGCCTTGCAGCCACGGGGTGCAGGCCTTGCAGCCACGGGGTGCAGGCCTTGCAGCCACGGGGTGCAGGCCTTGCAGCCACGGGGTGCAGGCCTTGCAGCCACGGGGTGCAGGCCTTGCAGCCACGGGGTGCAGGCCTTGCAGCCACGGGGTGCAGGCCTTGCAGCCACGGGGTGCAGGCCTTGCAGCCACGGGGTGCAGGCCTTGCAGCCACGGGGTGCAGGCCTTGCAGCCACGGGGTGCAGGCCTTGCAGCCACGGGGTGCTGGCCTTGCAGCCACGGGGTGCAGGCCTTGCAGCCACGGGGTGCAGGCCTTGCAGCCACGGGGTGCAGGCCTTGCAGCCACGGGGTGCAGGCCTTGCAGCCACGGGGTGCAGGCCTTGCAGCCACGGGGTGCAGGCCTTGCAGCCACGGGGTGCAGGCCTTGCAGCCACGAGCACTGCTGGTAATTGATTACTGTAAACCGGGAAACTTTTGCGGCGTGCAACTTTAGCGTTTTCAAAAAACGCCCCTGTTAACGACGGGAAATTTTAGCGATTTGGTCTTTTCAGGTGGTTCTTTTTTTTTACGGTGCGCGACGATTCCCTTCGCGCCAGTGATGATGATACTTGTGCTGACGCAGCCACCAGCTTGTCGCAAAGCCTTTACGTATTCAGCGACTTCACCGTCCAGGTCGCCAAGCAGCAGTGAGCGACCCCCAGCTGCATGAGGGAGAGTCGTCACCAAGTCGGGACTCTTCAAGTCTTTCAAGCGTCCCAGGTAGAGGCGCTTGCACTTCCGGATGGTGCTTTCGTTCACGGAATGCTCCAGTTCCTTTGTGAACTTACTCACGGCCGATTTGTTACCATGCTCGCCGGCGTGGCGCCCCATACGAGCTCGGACTTCGTCAGAGTAATGGTGATAACTAACTAGTTTTCGCTTCTTGTCGGTCGAAGCGAGCTCCTCCATCACAGCAGTGTTGGCTGCCTCTGTTACGCTGCTTTTCTCCGCCGGCGGTAAGTAAGCAGGCACAGGCGCATTGGTTGCCCAGATGCTTTCTTCTGAGAGCTGATCCACTGAAAAAGCGACATGACTCTTTGACAATTTACAACAGTAAAAGCATAAACGAACAACTCAGCTTCGGCAAAGAACTTGAAAGAAGTGACAAAGTTACGAAAGATTGTCCGCGATAATTTCAGATTCAACCGGCAAACAACAACAGTCATGTCATTTGACGGATCTGAACGAACAGCTAGTTCCGCGCGCACCTTCCGCGAAACAGCTCAGCACAGTCATGTACATGATAGTACAGTCACATAGACAAGGCATGCACACAGCTACAGACAGTCTTGTACACTGTCTGTAGTACTGACCAGCGTAGTACGCGATGCACTACTTCCGTTCAAATTCTTCAGTTCGCGGCGATTCGAATTCGCGTTTTGGCGGTGATCGCGAAACTCGCGAAAATTATCCGCTCGCGAAAGTTTCCCGGTTTACAGTACAGTGTGTACGTGAACTACAGTGCATGTACATGTATGCGCTAAAGCAGTAAGGGACATCCCATCGGATTTCAAGGCCCACGACAGTAGTAATAAGCACAGCAACCACACACAGTAATACACATCAGCAGCCACCACAAGGAAAACACAGTGTACAGCACGGGATCTAAAACTCCCTGCAGGACTGACTGGTGCAGCCTACTGATAAGGGTCCAGCCAGTATGGCACACCCTGTGACACAGGCACACCGACAAGAGTGATGGCCTTTCTGCAATCATTCAAGCCTTCTTTGGTATTGTAAAAACTAGAGATTAGCTGACTGCAAACTCTGCAAAGTGACCTAGGCCACACCTGACTAACCAGACTGGCGGATACATGTGCAGTGCTAGTGCTGCTCTATGAAATCCGATCAAGTGAGTCAGTGCTGCACCCTGCTCCACTTCACAGCCCAGTGTTCACAGGTCACCCGGCGCCTACTTGACTGACTTGATCGGATTTCATTGAGCAGCACTAGCACTGTACATGTACATGTACACTACTACATGCACTACAGTCTGTGCTTGAGTACACAGCACAACACTGGAGGGGTAGTCAAATCAGGTGCAGAGGCGTGTCTCTCTTACCCCGCTCCCAAGTCTTCAGTCAAAGAGACAGCTCATGCCACATTCTTACCTGGAGGAGTAGGATTGTGTCCGCATTCTATCATGGTTAGCAGCCAGCACACATGCTATATCTAGATAGCGGCTGCCAGTAAAGGAATTCAACTTTTGAACAACAAACGATTTCTAGTCTATTTTCGGAAAGTAAGAATGTGGGTTTGACGCGTGGAATTTAAGGTACATGTACCAAATATGACCATTGTCAGAGCAGTGCATTGTCAGAGCAGTGCATTGTCAGAGCAGTGCATTGTCAGAGCAGTGTATTGTCAGAGCAGTGTATTGTCAGAGCAGTGCATTGTCAGAGCAGTGCATTGTCAGAGCAGTGCATTGTCAGAGCAGTGCATTGTCAGAGCAGTGCATTGTCAGAGCAGTGCATTGTCAGAGCAGTGCATTGTCAGAGCAGTGCATTGTCAGAGCAGTGCATTGTCAGAGCAGTGCATTGTCAGAGCAGTGCATTGTCAGAGCAGTGCATTGTCAGAGCAGTGCATTGTCAGAGCAGTGCATTGTCAGAGCAGTGCATTGTCAGAGCAGTGCATTGTCAGAGCAGTGCATTGTCAGAGCAGTGCATTGTCAGAGCAGTGCATTGTCAGAGCAGTGCATTGTCAGAGCAGTGCATTGTCAGAGCAGTGCATTGTCAGAGCAGTGCATTGTCAGAGCAGTGCATTGTCAGAGCAGTGCATTGTCAGAGCAGTGCATTGTCAGAGCAGTGCATTGTCAGAGCAGTGCATTGTCAGAGCAGTGCATTGTCAGAGCAGTGCATTGTCAGAGCAGTGCATTGTCAGAGCAGTGCATTGTCAGAGCAGTGCATTGTCAGAGCAGTGCATTGTCAGAGCAGTGCATTGTCAGAGCAGTGCATTGTCAGAGCAGTGCATTGTCAGAGCAGTGCATTGTCAGAGCAGTGCATTGTCAGAGCAGTGCATTGTCAGAGCAGTGCATTGTCAGAGCAGTGCATTGTCAGAGCAGTGCATTGTCAGAGCAGTGCATTGTCAGAGCAGTGCATTGTCAGAGCAGTGCATTGTCAGAGCAGTGTACACGACTACTACTACTAGTAGTGCTTATTAAAACTCGGATGACGAGCCAATATTATAAGTAAAAAGAGAAAGGACCAATATGTTACTACATGTAGTTAGGACTAACAGTCCACCAAGGTAACGAGATCTTATACAGTCAGATACTGTACAGGCAGAAAATTTCGCCAGTCAATAATTTCGTCCATGGATCATAATTTCGTCTAACTCCAAAGAAAGGGAGTTCGTCCGGTTGTAAATTTCGTCCATGGATCATAAGAGTGTATTGAAAAGCTGGACAAATCGACATTAGTCCGGCATTTAATTTAGTCCAAAAGCTCCTTGGACGAAAAGACGAAATTAAATTCCAGACGAATATTTCTGCTTGTGCAGTAGTGCGACAAAAAGGCAATTCCATCTTCGCTTGGCTTCCCTTCTTTATGTATTTTTACATACCTTTGAACCTCCCAAGTTTGGTGGTATGTTGCCTTGCGTCGTCGAGTTGTAGTAAGACCGGTTTGTCCAATGGTCTTACTAGTCTCGTCATCATCATCCTGTAATGTTCGACATTCTTTGTTGCCGAGGGACATAGCTCGTGCACATCTTCATGGTGCATTCCTTCCCTTCATTGCAACTTTCCACACCTGAGCCTTCCAAGTTGGAAGGTTGTTGGTTTGCGCTTCGCAGATATATTGGAGCTTGGTGTCCGGTCGTCAAATGTCTCAATATCCTTGTCGGTTTCGTGCCTTGTTGTCGCACTATCTGACTTTATAAGATCTCGTTACCTTGGTGGACTGTTAGTCATAACTAGTAACTTATCGGTCCTGTCTCTTTTTACTACTAGTAGTAGCAAGAGTCCATAACCCCCCAGAGTGTGCAACTCCAGGTTGGGGTCTGGCGCAACGAAATCCAAACATTGCGTCATCCGGTCCCCGGGCAAGCATGGGCGGATGGGGCCATGTGCATATCTGGTACATCCGGCGGGGGTTCCAAAAGAAGCAAGCCACGGAAGTGTCACGTAAAACGTTTGCTCCACGGGCTATGCAGTGTCAGCAGAACGGCTTTGATTTCACAGTCACAGAATTTTTTTATTTGAAGAGAGTTTCTCTGCTCGTTGTCTGAAAAAGCTTGTATTGGGAGAGTTCGCGACTCCGGGATAGCAAGAATAGGCATGGATATAGATTTACAAGATTTGATGGAAATAGCTCTTGGCACACGGCATGAAGACCCGATCGATTTCGAAGTAGATGTGCTTCAACCTGCTCCTCAGTCCCATTTTGGCACTGCACACTGCACTCCGGCGACAATGGGGAGCGCTTTGCTTTAGGTTCAACAGTGGCCATTGTTCTTCTCTTATCGGAGAGACACTCAAAAGAGAAAACTGTTCGACAACTCTAAAATAATTCTTTGTGAACTTGAGCCTTTCCAGGCGTGTTACGTACAATACCTGGCCGTGGATTCGTAAAGAAAGACCCCAAATTGGGCAAACGGGCGAAGTAGGTCCGGGCCAAACTTCCCATTTCGTCATAGCTACTCACTACATGACGTATGAAGTTTGGATTTCGTTGCGGCACTGATTTGTGCTGAGAAGGATCACGAGTTGCACACTCTGGGGGGTTATGGACTCTTGGTAGTAGTATTCATTATTTATAATATTTATACTTGGGTATACCCAGCAGGCCTTACAGGGTGCCCAAGGAGACTACAATGCACATAATTCGAAGACAGACCAGGCACTGTTGCTGCACCTAAAAAAAATGGTTTGCCATTGAACTTTAAAAAGGCACCAGAGATGGAATATCTAACACCCAGCGGCTGGAATCTGATCTAATTATCGGATCATCTAATCAACCACTAGTACATGCTAAGAGAACACATCTTGCCAGAAAACAAGGAATTGCACAGAAGACACGCACACACGCACATCCACGCATGCACATCCACGCATGCACACCCACGGATGCACACATGCACACCCACGCATGCACACCCACACATGCACACACGCACACATGCACAGGGAGAAAGTGGATACTGTCGGCAGACCGCTGATTGCCGTCCGTCAATAAGAGCTTGCCGAGAGGCACACTGGCACTGAGCTGCATGGCCACACAGCAATCAACGGTGATAGTGATAAGCCCTCTTCCTGAGTGATAGGTGTAACGTTATACGGCTGATAGGTGGTAAGGTGGAGGAGAGTGTTCCTGGCTGAAGCAAAAAGGCCCTAGCAACTGAATAGGGTTGTCGTTTAAAAAAGTGAACTACCGTACACATGGGCTCACGCCTGTGAAAGACACGTTCCACTGGATAGGCTACAATGTATAGAGGTTACGCCAATATCATCTTACAGGGTACCTCACTTCAAACTCTCCAACTACGGTCTCTTCGCTGCATAAGTTCACTTCACTTCCAAAAAATAATAATAATATTAGATATAAATGGAATGCACCCGGGCATATCTTCAGGGTGAAAAAAACCATTCAACGTTGAATGGTTTTTTTTCACCCTGAAAATATGCCCGGGTGCATTCCATTTATATTATTATTTTTTTTGGAAGTGAAGTGAACTTATGCAGCGAAGAGACCGTGGTTGGAGAGTTTGAAGTGAGGTACCCTGTAATGTGTGAATGGCTGCAATGGAGTCTGCGAGTGCTTAGAAAAGCCAATATCATCACCATAATTATATGCATTGATTGTACTGAGTGGTAAACTTATAATGACATCACCCTACATGCACTGTATGGAGTGACAAACCGATAATGACATCGTCCTGAATCATGCAGTATGCATTGTATGGAGTGGCAAGCCTATAATGACACCATCCTATATGCTTTGTATGACATGGCAAACCAGTGCTTGTGTTGTCAAGGCATATAAAACACATCAAGTGATGATGGCATTCCATAACCTCCTTACATACATTGAATAGGGTGATTCAAAGTTCAAGAGGAAAATCAATAAGCTGAACTCACCGCTAACCCGGCCAGGCAAGTCATTCCTCCTCCCAGCTCACAGACACTCTTCCCTCTAGGAATGAACACCCAACAAACAGCACAGAAAACGCACAATGGCACACGCATGGAGAAATTGCAAACGGAACATGATTCAATAGTGAACACCTCATAATCCATGCTGAGCTAAACGCAATCGCAAGCTTCCATTTTGCCAGTGTCTTGTTCTCGATATCCAGTTGGCTTGATCGTAAGGGCCGATCCCGGGCCGCTGGAGGCTCGAAGAAGGCCCTGCGCTATCGACCAGGACCTGAAGTTCTCTGGGAAATCCGACCTTGTCCTTACCCGAAGTCAACTAAACGCAATCGCAAGATTCCATTCCGCCAGTGTCTTGTTCTTGACATCCAGTTGGCTTGATCGTGAGGGCCGATCCCGGGCTACTGGAGGCTAAAAGAAGGCCCTGCGCTATCGACCAGGACCTGAAGTTCTCTGGGAAATCTGACCTTGCCCTTACCCGAAGTCAACTAAACGCAATCGCAAGATTCCATTCCGCCAGTGTCTTGTTGTTGTTATCCAGTTGGCTTGATCGTAAGGGCCGATCCCGGGCCGCTGGAGGCTCGAAGAAGGCCCTGCGCTATCGACCAGGACCTGAAGTTCTCTGGGAAATCCGACCTTGCCCTTACCCGAAGTCAACTAAACGCAATCACAAGCTTCCATTCCGCCAGAGTCTTGTTCTTGATATCCAGTTGGCTTGATCGTAAGGGCCGATGCCGGGCCGCTGGAGGCTCGAAGAAGGCCCTGCGCTATCGACCAGGACCTGAAGTTCTCTGGGAAATCCGACCTTGCCCTTACCCGAAGTCAACTAAACGCAATCACAAGCTTCCATTCCGCCAGAGTCTTGTTCTTGATATCCAGTTGGCTTGATCGTAAGGGCCGATGCCGGGCCGCTGGAGGCTCGAAGAAGGCCCTGCGCTATCGACCAGGACCTGAAGTTCTCTGGGAAATCCGACCTTGCCCTTACCCGAAGTCAACTAAACGCAATCACAAGCTTCCATTCCGCCAGAGTCTTGTTCTTGATATCCAGTTGGCTTGATCGTAAGGGCCGATCCCGGGCCGCTGGAGGCTTAAAGAAGGCCCTGCGCTATCGGCCAGGACCTGAAGTTCTCTGGGAAATCCGACCTTGCCCTTACCCGAAGTCAACTAAACGCAATCGCAAGCTTCCATTCCGCCAGTGTCTTGTTCTTGACATCCAGTTGGCTTGATCGTGAGGGCCAATCCCGGGCCACTGGAGGCTCGAAGAAAGCCCTGCACTATCGACCAGGACCTGAAGTTCTCTGGGAAATCCGATCTTGCCCTTACCCGAAGTCAACTAAACGCAATCGCAAGCTTCCATTCCGCCAGTATCGTGTTCTTCATATCCAGTTGGCTTGATCGTAAGGGCCGATCCCGGGCCGCTGGAGGTTCGAAGAAGGCCCTGCGCTATCGACCAGGACCTGTAGTTCTCTGGTAAATCCGTCTCAAGGCCTACCTGTAATAGCTGTAGCAGTGCAACATCATGTACATGTACATGCGTGGTATGGTATGCATGCACTCCGAAATGTATTTTTTAGAAACGCCTTGCAGGCGAACCCACCCACCAGAAACGCCTGGTAGACGTCTCTAAGTAAATACTAAGGGGCCATGCGTAAATACTAGGGGTGAAATGATTACCGTATTATCTCCATTATAAGCCCTGGGCTTACATTTTTTCAACCAGTCCGGACCCTGGGCTTATATTAGAGACTGGGCTTCCACTAGAGACTGGGCTTCCACGAGAGACTGGGCAGGGCTTATAATTTTTAAACCATCTGTTACATGCACATTGGTCATCATTTTGTATTATACCAGTAGCACAAAGCTTCCCACCAGGTATCGGGCATGCAGTTTCGTACTTCCTGGTACATTTAGTCTGTTCTTTTTACCTCAGGGTTCACAGACTTGTGCCACAATATGTGGGTATGTGACACTTTGTGATGCCAAACATGCATGGACATGATCCATACACAGGGTATATTCTAGGACGAATTTCCAACCGGTTACGGTCCAATGAAGAGTCGGGGGGGGGGGGGGGGTGCGAGGTCCCCCCGGGAATTTTTTTTCAAAATACAACCCAAATATGGCACTCGACAGCAATTTAACAGATTTCTTGGTGCTGGAGTACGAGTGTAGCAAAGATATAAGCAGCTCCATTCACCCACAGAAAAGTACGGGCGGTTGGAACTGATTTGTAACTTTTCAACTGGTCGCCAACAATTTCAACCGGTCGAAAACCGGTTGCGGCGGTTCTAGAAAATTCCCTGATACAGTTCTCCATTATGAGCCCTGTGCTTATTGGAGACTGCGCTTGTATATCTTCGAAGCCCTCTTGGAGTGCGCTTATAACTGTTGATAGAGACTGGGCAATGCATGGACATGATCCATACAGTTCTCCATTATGAGCCCTGTGCTTATATTGGAGACTGCGCTTGTATATCTTCGAAGCCCTCTTGGAGTGCGCTTATAACTGTTGATAGAGACTGGGCTTCTACAAGAGATTGCGCTTGTAATAGAGATAATAACGTATCTATTTTGACCAATCGATCACTCATTCATAATATTTGATCGAGTATTTGATTATTTCGAGTATTTTATCAAATTCAAAAGTGCTAGATTTGTGAGTTTTTGACCATTTCGGAAAAAAATTATCCGTGAACATAAACAAAAGTCGCCGTCTTGTACAGAGTGTGAAGTAACGATTTTCATCCGTACTTTCATATCTCATGCCTAACTAACGTTACTTGCCGTGATGACCGCATTATCCAAGTCATAAAATACTGACTCAAAGGCATGCAGAATGCATGCATACCAGTGGACGAACGGCACAACAAAAGCTTTTGAAAAATAAAATGCCAATACTAAAAAAACACAAAAACACAACACAAAAAAAACCGATCGAGTGCAAAATTTCGAATACTCGCTCGTTTGAAATTTTGGAACGATTACTCGAATATTCGAACTATAAATCGTTTCACCCCTAGTAAATACCGATATTTTTTCAAGATGACATTTGTTCATATCTCCGCAGACCCGTCCCTCCCCCTTCAAAACGAACACACAAACACACACGTTTATGCAGGGATCAATATGTGTTTTTAACGAAGTGACATCTCCCTCTTGAAACGTGACCGACCATGGTGATGTTGCAACATTCACTGTACACCTAGGGTTGCACTCCCGTGCATACCTGCCAACCGCCTCGACTTGGTCGGGACTGTCCCGATATCCAGGTGCTAACTCGACGTCCCACACGGCGACCAAAATGTCCTATTTTTAGTGGCGGAACGAATAATTATACCGACTATTCGTTACGTTACTTCGAATGCAGTGCATGTACGTGCATGCATGCCAAGCACAGTACAGTGGAGTGCGTACAGCCTGCTCTGTGACTTCATACTGCATGATATGGCTAAGTTATAAACGAAAGCTGCTCGCTATGAAGGCTCAATTTTAGATGGGTTCAAACAGGGACATGGACGCTGGTTCGCTATACTGTATCATGAAATTCACTACATATGTATAATGCGAATTCGTTATGAGTGGAGTCGACTGTGTGTTCTCTACTGCCCGCAGTCAAATTTCCCCTTGCACATGAATCAGCAGGGCAGGCCGGGTCTGAGTGAGCCATACGAATAGGAGCTGTTTAGGCATCCGGTCTCCCAGCATCCGCACAATATTGCCCAGCCACTGGAGCCGCCATCTGTGTGACCATAATCGTCGGGAATCGAACCCGCAACCTATCGATTGGAAATCGCTGCACATACCACTGCACCATATCGGACACACACACACACACACACACACACACACACACACACACATACACACAGTTCGAGTGCAAACATAGCAATTTACCGGAATACATCGCGTACAGTGAGCAAATAATGGGCCAGGATTTCTTCCGAGGGCCACACGCCTGCATGGAAGGAAGGGGTGTGGAGGACAAAGAAGCACCAACCAACGATCAAAAATATATTGCAGACTATGCAACCTGCCGCCTAGCTTAGCACTACTTGAGAAGTACATGCATGTTCCTGATGACTGGAAAAGTTGGGCTGGTATCCTTATTTTCAGCCACTTTCTCCTACGATGGCAGTCAGGAAAGCTGCCTGTTTCGTGCATACCATAATCTTCCGTTTGGAGAAAGTTTAAATAATAGTCATGCAACAAGTACCAAAAGCAAATTTTGAAATTTAACCTCGGAGTGAACAGTTCAAACCAACGAGATCAGTGAAGCAAAACAGGAATTCAATACTGAACATGAAATATAAACGTGCAAATTGTAGACATGTACTTGTTCAAGTGCAGGTACTGTACTGCACTTTTTAAGTCAATCATTGCGATCAGTTTGGCGAGTGACTCTGAGCTCCGCTGAGGAGACCTTTTCATAACACGCACATCCAACACCATTCCTTATGTACATGTACCTAGCCGGCTAGTCCAACAGTTTGAATATTGATTATTCGCTCATTCGAAACGTCTCAAGAAAGATATTCAAGGGAATAGTCAGTCACTCGCAAAATTGGGTGTTCCTTGCATCACTGGATTAGAAATTCACAATGCCTCAAACTCATCAAGACAGTACACCCCGCAAGCACCACGAAAGGATGCAATGAGATGTCATTGAGTTTCCATAGTAACACTACAGTACTGTCGCGCCAGGCTAGAATTTCACCAATTTTTAAGAACGGTGTAGGCTGGATTTTTGCAGATAAGAACGGAAACCGTGATATACACTCAGACGTGGAACTCTAAATAAATGTACACTCAGACGTGGAACTCTGCATAAATGTACACGTAAAACTGTACCATCGAATAAGAACGAAACTGCTGTGTTCGCTAGAAATAAGAACGGGGCTAGGCTAGCCTAGAACCCTGGTCAAACAGCCTGGAACAGCCTGTAACAGTCTGCATGATGCCGCCAATACCGGTACATGTACTCACAGACATTGCCAGTGTTATTGAACCCGATCATGTCTTTCGCTGTCACTGATTCTGTCAAGTGCCTGCAGCAGGTCACACATGAACATACACATACACAGTGTTGCCAACCGCCCGTATTTGTCCGTATTTTAAAGGAAAAACGAAGTTTTGTCCGAAGTACAGATTTCAATCGAATTATCCCGCAAAAGCGACAAAATACGGTGTCTTCGAAAGCAGTGAAAACTGGTGCAGAAGACGCCCATCCACGTGTCCACGATCGATCAATCCAAAAACGGATCGCAGAGTGCATGCAGCCTGCAGTGCGCTGTACATGTGATTGTACCACGGTACCAACCTGCCGCCGTAACGGGTGTGTGCAGTTCTGAAGTATAGAATCAGGCATGGATGTCGGGGCAGTATCGTTGATTCAGGCCCCGAGAGCGTAGCCCAAGGTCAAAGGCCGAGGGCTACGCTCGAGGGCCTGAATCAACGATACTTACCAAGACCGTACATATCTGATTGTGTTTCAGACTGCCACCCACATACGATATACTCTAATTTCAGAAATTTTCGGTGCTCAATATTTTCGGTGCTCAATATTTTCGGTATGAGGGCAAAAGGCCAGGTTAGGTGAACAGAAATTTTCGGTACAGGGAAGCTGTTCCCTATTGGATTATGTGTGTTAGTGTTTGTTCGGTGTATTGAAATTTTAGGTATGAAGCAGATGCACCGAAAGTACCGAAAATAAAAGTACACCGAAAATTTGTGAAATTAGAGTACATAGTTGTTGTGGCATAGTACCATCTGAACCCGCACTCTTCATCAATCCATATCCATTACAATAGCTTTGCAAGCAAGTGAAACATGACAGTAAGATAGAGAGAGACAAAGAGACAAGTTCAGACTTCTGAAAGGAGAGTTTTACTGGAAGTGATGGAGCACCAGATGGAGCTGGCTCTTGCTGTGGCTTCTCCAAGACAGATAGGCTTTCGTCATCTACATGTAGGCTTCTGAGGAGATCGCCGATGTTGTCAAAGGGCACAACCGGCGCAGGATCTGACAGAGGCAAGGTAAGGGTATCTAAAACTGGTTGCTGTAAGCTTGGAAAGCCTGGTCGCACACATAACTCGTCAAAGCTGGGTAGAGTTGGTAGCTGCAGAGTAGCGGGAGTTGGCATTGTTGGAAAACTTCCGGGATTTGCTAATATTCTAATTTCAGAAATTTTAGGTGCTCAATATTTTCGGTATGAGGACAAAATGCCAGGCTAGGTGACCAGAAATTTTAGGTACAGAGAAGCAGTTCCCTATTGGATTCTGTGTGTTAGTGTTTGTTCGGTGTATTAAAATGTTTAGGTATGAAACAGATGCACCGAAAGTACCGAAAATAAAAGTACACCGAAAATTTGTGAAATTACAGTAGTCTTGAACTTGCACTAGGTAACGGCTGTGCTTGCGTATTTGATGTACATTTACTTGACGTTTTTAACTCAAATAGCGGCTAGCTTGCTTGACATGGCCACTCTCTGCTCCACGTTTGGCTTCTGGTAGCTAGAGAGACTGGCCATGTTCCAATGGTCGGTGATGCTCACCGCTGGCATGCAGTGCTTTCAAGGTTGTTGACCACACACAGTGGTTTATGTACTTTAATACTGGTTCCTTTTTTTCACACTACTTATAGGGCCGGATCAGGTAAGTCTCTCAGGTAAGGAGATCAGGTAAGTCTCTCAATGTGTGAGTATACCCATCACGTGATCATTCATGCCCTCCTACGGTGCCATTCAGGCCCTACAAGCAGGGCCTGAATGGCACCGTAGGAGGGCATGAATGATCACGTGAGGGGTGTACGGTACGGTGCATCGCAGTAGAGCTGGCAGGCAAGACATGATCAGGGGTTCAGGCCGTGTTTGTAAGCGCTCTGATTGGCTCAAACCCTGGCAACGATCACATGCCAGACATGTCATGTGATCGTTGCCAGGGTTTGAGCCAGTTTGCGCACCATGCTGCGCAAACTACCCTGACCGCCACCCCGTTGGTGTGACTTGTGCCGCAGTGCGCCCTTTTCAGAGCTTGTAGAGCTCAAGAGCTCACAGGTCGTCGTTTTCGATCGAGCATTTCGCTTCGTGTTCAATGTCAGTCTTGGCCAGATCAACAAAGTGGACAAGCTGTGCGGACAGGAAACGGTAGGGATTTCAGTTATGACAGTGTGTAGTCGTAAGCATGGATTCTGACGAGGAACCTAGGCGAGAAGTTAGTCCTCCTGCATCGAAGAAAAAGCCGCAAAAAAGCTGCCGCTTGCTTCACAGGGTCGTGGTTGCTACCACCAGGAATAACGAAGAGCAAGAAGGGAATTCACTTCGCTCTCTGCAAGCACTGCAACAGTGATTTCAGCGTTGGACACGGAGGTTTCAACGATATCACCAGGCATGTCAAGTCGCAGTTGCACGGGAAAAATTCCAAGGTCGTTGCTTACAGTGTCTGTGTCTTGTGCATTGCCAGTCATCTTCAGCTTGAAAGCAAAGCTTGCTCCGGAGTGGAGAGACAAGGACGCCGTCAAGCAATTCAAGCAGAAGTGCCGGGCCGATCTTTGCCAGCGCTGGTCCTTAGACAGCTTGAATCTTGATTCAGTGCTGGCAATGTCGGCAGCTGTTGATCCTCGTTTCAAGAAGCTATCATTCCTGTCTCAGGAGGAGGTCACTGCAGTGAGTAAGAGTTTGGTTACCAGGGTTGCATCCAAGAGTGATGACCGCGTTTGACCTGACCTGGTCTGCGAGCTGCCTGCCAAGTGGACAAGACCCACCAGCGACTCCTTTGATTACCTGTTCGGTCCTGAGATAGCCTCACCAGATAGTTGCACCAGCACAAGCGATGCAGCTGAAGAGGAGGTTGCACGCTTTGCAAGTGAGCCAGTGGCCCCGCGATCAGAGAACTCATTGGCCTGGTGGAGGAAGAATGGTGCTCGTTATCCACTCCCAAGCAAAGTAGCCATGGCTCTCCTCTGTGTGCCTGCAACATCGACGCCTGCGGAACGAATCGTATCCGCTGCGGGCAACATCATCACCGAGGAGAGAGCGTCACTTCTTCCATCAAACGCCGATGCACTGATCTTTCTTGACAGGAACTGGCAACTACTGTTTGCTAGGGCCAGCAGCGCATCTCCTGTGGCAGAGGTAACACCTGCAAAGCTAGAAGCTGAGGAAAACCCCGTGCTGCCTCCGCTTCCTAATGTGCCAAACTTGGTTGTATGACTGAGTTACTGGGGCCAGAACTGCTGAACGGTTCCATTATCTTTTTTCGTCTGCTCCAACTCAGCCTCTAAGTGCTCTTTCCCTTACAGTCTCTGTTAAAGACTTGCAGTGTGCAATTTTGCTTATCATTTGGATGCCTTTTAGTGATACTAGTACATACCGGTCGGTAGCTATAATTTCTTACCGATTTCTTATTCGTGGAACGGGCGATATTCGTTCGGTATTCATTAGGAATATTCGGAGATGGTTCGATTCGTTGTTTAGCACATTCGTTTGACCACTATAATAATTAAATCTGCACCCATTTCCTTGACAAGATGTCAAAGCCAGTTGCAGTTATACAGATTATCACCCGCTATCCTTGCAGTCATGGTAAGATCAGTCATCCTGGCTGTACAGTTTTTCAAGATAGTACCTTCAGCTACACTAGTAATAATTATAATGGTGGGTGAAATGCGGAA